TGACTGATCTTAGTTAGACAACTTTTAAAAGCCCGGAAGTAGTGAACAGCTATTTCGTTCTAGTATGAGAATCCTGGATAGTGTGTACCCATAACCACACCAGTAGTTGAGTCCAGGACCTTTTATCTCGTGAACAGAATTTAATCCCTAGATCTTTAATCCATTCTAACTAGAATTAATTCATGATACTGAGTAAACTTCATCCATTGCCTGTGTGGAAAACTGTAACATACCCGACGTGGTTGAACTTTAATGGTCCCTAGTTATCACTAGAACTCCATAAGTTACATTTTGTATTCGTTTAACACAAAAACAGAATCAACATCAATACGTATTACTGAAGCAAAGTAACGAGTCTTACTGTTTTCTTTAGTTTACAATATACAATCAAAAGTAAAGGTCAGAGAAAAATTATGTTTATTACCCTTCACCCCATATATATATCTTTGAAAATAATTATCAAATATGCCGGATTTAACAGAGGAAAAATAAAGAAAAAAGTCAAATAACTTGGATCTCAAATAAACTGTTATTGCAATTTTTAGTACTATATAGGATAGATGCGAACTAAGATATATCATGTACGCAAAAGATTAAAAAGCATGATATATAAAGAAAGACATACGAGATAATTTCTTAGACAAATTGTTATACCGGGAGAGAGAAACAAGACTTCGGAAAATAAACGAAACGAGGCTATAATAGAGGGAAGAAGAACTGGGTAAAAAGCAAGAAGATATTTGTTTAGATTTCCAAAAACTGTCATGTTCAATGATAAACAGATGGAAAAGAGGAATATATATATACACGCTTGTGTGACACCAAGGATGTATTACAATAAAACAAATAAATAAAAAACACAACAGACTAATTTGCACAAAAAAGTGAATATGAATATATTTCAAAAAACCCTTTAGTTATGTAAAGATGTATCCTGACATTTTGCAATTTATCAATAGTTACTGACCAATTTATTATAGTAATAGTAGCATTATTATCAGCACCGACAGGTAATCGCTTTAGAGGACTTGTTTATTACCACAATTCAGTTAGTCAGTAACAACGTAGAACTTCGTACGTACGTACGTACAGCAGTTCCAGCTGCTGTACCACATTAGCACAGAGATGCAGTTGTCGATTCAAACCCCGTAGTGATCGAGGTAGTAAGAGTATAAGCAGTAATCGGTAAAATCACGGTTTGAAGATGTTATTCAAGAAGTATAATCCAGTGAAGTATAGTTGGGAAGAGAAAACAAGGATATCAAGAATTCATATTAGAATTTGGGAGAACACAAAGAGTGGATGCAACTGGGCCATTGTAAACGATTTTGAGCCATGTGATTCAAGGGCTCTAACCATCGGTTGATATCATCTCGCGATCCCCGACCAGGTATTCTACACCTACCAACATGGCTCAGTCCACATGTTAATGACTTCGCGGATTTGTGCCATGTTTTGGTTTGGCCGCCCCTAGCTTTTTTCCAACATACTCCAACACCAAAAAACGTATTCCAGTGGCTTATGCAGTGGTAACCATCTAGCCCCCTGGCTTGGTTATCAATGCATCCCCTTATATCTAATCAACCTAACCAGACTAAGGAAGACAAATTTAATAGGAACCACTATTGTCGAATAAACTGTATTTACCACTAATATACGATATGTATGTTAAGTGAATTATGTAATGTTAATGACAGTGTTGATCTTTAGCTTGGTGGACAATTCGATTGTTCCCTTAAGTTAATTCACTTGAATTAATTTACAATACAATTCTTATGAGTCGAGTGACTTTGAAAAGCACTTTTCCATGACCTTTATATACCAATATATAAGCTTATTCCAACTCATTCCAATCCTGAATACCATATAGTATTGTCCACTTTTGCTAAAGAAAACATAGTAGCCTATTGTTTTGCTTAGATCATAATTTAGTTTCTTAAGTACCTGGTGATCAGTCAGCGAATTAACGGTCCAATACACAACTGTAGCAGAGAAGTTTATTAGGCTTGTAGGAAGATTTACAGATTCATTAGCATTTTTAATTTCGAATAAAGGGCACCTACCGCAAAGTATCAGATTAATCTTAATCAGTTATTAGATATTATTCACGTTGACAAATGACATATGTCAATGTATATTTACGCATATGGATTGGCAACAATCATTTTTGCATCACAGTCGACTACCTCTATGATTTAACAAATTTTAGGCAAAATGTTAAGTAGTTGGAAGCAGTCAACGGGAAGCCCTGAACATATGCTGCATACTATTTATCACCTGCCAACAAGATCTACTTTTAACCTTGAGAGACTTGGTGCTCCTTTGCGGATTTAGTCTCGGGTCACTGAGCTTTACAATTTGGGACGTTATCACTGAGCTATTCAAAGCAGCACCGAATAACCTCTTGTAGGACTCACATATTTACAACTGATTGGTCACTACCCCGTAATCAACCAACTGTTTGTTTTACTCTCTTAGATTTGAACAGATAGCTTGATATATACTGCTACCCGTAAAAATCCAAATCAATTTCGAATACCACGTGTAGCTACTTAATGAACTTCATTAAATCAAATCAAATAATCAAAATAAATGATGTTAGAAGTCAACTGGTCAAAATATTTGATACCTTAAAAATAATAGTTAATCCCGTACATTTCAACAGTAAAACACCAAAAATAATCAAATCAAATTATTGACTTCTGACTAAATAGTTGAATATTATGTTGTTGACCAGATAATTTTAGATGTTAGGCGCAATTAAAGAATAAAAGTACCAGATTCATCACAAGCTGAAAAAGTCTCAAATTATTCGTAGATTGGTACATCTTAAATGGTGAAAACGCATGATATAAAATTAGTAGGTTCCAACTTAAAATTTCATTTCAACTACTCCAATTTAAATAATTGTATATTATCAATATATATTACAACACAAAACCAATGTGTATGCCTCAAAGACAATCCATTCAGTAAATGGATATGTTCAAGTCATCTTCCAAAGTGAATTACTTCACAGTTGTTTGCCCCCAAATGCCCTATTACAATTGAGGGTGAAGAGAGTCCGCTCTCCCTCTCGAAATGCGTATACCACCCACTACCAGGGAAGTCCTACCCACCTCCTTCTCACGGTGGGTGTGTTGTTTACGAAATTGAAAGAACAGAAAGAGAATGTCCGGTGCTTTGACTGGCTGGTGGACATGGAGGGTTCACCTAGAGGAGTTGAAAAACCCTGATTTCAAACCAATGGTGCACATGGGCTTCAGTATCCAGAGGGAACAAATGGAGTATGAACATATAGTTGGTCACCGGTTACCATGGGACTTCATCTCCTAGTGTTGCTCCACTGCCTTGTGGATTAGAACTTCATGTCAAAGGCTCCAGGTGTGGCCCCCTAAGAAAACCACCTGCTCCGATTTGGGCTCTCGGATAATATCACAGTCCTCACACAAATCAATGATAACTACTACTGGCCTCATTGATATTAAGTGGTGCATAAGTATTTGGTGCCTCCTTGTACAAATGTTTGTGTTCAAGTAAATAATAAATAATGCTTGTACTACACTATAATCTTACGATTCTGAAAACTAACTTTGATCTATTCCAATAATTTTGACAAAACTTCTCTGATATATATATATACTACTAATCAAGGTTGCTAATTTTAAGATTGATGTGTATTGTGTAGAAAAATTTGAAGACTAGTAAACACTAGCAACTCATTGAAATTATCATAATAGGATAAAGTCATTTTATAGCTTAAGAGAAATATACTAATGATTCTAAGAAGTTTCGATTATTTCTGAAAAGCACCGTAAGGACAAGAGACTTTGTACACAATCGAAGAATGAGAAAAGATGCGTATGCGCGCGTGTGTTTGTGCACACATATACACTGACTTATTTTGGTAATAAGCGCGTTATATGCACATATTTATACCGTAGTGAACACAAGCAAACGTGAATTATATATATATATATACTTTATAAATCCAATGGTCACAAATCAATAAGTTAATAAACGCTAAAAGATGTGAGAATGTAGCTTATATACAATAAGTTCACAATCGTTTTTCTCTTACTATTTAAGAATGTGCCGGTGTGCATAGAAAAATACCAGACTGATGAAAGAAACAAGGAATGTAAAACTACTGACTTTATCGGTATATATATATATATATATATATATATATATATATATATATATATATATATATGCTTGAATAGGTCATTTTCAAGTGTACTGAATAGCTGCCACTAATCAATGATTAAAAAAATAAAATTTATTGTGTAATATATACTTGTAGGTTTACTTATTTATTCGTAATAGTTTTCCGGTTTTCTTTTTGGTGTATTATCGATCAAATGAAATATTGCTAAGTTACCGAATAAATTACTGATACTAATCAATCGTATAGATCAAAGTAAACAGAATAAAAATTAATCAAGATCTATAAATGAACGAAATTTTGGTTTCATAATTTAAAACACGTAATGACTTTAGACACTTAACGAAAACTAGACAATGTTGGACAGTTGATTCATCTTATTATAAGACTGATTAACAATGTTCATCTACAATCGAACCAGAGGTCGAACCTAAGGCCTTTATGTCTAGTGGAATGCGTCTAACCTCTAGACTATTGAGTTGATATCAAATAGTTTACTTGTCGAAAACTCAATCAATTCATGACATTGTGTAACCACTTTAAATGCTTCATACCTGACAAGGCTGAACTCAGATAATCCCAACTTTATACTAGAACTCCTGAAATTAACTCTCGAAATTCTAGTTGTAAGCCAGGGAGATCGATCCGAATAACTGAGATCTCAGCTAGCTAGTCAGTCTACATAGTGTGGAACCTAGTTCATGTGTGCATTGATTCACGTTGTCATACCACATCAGGACAGGGACATGCTAGAGTAGAAGTAGTAACAGTAGTTACAAAGTTTTAAATAATATTCGTTGAAAAAAATGACGAAGCTGGAAATTTTACTCACTTCAGGAAGTTTTTCAGATAACTGTCTATTTAAAACATCTCTTTCTCTCTCAGCTTCCGCAAGTCTATTCTGTGTAAATACCAATTGATCTTGTGCATCATGTAAACTCTCCATTAGTCTATCACGTTCATCCAATATACTCAATAGCATATCTTCAACATTAGTTCCCTCTCCACTTGCTTGTGAGTCTCGATCTCCTTGACTTGAATTACCGTCCTCCGATATAGTGGGCATAACATCACACATTTTCGAAAGGTGAACCTACATATTTTTAAACGAAAAAGATTGAAGAAATGATATTAATTTCTTGGCAAAAGTATAATAAAGTAACCCAAGAAAAATAAGAAACCAATTACCAACACCTGTACCTGTGTAAACCTTAATCACTTCAAGTACAAGTAACTTGAACATTACAATTCGTATCTGTCTGAGTATACCTGAATAACTAAATACATTATTTATATGATGATGCTTATAATTTTGAAAACATATTTGAGCCAAAAATGTCATTCAAAAATAAGTGTTTAGTAGAATAAAAACTATTTTTAGCGAGAAAAGTATACTAAATATCTCAAAATAATTAAAATGAAAAAGCATTAAAAATTTCAAATAATGAAGCATAATAGCAACTGTTCCACCGAGCGCAATAAAAGTGACTCATTAACTGTACTTTACATTGACTATATCATACAATAAATCGCACTGGTGGGACTCGCTTCATATGTATCTTAATCAAAACATGATAAGCGAGTAGTAAATATCCAATAGTTAATCGTGACTAAGAAAAGTCATCAGAAGAACCATAAAAGTAACTTGAGAAAACCCGAACCGATTTCTGCATTAATCAACTGCACACATGTTAAATCACTGCTAATGATTAAGTAACAAGATAGAGAATCCCTAACTTTATGGTGTACCTCAAATTTTATCTTTTAGTACACTTCTGATAGATACCTACATAAAACATATTTTGACAGGACTGTCTTACTTACTCAGATATCCGGATACCTAGTTCGTTGTAATTGATGTTCAAAGAGGTTATCTTACTAAGCTTTAAAAATCCTTAGTGACAAATCTCTATTTTGCAAGGATAAACTAGCCTCATCACCATAGAACATGATATTTTGACTTATGCCAAGCATTTTCATAGAATAGAAAATATTCCAATCAGAATGGAAATCTATAAAAAGTAAGCATATTTCAAGTCGTAGACTAGTAGTTTGTGTACATGACTCCTGGTTCACAAATCTAAATCCTAATCTATATTTAAAGTTGTGGAAAGCCTTAATTGGTTGTACGTCTCCGATGAAAAGGCGTTACCTAAAAACTAGTACACAAAACGGTATATATGATCAAGTAACATTTGATTTTTATCCCAGCAAATAGAATTATTCAACAGAATACTTTCCAGATATTTAGACTTAAGGTGCTAAATGTCTCAATCTCTTATAATCATACTAAATTTCACTAGCAACTTATACCACGTCAACCAATATTCAACAAACTCGTGATAAAAGTGAGATAGTTTAAGTGAAGTGATAATGCATTACAACACAAAGCAGAAGCAAAACAAATTATTTAGGTGTCTGCAGTCAGGAACAAAAATATCCCACATCTTTTAATATCGTATTTTCAACTCCATATTAGACATTTTATGTTTTGCAATAGACACTCAGTGAGTAGTAACTTGTAAACTGACACATGTCGCACATCAGGTTTTCATACAACATCAGTACAGTGAGATGAAATTATCAAGACAAATATCAGAATAGTAGCAGTAGCAGTGGTAACAGAAAAGGCTAGGTTCGAACATAATGACTTAAGAAAAACAAACTCGCTAAAGGAAAAGTAAATACAATACAATAAGTGCATCGGCATCATTGTGGCTGATTCTAACCAAAGTTTTATACCATCTATCACTTGTAACGAGAATCGCACGGAGCCTAACCAAGTAGTCTGGACTTATGAAACGGGCTCAGTCCAACAATCAATCATCTTATGGACGAATACTAAGTTTTGGTTTATCCGTCACTAGCTTTCTCCCAACCTAATCCCATACCATCAAACATAGCAATATGGTGAACCTGATAATAGCCTTAAGAAACTGACATATTGAAATCATTTAAAATGAATCTTTTAATTCCGCGACAACTACATTATGTAATGTAATGTAATAAATAACTAGATAAATAAATATCGGTCAGAGTTGCTACATAAAGTATGGGCTTTCACTCAGAACTTATTGGATAACAAAAACTGGTTAAGACTTGTTGAAATCATTCGCAGTAACATCTAGATCTATATTTTCTTTCCATAAGTGATACGTATTCATATCACTAGGAATCGGAAACGTCAGTTTCCAGGTCAGTTATGAAGTTAGTTATAACTAATACAAAGCCTGGCACAAGCATGCATCAAGACAACTCATAGGAAATTACAACAGTGAGAAATTAACATAAAGGATGGCGAATAATTCGAAATAATAGTAGTATCAAGGTTGGATAAAATGATTAAACACTGGGAAATACTGTTTTAAAAGACGGAATGTATTTGAAGAATAAATACAATAAAATAATATTGGGGCTCAGATCTTGGGGGGAACTAAATCAATCGGCAACGTTGCAACCGATTCTGAGACATGTTCCTCAGTGTCTTCAAGCAATGATCATGGTTATCTCTCGGATTCCAACCACCATTATTATTCAGTCTAATAGTCAGTGGCTTCATGCACTGATCTCATGTCTTCATTAAGCCGCCCCTAACTCTATTCCAACTTGTCCTTACTCCGGCCAACATTGCGTCTCGAGGTCGGCGGACCCGGGTATGCGTTACACATTTCCCATACACCTCAGTTTGTGATTTCCCACTGCCTCACCAACCGATTTCTCATGTGTGTCTACTATTAGGATTTCTCCGTCAGCTGTTCCATTATACCCGAGCTATTCTTTGAAAAAACCTATGATCAAACCCACATATTCTATTTCCAAGGATCATATCTGACAACCACATAGTAATACAGCCTAGGTTGCTAGACAGAATACTCACTCCCTGATTGACAGGCAAATATATTTATACATGCTGGTATAACCCAAGCTCAATTTTTGAACCCAATTCCAGACCACGTTCAACACCGACGTAGAAAGCCTTCCACAATAAATATAAACGGATTGACACTCAACTGTTTTAATCACTATGACCAGTTCAGCCGTTCACTCAGAATTACAAATGCTACAACTTCTAGCATACTAGCCAGATACTCAGTTGGAATTTCTGAACGATACTACTAGAAATCTGTCCGTCTTTTTCTTTTTCTTATACAAAATCATGCCTTTACCACCTGTTTTACTCCTTTTTTCTATTAGTTCTTTACTACAAAATTAGTGATATTTGTGTGCCCTAAAGTTTCACTTCGTCCATCTTTATTAAGTTGATGTAGAGTGTAACAATATCGAAAGGCTGATGTTTGTGCCATATCCTCCCTATCTTTCGTAATGCCCCTTCCAGCCAAACATAGTTAATGAGACCAGTAGGCCCTTCTGGAGAAGAGGCATACATGGAAGCGTGGCACAACTATCAGGGCGCAATATTTGTTTCTGCTATAGATTTTTTAGTGGTACGGAGTTTGCTTTCAAATTCAATCACCGTCCCCAAATACGAGCATCAGTCAACCAAACAAAGCTACTTGAATTTAGCTGCCTGTTGGACTGAGACATGTAGGCAAGCGCACGCTACCTGACTGGGGTTCGTGTGATTACCATAATCAATCGTTAAATACCTTGGATGACAAGACTCAAAATCGTTCGGCATAGTTCAGGTGCATTCACTCTTTGTCTCCTCCTAGATCCTGTGTTTCTAAATCACCTTATGACTTTCTCAGTATTCTACCAATCTATGTTTACTTCTCGAATCATATCTTTTATGCCTAATCTTTTATACACATAAACATTTGTACAAGGAGGCACCAAATACTTATGGCGTCGGTGTATACAATCTCTGTATTCCCTTAAATTAAGAGATTCGAACCGCTTCATATCTTTCTTTCTACGAACTAATTCTTTTTTCCTGTACTCTATCCTTATTGCAATCTTTCTTCTATAAAGTACCACCTCTGAATTAACTACTTTTATGAATCCGGTGTCCATCTTGTTGTGTTAATGAGGTACGGCAACTTCGACCGATGCATATATGTGCCTGGTCCTACGTTGTAGCTGACTGACTGACTGAAACACTTATGCACCACTTAATATCAATGAGGCCAGTAGTAGTTATCATTGATTTGTGTGAGGACTGTGATATTATCCGAGAGCCCAAATCGGAGCAGGTGGTTTTCTTAGGGGGCCACACCTGGAGCCTTTGACATGAAGTTCTAATCCACAAGGCAGTGGAGCAACACTAGGAGATGAAGTCCCATGGTAACCGGTGACCAACTATATGTTCATACTCCATTTGTTCCCTCTGGATACTGAAGCCCATGTGCACCATTGGTTTGAAATCAGGGTTTTTCAACTCCTCTAGGTGAACCCTCCATGTCCACCAGCCAGTCAAAGCACCGGACATTCTCTTTCTGTTCTTTCAATTTCGTAAACAACACACCCACCGTGAGAAGGAGGTGGGTAGGACTTCCCTGGTAGTGGGTGGTATACGCGTGGCCATGTGAGAGCATTTCGAGAGGGAGAGCGGACTCTCCTCACCCTCAACCGTAACAGGACATTTGGGGGTCTAATCTTATTGTTACTATCCCTACTACTTTAAGATCTTCGCTAACACTTTCGTCTCACTGTTCCAAGAGTGTATGGTAACTTGAACGGATGTACACATGAGCTATGTTGTACGTCGAATGTGATTAACTAATTCTAATTCAACTATTATTTATTGCAACTGTTAGGTTTTGTCTTTAAAAAGAACATTACCCACAAGTTGCGGTCATGAAGAAACAATTGTCCCCATCAAGGTAATGTAACAAGTACAGTACAATAGTTTGTCCACTGCTTTGCAACGATACGTTTCCTTATATGAGCGAAACTCAGACTTCTTACGATTCATTGTAACATTCAAAACAGAAATTACAATCTGATCAGCCCTTATAAAATACACTATGCATCCCAAACACGTATTTCTATATAACGGTGAAATCCTTAATTGCAACTTCAGTAGTGCAATGCCATAAAACTGTTGGTTTACACGATCGTTAGGTAAATGCCATGTCCTGAAATCTCTAACCACGAAGTAAACTATCTTCAATAATGACCTTTATAGTACATAGGTGACCCCAGGTTTTCTACAAATAGTTTGAAGAATTAACGAATCAAAAAGTGAGCAGATTTGCACCGATATATTATCGTTTAATTTATATACATTACTTAACTATAACCTAAATAGTAACAGCAATTACAAAATCATTTATTGCAAAATATGTAATAGACATCTAGAGAGTAACCATCAAGATTAAAACTGAATACGATAAACAGCCAGCACCAAATATTTCGTCTTCCACTAAGAAAACTAATGATGGAAATCAAGATAGTCTTACAATACCACTTCAAGAGGCATCGTATAGAGAGGCTAGAGATAATTCTATGAAAGCCTACATTTAAGTGTATAGTTTCAAGGTATTTGAACAGTTTCGTAACGACTCGACTGCCCTTTGTAGGATATTCGTCAAGACAAAAATATTCCAATGAATACTTCCGAAAATATCTATAGAGCACAGTAGTTAATAAATAGTACAACCCTGAACAAAATCAAGAATGATAGCTTTCCTTTCGAAGCAAAAAACCTGCTATAATAAAACCATTAGGTGAGTTGAAATGCTATCAAACTAAGGACCAAATATGTAAGCGCTAACGGTAGCTAGTTGAGGCATAACCCCCTGTGGCTTTCTAGTGCTTCATAACAACGAACTACAGCATGACCAACAATGATTGTTACTTTGAGTCATATTCGACGTTTCAAGTTACTAATTGGACTATTGCTTAAGATGAAAACAAATGAAAATTTACCGGGAGGTTCTTACCTCGGAACAAATACTCTGTTACTGGGCACTAATCAATAAAGGAAAATAATTAATTTCCAATAATAAAAAGCTATGAACATGAAATATGACCAATTTACCGAAAATTATACTAGAACATTAATTCACTGACTAGTTACCGATCTCCATAGCAGCATCAAAGAGTGTTCTCTTAGTCTAAAAGAGATGACATAAAGTCGCCAAATAATAAACATTTGGACATGCTTAAGAAGACTCACAGTTGACTAACATGTGACTGTAAGTTGAAATATGAAAATGGTTGTATCACTAAATGATTTTATTACGTATCTCAGTTAGCCTTACAAGCATAGTGGTTAAAATAATAAAATCAATTCTTATTGATTCTGTGGTACTTGTCTAGTGAACGTTTCCGGCACTGAAAACCGAAATGCAGTAAAAGATGTAATGTTATCCAAACATACTCTTTGATAATTATTTTGAAACTAATTGGTGAGGTCTCTTATTACAATATACAAGTAGATATACGGCAAATAATCCAAAGGTTACCAAAGTTTGTTCAGAATATAAAACCCAAAACGTGATTCAATATTTCAACATGTATACTAGTTACGTTTGCACGACTGCTACAACGCAATAAGAAAGAATGACTGAAATGTGTCGTAAATTGCTACATACTGTCACAAATTGAGTTACCAGTATTATATTTAGAAATGAAAACACTTCTTGTACTTGAAACTGAAACAATATAACTTCGTTGCCAGTCTGAGGAATAAGAAACACCAATTTTACAGGCCAAAGTCAGAAAACTTATAAAAGTTAAATTTCCACAGAGTATAGGCGGATATCCTTTAGTTTCACGAGATAGTGTTCGTCCATGATTGGCTACCCAAGCAACACAAAAAGGGGAAATAAAGGGGAAATAAGGGGAAATAAAGCGGACGAAAGGGGAAATAAAGGGGAAATGTCGCTTTTTAAAGCGAAATTTCAACAAAGCTATTTCTGAGATACGTGTAACAATTAAAATGGCGCATTCTAAAGTCGAAAAGTTTGTGAACGCACTATACGCCACATTTTCCCAAAACGGTAAACTTGCGTCCAAAACTATCAAATAAATTTACACAAAAACCACTGTATTATATCGAACAATTTCACAATTTCGCGCGCAGCATAGGTTTTTAAGACATGAGTACAGAAAAATTTCGACGACTTACTCCTAGCTCCAAAAAGTGATTGGGATTCTTTTATATATCCGTACAATAGTGGAAACCCATGTTGTTCAATGTGAGTTTTCAAATTTGCGCCAGTTCAGACGCCATGAGGTGCTGTAGTATAATGACTCAACTAAACTTTATATCTGGTTGACTTGAAATGATTAACTGATACCTAAACTTTCAGACAAATAGACCACATCATTGTAGTGGCTTGTGTCTAGCACGAGAGTCGTGTGAGAGCATGTAGTGTAACGTTTGTTAACTGTTCTGAAGATAAAGAAATGGTCAGTCGACAAATTGGAAAGCGTTGATAACGCACTTGCATCTAATTAGAAGGGCAACAAACAATCATGAACAACAACACAAGCCTCAAATTACGAAAGTCTTGAAAAACCAGCTTGGTGTTTGAATGAACTAATGATTCCATTATACTTGTTAATTGCTTGATTTCGAATTCTAAATACAGTACATTCGTTCGCTCTTATCTAGTACTTCTTGATCCGATTACGTTGTTCCTGAGATTCTTAGTTCATGCTATAATTCAAATACTCCTAATAATCATATTGGCGTCGTGACTGAGCCTACGATGGAACGGTTGGACATACATTCAGATTTTGTTGCTTTTGAGGATTACTTTAAAGGTTCGAAATCTGGGCTATGACCAAAGAAGATGATGAGGATGTTAATATTGTGGCACACTTCCTCACATTCATCGGAAAAGAAGCATATGGCTTATTAAGAACTCTTGCTTTACCGTAAAAGACCGTTTCGCTTTCTTATACAACTATCAAGGATCTACTGCTAGCATACAAAGTTCGAATGTGGTAAAGGAGGAAGATTTAGTAAAATGATTCATGAGGATATAAAGAGTTCCACTACATTGGGTCATTCCAACCCAGTCCATACTCAAGGTTCTGCAGATAATTCATTGAAGAGTTGTGATGTAGTTTACGAAGATGAGCACAAGTTTGGTCAGTGTTTGTCCTGTGGCAAGTTCCACTCTTTTAACTGATGTAAATTTCGTGATTCTAAGTGCTTTAAATGTGGTGATATTGGACATATTCAAGAAATGTTAGCCGATCAAACGTATAACAGTCTAGGAGTGAGTACATAGCAAAGTTTTTTTTAAACCCAGAAGAAGGTATGAGAGCATCCTTACTTTATGCTGTAGCAGTAAATAAATCCCTAAAACAAATCTCTCTGTAAGTTTTTGACATTGGACGCTGACCACATTAGTTTTAATGGACCCACCTGGCTGAAGGAGCTCGGTCATCCACCCGCACCAGATCACGAGTGGGAACGCCATGCTCAACAACCCTTGCAATCGCTAGCCAGATTAGACCAGACGATTCTCGATATATTGATAGTCTTCCAAATATATCTTCGAACCTCCTCGCTTCTGTCTTCTGGTTTCGCTTGGTGGGTAAGGTTCATAATAGAAGGTGTTACTGGTTACAGCGTTGTCAAACTCCGAATACATGTGGCATCTTCAATATGAATTTCTACCGGTTTCGAGAATCTGCACAAACTCACGTCAAAATTTCCCCGTTATTCGCTAGCTATGTGGAAAGAAATATCAGCAAACCTCCGTTGCAGTAAAACTAACTTAGTTCCGAAGTCCCCTTTATTGACTTTTTTATGAAAGTGAACTTAACAACCTATTAAATGTACTGAAAACACAACTGGACGAATGCATCATTGTATTTCTGTGCAAAAACCTTCGTGTTTGACAAAAGAGCAAAAGAAATTATTAGGAAGCTCTGTCATGACGCATCTAGTCAATAATCGCCACTACATAGACAAAACTTCAAAATTGACAGTTAGTTACAAATTTCCGCCGAATTTACCTTATGGTTCCACAATCCCACTTTTATATATAGCAGAAGCCAATAGGAGTACACACCAAGAAACCTAACCCTTGTGTACAGAAAAAGTTTAAACAACCTTTGGATCTACCCTAGCTTTCCTCTTAGATACCTTTACAAGTTTTAAAAAGTTTTCTTTGCCTTAAAAAGTTTCAAGAACGTCAATTTTATTATCATTGTCATTTCTAATTTTGACCTTGCATAACCTGTTTATTAACAATATTATCTAATTTTTACAGTAATTATCCTGCTAATTACTTATCATAGACTTCACAGCAAAAAACATTTATATTTTCTTCCAGTTTAGTTATGTGACCATTTGTACCAATTAATCGATTATGAAAATGCACACTAGATTTATTTTCCTACTTTTCCAAACGTTATACAACTAACCGATTATGTGGTTAAACTGACGCACTACCATCTAATCGGTATCGACTTTCTACTCACTTAAAAAAGCATGTACAATACTATGGGGCCTTGATGAAGGATTAATTGAAAAGATAATTCTTTGCTCAGCTTGTCTTATCAAATATCAGCATGATTACCAATGATTTATTTCCACAGGGTCCGATATCTATTTCACTGACTGTAAAACAAAGTATAACCCTTGGAGTTTCGCATGTTTAATTTGAACATGTTCATATTTATTAATACTATTACTGATCCCCTGACACTTAAGATATTTTTTCTTGCTTTCTCTTTACCTTCTCTCCCTCTCATATCCATCCCAATTTTACAGTCAAAATGAATCAGATAAGTATTTTATGTTGTTTTCGAACCTACCATAATGATACAACATAGTTTTGTACTGAGTACTTCAGAATTACGTTCAGAATTTTGTCTTGTCTGAATTCTAGACAATTTCGTTATATTATTTCAAATTCACAGGCTTCTTTACAGCATTTATGTACCAATAAGCTATTTGTAAACCAAAATGATACCTAACTCCCAGTGCCATCTGAATGTGAATGATTTTCCCTGGCTCGTATCTCCATCGGGCTTGCCACATTCTGACTGTGCACAAATATCAAGAGACTCATAAGGTAGAAGGCATAGTTTCTAGCTCAAGAAAGCTCCCAACTGCCTGACAAAGTGGTCCAACATCTGACCAATGCCCATTTATGAAATGTGATGCATATCTTACATGAACGTATAAATACTTGTTCAGTGATCTGCGCGTCTCCCTTATTCACTTCAAAACTATACATATACTTCCAACAGCCCACAAAGCCTTTTGAATCGGCTTTTTAATAAGTGAGGCCTTCATCAACCCAGATCCCAAGTCATTTGTCATGGATTCGATGTGATGTAGTTTGGAACGCTATCCGAATGGAAGCCAGTGGAAAGTGATGTACTCAAAGGCACCATCTTAAGCCCTCTACATTTCCTTCTCTACATTAATGAAATACCGTTGTTGCTTATTGTTTGCGGGTGATGTCAAAATCTGAAGAACAGTAGGGAGTAAGGATGACCATTTTGATGTCCAAGCTGACTTAGGCGGATTAGTAAGATAGGCTCGAGGATGGGATTTAGAAGTTAATTCTAGGATAGTATGCTCGTGCACACGGGACACGGTATTAGTTATCATTATACAAATCATGGTACATCTCTTCCACGTGTTCAAGAACATAAAGACTTAGGAGTAATGACAACTATGCATTGCAACGCAGTTGCTGTCAAAGGTTTTCGTGCGTTACTGTCACTTCGCTGATCATTCAAATGCTTTGACGAGGAAATATTTCGAATTTTATAACTACCTATGTAAGACTACATTAAGAGTACTGTATCCAGTCTGTCAAAATTACCACAGATTCACCCACCTACTATCCCCATCACTGAAGATTGAAGTAGGAGCTCAGCTGAGTTGTTACTAAATAAGCCATGAACTCAGTATATTATAGGAATTAAGTCAGACTCATACGCGAAAGGTTCGGTTATGTGTAGCTTTAACCAGGAACTAGGCAAACATCTCAGCGTTACTACTTGTATGGAGTTTCTGCTTTTAGGTTACCGATGTCCTTGCAAAGAAAGCCAGTAGCAGAAATAAGTGCTAGAAAACTCATTGAAATCAATGACTTTCTAACTGAAATCACTAAGCTCATTGAAATTCAGTTTCAATTTGGAAACGACAGACGGTTTAATGGACTGTGTTAGTCCTGGCAATAACGATCTCTCAGTTGATACAAATTTCTTATGAAAGAGTCGGCAGATGGAGCCTCAGACGCGTGCTGAGGTAATGGATTCCACTCGTTGGTGATTCGTTAGGAAAGTCGATAGTTAGCTGACAAGTAAGTTGTCCTGGGCTTATGAAATTTTTTATAGTGTCCTGGTAAATTTTCTGTTTTGGAAAGCAAGAAAAATGAGGGCATATCAGGTGTAAATTTATCACTAGGCTATTCGGAAACTGTAATCAAGTCGCTTTCAGTTCTGCGATATGACAATAGGAATAGATTTTGCTTGACCAGTCAGGCATCATACGTGATCTTCGCTACTCTGGCAAATCAGCTTACTTGTTGTTCTCTGAACCTTTTCCAAAGCTCACTGTCCTTTGTTAAACAGAAGGCAGCCACTTGTTTGCAGCAGTCAAGTTTAGGACTCACAAACACTGTATACAAAGTCAAAAACGTTTTAGCGTCGACATGAATAAAGGCTCTACGTACTTACCATGAAGTTCTAAAACCTTTGTCGGCTGTTGCACGGCAGTGTGCAGTAGCCTTTAAGTATTGGCTAGCGACGACTCTAAAGTCATTGTGAGTTCGAACAACAGGTAGCTCAGTGTTATTCATCGTGTATGTATCTGTACCTTGACGACCAATATCCATCACAATACACTTGGAAGTATTTATCGGCAACTGCCAGGCTTGAGACCATTCAGGTAATTTCTTCAGGTCATTTTGAAGTTATAATCTATCACCCTTAATTCCTATCGCTCCCCATATCTTTAAATCGTCAATATATAGCAAAACCGATGATGATAGTAGGTCATTTACATACAAGAGGAATAACACTGGCCCGAAAGCTATACGCTAGGGCACTATGATGGGACACGGAGAAGGTCATTTACACATAAGAAGGATAAAATTGGCCACAAAACCATACCCTGAGGCACTTACAAGAAATGAAATTAAGTACGAAATGGAACTGAATATCAAAGACAGGTCGCAGCTGATTGAAATAATCTAAGTCAGGATAATTTTTTATCATTGGAATCCACAAGATTTCACAACCAAATATTGAACTTATGAACACTGGCTTCTCTATAACACAAGGAATCACAAATTATGTATCGGTCACGGAAACAGGGATTGCGTACATTGGCATACATTTGTCCAGTTTAACACACATGTTCATCTTACTACTTCACTAACCGTTTATTTACCTTTTTAGCCGACTCTTGACAATTTCGTGAAGTCGGTTCTCTTTATTTACCAAGCGAATGACAGTACTGTCATTTATTTGTTCCTTCTCCCTGTCGTGTATTTTAACCTTTGTTCAGATCTCTTTTGGCCACATTTTGTGTTCTTCAGTCCTTCTCACCAGAGCTTTTATTAAGTGATTTCGATTAAAGACTTACTTTCTGTTACCTAGTTTTCTGTTGCATATTGCCAGACTATTGACAGTAAGGTCGTGGTTCGATGTGCGACCGTTAACCTTTGACCATCTGCTTTGGAAGATTGCTGGAATCCCTGCAGATAGATATCCGATGTCATCTTGTTGGAAATATTTTCATTGATTCTCAGGTATTGAACTTGTTTGTATTAACTGTCTGTTTCGCTGTTTAGCACGCAAATATGTGTTAGAGAAACTTTTTACTGTACAGCACAGGTTGTACCGTTTGAAGTATATTGTATTTTGATATAATTTGTTCTATCTCTTAAATTAGAACCGTTTAACTTGAGTTCGATGTAATTTAATACAAGTAACTCAAAAACGCTTCGTGTGCTATACAAAAAAATGTAGTCTGGTCTAGTCGAGTAAATTCTGGCCCGTTAGTTCTACTTTCAAACCGAGTATTGGCAGATCGGTCGTTACAGTTCTCAAACGAACAGAAATCATGAGTGACAAACACTAAAATGCCTGGCAAGCGCAATAAGATAAACGAAAACCTGGTGTCTGGCCAAGAGAAAATGCAATCAGATGCGCCTCCAGATGTACGGCAAGTCCCTTCAGATGCATTTTCATGTCACGGCTCTAATGTTGGTTTAGTAAATCGACATAGTAAAATAAGCTCTAGGATCACCTTAGCAGAGTTAAAATACAGTTGAGGGTAGAGCAATTATTAGAAGTTAGAGACTTGAAAGATAGGCAAAGGAAACAACTATTATGCCTTCAGGTAGAGTTCGGGTCGCTTAGGCTAAAAAAGAACATGTGTAGTAAAGTATCTTCTGCCTCCAATTGTGATGATAGAGGACAGGAGTATGTTCACAGTTTCGTAAGCCGTTTTCATGACTTTAGAATCAAGTCCCCAGAAAAGTCAAAACTGGTGGTCTATCCAGAAAAAAAGAAAAGTGAAGTAACCTTGTCATCTCTTAGTGTGAGTCTTGAGCTCCCAAATGTAGAACTACGTAGTTTTGATTGTCAACTAGCAAAATACTGGAAATTTATCAGATAGTTAGAGTTATATGTGGTATCCAAGGTCGAAGACCATAGTCAACGGCTCTTGTTCTATTTACATTATTGCAAAAGAAAGGCTCGAAAGGCCATAGAAGAGTGCGTAATGCTTCCACCATCATCGGGTTATCGTTTAGCATGCGATATACTGAAACGGTTGTTTGGTAGAACACACGAAGTAAGCCGTTATATATAATATACACAGGGTAATTTTACATTGGTTTTCAGGGGAACCAGACACCACCCGGGCTTTCACGTAAAAACCCAAACAGTACAGCTCAACCCCGTTTAGCAGGGGAACCAGACACTGTACAGGCTTTAACGCTACAATCTGAATAGTACAGCTCAATCCTGTGGCGCAACCACACAGGTACCAAGCACCCTGGTGGACCAGAAGTAAGCCGGGATTTGCTGAATGATTTGACTGAATGTTCCAATATAGAGCACAATGACGGAGAGAGTGTTTCTAGGTTAGCAATAAAGATGGATACTCGTTCTATAGCGCTAGAACAAATGAATGTTTCGGTGGATCTAGACTCTGTAGGAATTATGGAAAGCATAGTAAAGAAGTTATGGATGAAATGGGCCCAAACAGTCAAAAAGTTAACAGCAAATGGAAGAGAGCCTACTTTTGCCGAGTTAGTAGAATTTGTATCATCTAGAGCAGAAATTTTACTCAGCAGATTCGGGCAGATTGCAACAACTAGTAAACGGGTTATAAGCAAGGTAGCCTGTTCCACACAAGGGTTGTCGTGAGGTAAAATCGTTAGCAAGTCTAATTGTGCTATAAGCAGGGGAAATCATATGATTGATAAATGTTCCCAATTCTTCACATTAGCAGTCAACGATGGGTGAGCGAATGCGAGAGAAAAAGGTCCGTGTTCTTGTTGTCTCAGAAGGGTCCACAGGTCAGTGGATTGTAAAAATCGTGTTGTGTTCACTATAAAAAGGCCGCCGGGACCTGTATAACCGATTGTTGCATAAACCCATTCACGTTCATGGTAGCTCGAGTAAGCGGTTAAAAGAAAGTCATTGTGGGTACACAGAGTCACCAAAAGAGGATGTGTTTCTTAGTTTAACCCCTTCACTTACTTACGCCTGTTACTCCTCGTGAAGAAGCATAGGCCGCTCACCAGCATTCTCCATCCAACCCTGTCCTAGGCAATCCTTTCCAGCTCCTTCCAGTTGTCATTCATCCTTTTCATATCTGCTTCTATTATCCGACGCAATGTGTTCTTTGGCCTTCCTCTTTTTCACCTTCCCTTCAGGATTCCAAGTTAGGGCTTGTCTCGTGATGCAGTTTGACGATTTATCACTGAACTCGTTTAAAATAAATCAATTCAATATAAAGACAAACACACCTTCCTAATATCACTAGACTTTTTATTGAGAAGTCTACTAACATTGTAGTGACCTATTTTTATGACGAGAACGAGATTGGTATAATGGAAGCAATTATTACTATAACCTACTGTACCAGTGATTGTTATACTGTACCTTGTTGTTTAAGTGTACCAAAAAACACTCGTTTGTTTGTGACCTTGCGCGAACTCTCGTACGCTCAGTAGTCTTGCTTGTAAATTGTGACACAATCTCGTTATTATTTCGATACCACGAGATCGCCAAAAACCACATCTTAACTACAGCTTTCTGATATTTGGCCTACGGAGATGTCTAACCCGATAACTGGCACGTAGTCGATCTGTATTGGTGACCAGTCAACCGCGACTCGACGCCGACTACAACATACTAAGATCTCATACGGCAGAGCTTAACGACTAAGTTATGGGTTTTATCATAAGATATAATTAATTTTCATCTATGAATTTTCTATCATTTCGTCTTATATACAATATATAGTAACTGATAATTATTCAAAGACCTGATTTTTAGCTTTAAATATCGATTTTGGGAACATTTCAATACATAACAACACAATATTGTGTATCCATGCCTTACATAGATATGCACGAAATCATATTATTGTTACGCCACCTGAATGGCATTTCAGCTCAAACCAAAGTGAATGAGCCTTGTCGAAATCCCAGTCCAGAAAATTTGTCTGTTAAGGAAGAATAAACAGGAAACGCCTAGTCAACTGCTTCTTCGAATATAATACCTCTCCATGTTATTAGTTTATTCCCTCTCTGCAGTCCCCATCACTGTCATTCTCTGAACATAACTTACTACCAGCTCTGATAACGGCGAAACCAAACTAGTGAATTTCATTTCATTAATTTATTTAGTCTTTTCATAACGAGGTTACAAGCATTAAATAACTGGGGTTCGCTTCAGTTTAACCACAATTTCTACGTATAGACCAAATGACAAGAAGTATGACAAACATTTATGAAGAAGCCTACATTCTATAACTCAGATTCGAAATTCACTCTAGTTACTTAATTACATTGAGTTCCTGTTTAATGTGTTTCATAATACAAAATATATTTACACAGCTATTATCGCCTACCTCCTTCCAATTTCTCAACCACCTTCCTACTACTTACGAAAGCAAAATTTTGTAGTCTGCGCAAATGTTCCTGCCAAAATGTATCAGTGATCAACCCCCCATTGACGTTTATGATTACCAACGATTAGGATTTCTAAAACAACAGTATCTACTTAATCATAGTGTCAGTATTCTCTGGGCAACTGATTAAACAACCGCTAAGTCCCAAGTAACCCCTCTTTTGATGTACAATGCACTACGGTTATAAATCGTTGAACTAATTACTTTCTATTATGTACCTTTTACCATTTTTGAGTACTATCTGACCACTTCTAAATAAACAAAACATTTGATTACATTCTGATAGTGTACTACACTTCAAAAATACTCTAAAAATGTCATACTAATGATAGACATATGGTACCAAAGACTAACTGTTTGTTTTGCAAACTTTTTCTGGATGACATCAGTTGTAAGTCAGGCTGATAAAACTACTTTTGAGTTGCATTACTAATGGATTTCTTTTTCGACACAGTAGTATTGACATTTATCTAGCGAAACAAGACTTAAGATAGAAGGGCCACATAAAAGGTTCATTTACAATAGAAAATTGAAGGATTGAGTATCTCCGGTAAAAAATTTTTATTTATAATAAAATGATTTATTTACAATCTGCAAATGACTTAAGCATAAAGTATAATTTAGTGTACTGTTCCTGATTTGTTATATACTTCATAATCAAATACTTCATTCTGTTGTTCATCAAAATATAAACCGATATAGTCCAACTCCAAACTAAACGGCCCCTCAATATCATCCATTAAAGTAAATGAAAGAAGACGCATAGTTCCTAGATTCGCAGGAAATTGTCTATTATGTATAATATTTGAACTAGTATGATAAAATTTAGATAATGGGATTTTAGCTATTTGCCAATATGGTCCACCTCGAGTGTACAATGTAAACTGGTGTGTATTAAAACGGTTAAAATCCCATCGTGCACGAGGTAGCACAACAATTTGATATTTTCGACCATCTCCACGATATCTAAAATGGGATGTTTGAAAAAGCTGCAAGGTATTCTAATTTAAAATGTATGAAAAGAAAAAATTCAACGTAATGATGATAATATAAGAATCAACAAACTATCCTATTCGTTAAAACATTGCTAGTTTTCTCCATAATTAAACAACTGACCGATCAATAGTACTTTAACGCCTGTCAATCAGACTCAACATGATCTTGATAATTCTTGTACCTGTTTGATTTTCAGTCAATGAACATAATAATAAGCCTAGGAGTTACTTATAATCCGTTCATCACGACTTTTACTACAGTTAAATACGTGAGTTTTGCATAGTATTATTATTATTATTAGGTCACAGTTCCTTTCTTCATCTTTTACTAAGTAGAAACGTTTACGTAGACAATACCACAGTTTAAAAAATCAGTGGAACACTGATATATGGGTGAAGGTCCTGGGTTCAAATTTCACGTGAGGGATTGTGGATGCGCAATGTTCACTAGTCCTATACGAGAAAGAAATGGCTGTCCAGTGTTTCTAAGATTTCAGTGGTGGTCTAACATTGATCGAGTCATGATCTCAATAAAAAATCCTTTGTATTATTTAAACTTGGATTAATTGTGGTTTGATTATTTATCCTCTAAAGAAGTGGCTTACACTGAGTCAGGAAATGTCAGAAAATTTAATTTTTCTACTCATTGGGATATTCCAGATATATTAACTTATTTACATTATATATTAGTTATTTTTAATTTTAACAAAAGTTAACAAAAACATTTCCCATGCAAATGATACAAAATTTGACTATTAGATTGTGGTTATTTATTTAAATCAGAAGTGTAGAACGTTTAAAATAAAACATAAAGTATAAATGCTATCATCAGTAATTCCATTATATATATATATATATATATATATATATATGGTGAACGAGAACTTGTGTGGAGAAAACTAATCTATTATTATGTGCAAAATCACACAGTGCATCTGTAAAATGTGAAAGTCATACATTAAATACATTATTTGCGCATCTTTCTTCAGTTGTCTTGTGCATACTTCTTCATTCTTTAAATTCGGTTTTTATTCCAATTCTTCTTTGTTTCCTTTTCTGTTCTATTCAATTCAACCTTCTCAATCTTCTGCTGGCAGGTATTTTACCTACTACTGGTGCTACATACTACTTATATCTGTCAACACAAGTAGCCTACACCACATATAATACTTATATACTACTTAGTTGGTTTCTTCACCACTTTTAATGGATTTCTTTTCTATGCACGTAAAATCCTTCAATCATCTTTACTATGACTAAAAATGAAGCAATATCAATATCTTTTTTAGTAATTTCACTGACGTCTCAGTTTTTTGAGAAAGAACTAGCTTTTAACAATTACTAATATAGGTAAACAAGTCAGCAGTGTAAAATATTATCTAGTTATTGTAGGATTTTGTATTGCAAAAATAAATTTAGATCATGAAACCACAATACATTGAACTGCCCTCTCAAAAGGTTTAGTCAGTTATGCATCTTGATTCAAGTATTTAAAAGACGATACTGACCGATATTTCTTTAATAATAACATATAAAATCGTACGAAAGTAATGTTGGGAATGCTAATGAAACAGTCAATACAAGTACGAAGTTAAACAAAGTATACCTGACAGGTAGAATCACAAAGTACAATACCTATTAACTTTTTTACCTGTTACATATTAAACGGTTAAAAAATAAGGATAAGATGCAACTAATTGATAGGGCAAAAATATGTTCCCTGCAAGATAGAAACAAAGTCCAGCCAAAATGCGATAAGAATAAGTTCAATGATTTTCAAGAACAAACAGTCACTAAAATGTAATCATCATATGATAAGAAGTGTATAGTTAATTACCTATTCGAAACATTTTTTTCCCCACAATTAGGAAATTAGTTTTTATCCTTAATGGAACAAAACTGTACTGTTTTTATTTTAATGTTGAAAAAGCAAAGCTAAGCAGGCTACTGAAGGTTGTGTGCTATTGGATCCGTCTGCAGGATATCACAGAGCCCATGAAATTGTGAAGCGACTAATTCGAAGCGCAAATGTTGTGGCTCGTCAGATGACTGATAATCTGGTCGAGAGAAACAACTTAAATTATAACGATGGAGAGGCTTTCTTCCATTTAGCTATTGGGACCAAAAACTGTGTCATCAAGCCGGAAGTACACCTCAGATTTAAATTGTTTAGAAGGAGTAGCGAAGCCTTTGACACTCTAAATGCAAGACAAATGGACTGAGACAGTTGGTGAGATGACAGACAGTGAGAGGTCACTTTCCCTAAATTGAATAAGTTCATTTCGTCACAATCTATAGTCGCTAAAAGCCGCTTCGTAAATGAGAGTTAATCATAATCAAGAAAACTATTTTCAAGGATTTTGGACAAAAGTTAGAAATCAATAGATTTTGCCTTTCTTTGATCACATAATATATGCAATAGAAATGCCTTCATAAGGTCTTCGAAACATTTAAACGTTTTCAGACAATTCCTTTTCGTCATCAAAGCGTAATAATAACGATATCAAGAGTGTCCATTTTTCACTTTGTCATTCACAGATTTCATACAACGTCGAATCAATCAGTTTTGAGTAATACTAATTTATTCATGGTAAACTGTCAAAGAAAATGTTTTATGAGTGATTCACTAAATAATGGGCGAACCGGTGAAGTAGAAATGCTACATTAAATAATGATTTTTATAAGTGAATTCCTAGTATCAATGTGGTGATAATGATTCCATCTCCCTTCCTTCTCAGAAAATTAATTAATAAAGATTTTGTAGACAATCGTGAACTTTTTTTATGGCTACGTGAGAGGTTCAAAAATAAAACACTGATGGGAATAAATTCCTACTCAAATATTTCTGAACAATATTAAGATCGGGAAGTTGTTAATAAGCCATAAAAAAACCAATGAAATTCATAACACTTTTGATTTCTACGAACTCCCTGTTGAATGACTGAAGAGGAACTTCGAAAGAAATCAAATGGTCATTCCAAGGACAGCTGAAGTTCGGCTATATACAATGTATTACCCGTTTGGTTTAATTTATAGGTGGTTTCTTCATAATGAATTGACAAAAATTGCGGTATCATAAAAAAAATTAAATGGATTAGACAACTATCTTCAGTCCTACCACAAAACTCTTCAATTTTCTAGAGTATAGCTCCCTTTGTTTTTATTGATAACCCATCTTATGTCACAATTTGTGACAAAAACTGTTGGCATTATTCTTTCATATTACTTGACATACATACATACTGAAATATAAATGAACACCTACCTGATAATTAAATGTGAGTAAGCTTCAAAACCATAAGGCATAACACATCCAAATAAGTTACTTTCTGGACTGCGGAGATTTGCAAAACCTGCGCGAACTAGATCACCTCGTTTAGGCACGCGTGTACTAATGAAACCACGAAAATGACCGTAACCTTTAAACTTTGGATCAGAGGATGTCATGACAATAGCTGCCGAATTCGCCTGTTTACCACCAGGTCGATATAAGAATTTTGGACTGAAGATAAATGGTACCACCAATAGATTCAAGATATATATATAAATATATATAAATATATATATATATATATATATATATATATATATATATATATATATATATATAATAAATACAGGGTAAAGAATATATATTTAGGATAATGGTTACTAATTTATTTACATTAGGATTAGTCTTCTTTTACCAATTTTCCTGTGTTCTATGATTAAAAACAGTAATTTTAACATTTTAACTTTCAGTATTAATCAAAACAGAATCGAAAAATATAATCATGAAACTATAAGACTTTTGTAATACAACATGAAGCGCTGTTGTAATTGGGGTATATATTTGGGACACTTGTAGATAATCAGGGTAGATTGGTTCATGCAAACAACTAAACCTATCAATTGAAATTTATTAAAAAATCATATTGATAATTCAGAAGAAAATGTTCCATAAGATAGCTTGAAGCTTTTAGTAATTTAGAGAAGTGTAGTTGAAAATCTTAGATATACTGTTACGAATAACATTGACCACAGTGGAAGCTGTAATGCATGAGTTCCTATAGTATTTTGTATATGAAAAATTTATAAAGTATCAAAATTTCAAGTCCATAGTGTTTATCGTATAATATTTATTCATAGTGCTACATAATCGTAATAGTTCTATCCAATGTTTTAGTGTTAAGTACTGCTTACGATAGTCACACGGACCCCAAACAAGCAGTATATATCAATCAATATGGCTCAGACCAGAAGCTAGTGACTTCAAGGACTGATGACACGTTTTCGTTTAGCCGCCCCTAACCTTCTTCTAAACATCTCCAACACCAGTCAGCATTGCGCGTCATAGTAATCGGTGGTTGGGCTGCGTGGCCCATTATTGCTTAGTGCTACCAAAAGACTGCATTTTATGACCCTCTTCACCAAACAGGACTATGTCATCTGAGTATTCTAAGTCGATAAGTGAACCTCCTGAAAGGAGATCAATTCCCGAAAATTCAGTCGACGAGAACGTTCTTCCCAGCAGTAGGTCTATGATCGAATTGAACAAAATGGAGATAGTGGATAGTCCTGACGGACACCATTTGAGTTGCAAAATCAGATGATAGTTCGCCATAAGCTCTGACTCGACTGTTAGTGTTCGAGTAAAGAGTCCTCACGACGTTGATTTACTTATGAAGTACACCCTTCAATGACAGACACCTAAAACTGGACCACAATACTTTAAGACCTCTGGAGGTAATCCATTGAACCAGTTGCTCTTCCTCGTTTCAGATTAGCCATAGCTATTTGAACTTCAATTAGAGTCGAGAGTCTATTTGAATGTTCCATTCAGGTTATTTGGGAATGGTGGGTAGCTGTAGAGTAGTTGAAGGCCGGCTGAACTGCTCCTTAAAGTGTTCCGTCCATCGTTCTAAACGTATGGACTGATAGAAGGTAAGACTGTCGTCTTCTGAGATCGTCCCACTTACACATGACTTCCTAATTCCAGTTTCTTTTATTAGTCTGAAAAGCTGTATTGTGCTACCTACAACCGCTGCCTTTTCCATAACTCACGGTCGTTCTTAAACTTTTGGTTAGCCTAGATCTGATTTGTTTTCGTTCATTATCGTGCTTAGAGCCTGATAGGATAAGTTTACGAGAGTCTACCACTGCAATAAATGTCGCAGAAATCCACTGGTTTTTCATAATCCTTTGGTTCAAATCACTAATGGATATGGCTGTTTCCACAGCTGTTCGTATATCTTTCCAAGCAACATCTGGGTTAGCCCCGTTTTCAGAACTGCCAAAGTGTGACCTCAGTTGTTCCCGGAATCTACTTTTGACTTTCTCGTCACTGAGTTCGACTCTAATCGCTCTTCTTAATGTGGTTTTTCTGCATCCAGTGAGGCACAAGTAAATGTGTGCTCGTATTAGAGCATGATTGGTGTCCAAACAGGTATTCCAGAACCAGCGACAGCCTTCTATCGAGTCTCTCCAATGATGACTGATGAGAACATAGTCTATTTGAGTTCATCGTTGGTTTGGTGCAGGGGGTCGCCATGTTTGACGATGTCTCTCCTTAAGCTTAAAGTTAGTGCTTGCTAAAAATAAACGATCGTCTGAGCACACTTGCAGCAGACGGCCACCATTATCTGCTCTCTCAGCCGGAATACTAAAATACCCACCTAAATGTCTTTCTGTTTGATTTAAGCTACTTAATTGGGCGTTAAAGCCGCCTGCTACGAGTACTATGTCAGAGTGTTTAGCATTTTAAAGGAGTTTAGAAAGCTTTATGTAAAATTCATCTTTCACTTTATCCGAGGAAAAGGCAACAATGTGTGTCCCTATACTACCAAGTTCTTACGAAACCGTTTAGCCGAACAGCATAAAGGCAACTGTCAACAGGGATCCATTCTAAAAGTGCTTGTTCTGGCCTCATACTTAGTGCTATGCCTATGCCTAACAGTCCACGAGAATTTGCCGTCAGGTACACCTCTTGACTAGGTGAGGTCAAGTGAATAACCACACTAGAATCCCGTGTGCGTGTTTCGGAGACGCAGCATACATCAATGGTATGAGATCCTAGGATATTAGCAAAGAATACCTACTGACCGACTTGACAAAGGGTGCGTACGTTGAAGGCTCCAATGTGTAGTTTGGGGCGAGGTTTCAGTAGACCTAGGATAGTGTTTCGCGCACTAGAATCGTTGGCTATGGTGACACTTGAGGAGGAAGTCAAAGAAAGAAGTTTATAGTTGATAGTCGAGGTAGGAGGAATAATAAGATTTGAAGGGAGAAACTGATTGTGAATACAGTGATCTTGAGTGCTGTTAAAGATATGAAAGCGGTTATCACTTCCTGGTTGTCCACACCGTGGAATGATTCTTCTAAAGGTACCCGAAAAGGAAATCGGGTTAGAGGTGGTCTCAGTGACCTGACAGAGTGATCGCAGTGCCTAAGGAACAACACACAACCTTTTTATGAGTAATTTTCGTGTTAGCTCCACACTTGTTGAGACCTTGCCACCGGAGACGGATATCCGTGGGAGAAGGTGAGGTGTGCATTTTTAGGGTCGACCTTTTCTAACCCCGCCTTTCCTTTATGAGAAAGCAGCATCGCTGTTATACTGGTTGTTTGAAGGAAACACCTTACTGCCATCACACCTCTGTACAGTCAGTTGTACGACTTTGGCCTCGGACATTGAGTTTGCTGCTTTTAGTCTTATCGCTATTCAACCAACCTGTCTGGCATGGTAAGACCCTGAGGAATGATTGTTCCGACCAGTATAGCCTGATTGGTTCATCACGATAGGCAAGCCCGACCACCACGTCAAGGTAGCAGCAACGGTCAGGCATATGATTGTAGAATTAACTATGGATGGAATAAACTTGATAGTATGATAGAACTTGACAAACAATTATATTTATGTTATCCTACACCAGAATAGAAACATTTACACATGAAAGTTGGAGTGAAACAAAACTCACTATGAAGCTGGGTGGGTATAACCAAATTCATGATCTTTGTTTGGGTCATCAAATGATGATATTATCGAGGTTGTTATTTTTTCTCCTGCTTCATTACTGTTTCCTGATGTTGTTGCACTATCTGGATAAACACTTTCATTTAAACCCAAAGCATTAGCACACCCCGCAGCTGTTCTAGACGACCGTACAAATTCAGCCCATGAATAACCTTCACCGTGGCTACTGTCACTAGTAACTAACCACTTCGAAAATTCTTCATCTGTTAAAAATGGAAATCTAACAAAATAACGTGTTCTTGAATGAACTTTTGTCTGATGTAAAAAAGAGGGAAAAAAATTCCAAGAGAAATCATAGTGAGTTAGGAATTCAGAATTATTTTCATTCAGAAAAGAAATAATGAATAATTTGAAATCAATTGATAAAAATAGAGGCTTTACATGATGATCAATCGATTCCAATACTATTGGAATTTATTAAACTATTAGTGGAGTTAGATTCTCTGAGCTAGACGGTTAAAATGGAATTTTTTCATTGTCATTCTGAACAACAATATCAGAACCTACTAATTCATGTAGATGCAAGTTTATTCAATCACTTCGCAAGTGCCAAATCATTCTGTTCTGATAACCTGATTTGGTCATATTCATGAATCCTTGAAATCTCGTTTTATGTTTGTTTGTTCAAATGACCTATGATTACATAAGTGATTTACTGATGTTTTCCGTGTATATTGGTAAATTGGGTCAATACTATCAAGCCTATTGATCGTATATTAACCTGAATCATCTGATGATTTATTATGTAGGAAACAGTCAATCAATCTAGTAGCATACTACCAAGTTATATATATATCCCATATTATGAAGAATGTAACATTTGTTCAAAGATTAATGCACCATGTGACTAAATTTCAAAAGAAAAAAATGTGTTAGGTCCTTCCTTTTTTAAAAGTGACAAAAACGAACATTTGACCCTGCACAAATGTACTAAAATTAACTGAGCTACCTAAGAAAAAAAATAACTAATAATAAAAACAGTAAATATGAGTATTTATTAGTAGTATGAATTACTAGTAGTCGGAAAAATTTTGAAAAGAAAAACTGTTACGAGATTGTGAAAAGATGACGACAAAATTCTCAAATACAAAATCTAAAAAATGTATCAGTAAAATAGAAGACAAATTGTGTTGAAAAAAGAATGAAAATAGAGCTGAAATCAATAACTTTAAAAAAATACTTCACACAAGTACACACCGAAAAAAGTTCAATATGAACAATCGAGAACCATTTGAAAGGGGAAAATGTTATCAGTAAAGTGAGGTTGTGTTTAGCAGTGGAATTTAGGACACATGGTATATGCGTGTGCTGTATGTTCCCATTAAACATTCTGTTTAAAGTCGTATTTAGTGATAATACTTATGGCCTTTTAAATAACTATTGACAAAACAATCAAAACTTCCCAGTAATAACGTATACCAAATAAGTAGTGAATCCAAAGACTCCTTCATATCCAATCCACAATTCCCAGAGATTTCAGAAAATGTGACGATTATAGACTGGATTTAAGTCCGTCTGTAACTCTTCTAGGGTTACTGCCGATCCGAAGTTCGGGTACAGGAGGGCAGGGCATGGAGTTAGCAACCCCATCCCGTAGAAAACAACCTTGCCAAAAATACGCTAAGTAAGTAAGTAAAAATACGCTAACTAGAACAAATAAATTAAACCTGGGAGTTGAAGCAAGAATTATGACAACTCATGATGAAAGACGAGATTTTTCGGAAGTCACGAGGTTGATGCCCCCTCTAACAGCCAGAGCAACAATTATGACATGGAACGTCCGGACAAATGTGGGAGACGGGGAGGAGTGATCAAATAGTTACGGAAATGAGGAGATAAAACTTGATAGTGATCGGATTCGGTGAAACCCATTAGACCCATGCTGAATAGAAGAGGATAGTTTGGGAGAGATGTTGCCGTACTCTAGTCATGAAGAAGAAAATGCTCCACATACTCAAGGGGTTACTCTGATGCTATCCAAAGAAACACAAAAACCACTTCTAAGATGGAAATCCCATGGATCCAGAATCGTCAAAACATTCTTGAAAACAAACAAGGAGGAGATCAGAATGAATGTTATCCAGTGCTATGCACCCACCAATGATAGCAATGGGGACCATAAAGACCAGTTTTATGAGAGGTTGGAATCGATCATAGCGTAGTGATCAGGAAAGGACCTGACCGTCCTGATAGGAGACCTAATTCATTCGACGCACTACACTGCAAAGCCGTGCATAAAGGACAGCTGACGGGTGTATTCCAAGTGAAAAAGGTGGAAACTTTCATATATCTAAGCAGGACCATCGATAAAAAATTAGGATCTGCTGAAGATGTGAAGGCAATGATTATCAAAGCAAGGGAATCATTTCTACACCCGAAGAAAATATGGAACTCAAAACAACTGTCAGCCAACATCAAAGTCACAATCTTCAATACGAATGTTAAAACAGTTTTACTATACCGACATGAAAGTTGGAGAACTATTACAACCATCATCAAAAAAGTATAAGTATTTCTAAACTGTCCACGCAAGATACTCAATGTTCGTTGACCGGATACAATCAGGAACAACCTACTGTGGGAAAGAAAAGAACCAAATTCCTGTTGAAGAGCAAATTAAGAAAAGACGTTGGGCATGGATAGTACAGACATTTCAGAAATCATCAAACTGCATCACAAGACAAGTGCTAACTTGGAATCCTGAATGGAAACGAATGCTGGTGGGTGGCCCATGCTCCTCCATGAAGGGTAACAGACGTAAGTAAGTAAGAAGTTGAAAACGTAAACCACTAGGTCCCGACCACAAAATTATGGAAGTAAACTAATGCCACCAGACCTGAGAGTCCAAGTTTCAATCCCTGGTGGAGTTGTCCGTGCTAGTATTCACTAGTTTACAATGACCTTTGAAAACATCCACATAGATTTCAGAACTGTTACATTTTAATCTCAGTATTTCGCTTGCACAGTTAAAAAACTTGATGTTCTGCTTAAACACATTACCATAATTTTATCATAATAACCGTTTGCTTGAAATGCTAAAACTAGACTTTGATATCATGTTAAGCTACAATTTAACACAGCTATTAAAAGTAGAACTTATGTACGACAAAGCGATTCAGACTAAATAGAAGAATGGGCAGTTACTATTCACACAAACAAGATGTTTTACGGGATAATAACTAAATGTAACTCAGTAACCACATAAATCCTACTATAGAAAACTTTAAGCATAATCCAAGATCCCATATATTAAGCAGAGTTGAATAGTGGCTACCAGTGGAATTCAGGACGCGCATTTCGTCTTATTTGGTACTCGTCACTCGGATGTACCTACACCAGTGTTGAAGCCCACATCAGAGCACAAGTACACCCAGATGACGTGTACCAAACAGGAAGTAATGAGCGTCCTGGATTCCACTGCTACTCACTATTCAACTTTGCTTAAAATGCTTTTGACTTCACGGCAACATCAAGGCACATATTCAATAGCAGTACAAAACATTGATGGGAAGATTCAAATAACCAATAAAAATGGATCATGCACATATGTATACATATTTATACGATTAAATCTTCTAAAAACCGATTCTAGTCATTATTTATAAACAAATCTTACATACAGTAAGTACCTTGGGAATAGCCACTATTGATCTCTAGTAAGATGAAACTACAAAATCACTTTGTTTTTCATGTTTTCATTGTATTGTATAAGCTAAATATTGCTCCTCCAACTCTCTCTTGTTTTCTTTCTATCGTTTCTCTATTGTTACTTACTTACCCATAACCATACTATAATAATAATAATAATAATAATAATAATAATAATAATAATAATAATAATAATAATAACCAGAAACAACGAACAGCTGCGAAAACTGGCTCACATTCGAATTTTGTTTGTTAGTCCTACTTTTTTTCAATATTGATTGTTCACTTAATGGTCAGTAGGAGGAAGAAACCTAAGAGAAGAACGGAATAGAGAAAAAGGGAGACAAACAAAAGGCAACCCCTCTATGGATATACTTCTCTCTTCAATGATGTATATATCCTCTATTTGGAATCACTTTATTCTGAGCAAAAAAATCAAAACACACAGATACACTAAACATGGAGAGAGTTGGAGAGACACAAAGAAAGAGATGAGTATATTAAAACAAATAATGAAATATAAACAATGATCTAAGTAATGCGATAACTAATTAAGGCAAGTGAAAAACAGCAACAGATGATTAAGCACGAACAATTCACTTGACAGTAGAAGTTGTTCATTATCAACGTAAAGACTGGCAGCTATGTGTACTGGCCCAAGTTATCATACCATATTAGAACGAGGTAAAAATAGCAAGACGTATAATATAAGGAATGTAGTAACAGTGATAATCTGAAAGACTGAACATTGAGAATATGGTTCGAAAGAACAAAGAGAAAAGATATGGTATGATGGAATACTGGATATAAAGATCGAGAGGAATATAAAGAGTGGACGCATCTGAGCCATTATAAACGATTTTAGGCCATTTCACTTAGAGCTAAAAGTCACTGTTTATGGACCTCAACCAATTGGTCTTTATCCATCTACATAACTCAATTCAAATCATTGGATTTATGTATTGATATCATACCTTGATTTGACCACTACTAGCTTCCTTTCAACATACATCTACACTAGTGAACATCATCCGTTATGGTAGGCAGTGGTTACGCTTAACTCTACAACCTTTTTTTAACATCTAACAATACAAAGAAAATAGTTAAAGTATGATATAAAGTGAATACTTACTACTGATTGGAAGATTGACTGAGGTTAATATACGATAAGTTGTTTTAATAAGCCTATTTTTGAGCCAAGCAAAACAAACACTGTAAGTATCAAGGGAAATCATTAAGATGCACCTCATATCCATTAAATTCTTTCGTAAATGTAACAAATTTATAGATAAGATATTGTTTTATAGAATGTACTGAAATAAGCAATGTGTACATTCATTTAATAGTAATAAACAATCAGAAATATTCCCATCTGAAGTATGTGACGACAACACCACCCGAAATGACAATGAAAGCTTTGCAAATAAGCCATCCAACACAATGGATACAACATCATCAAAGGAACCTAGCTGAACGACAAATCTTCACCAACATTTCACAATCATAAACACTGTTGATAATAATAAAAGTATGAGTTATATCAGAAAATGATAAGTAAAATTTTTCAACATAATCATCTTCAGGGAACATGTCCAAGTCGTCATGTAGATGGAATAATGATGTAGTATATCACTGTTTTATTCCTATTTTAATCTGGATATTCACATCAATACAAACACCCTCGTTCGTCAATAAATTGAAGACAGAAATGTGAATAACGCGAGCTGTCATGACAAAACTTACAGGATTAAGGATCGTACATATCACACAGTTATTTCTTTTTTGATAAAATGCATATATGTGTGTTCCCATTTAAAATATCTAGTAAAGTGACTGTGATTGAAAAAAGTGAAATGACAACTTCCCAACCAATTTGTACACTAAAAACAATATATCCACTAGCTCCACAACAGTATTTTTTTCATTATTATTTATTTCAACACATAGATATTGTTACAAAGAGGCACCAAATACATATGCGCCACACAAACCTTATTAGAAATTTTTTCATACGGTTAGTGAACTTTGGAAATCCTTCCTTTCTTAAACTCTAACTAGTACAGAATAGACACAAATATGACGAAAATTTGTAGCTAATCTGGGTGCTTTTGGTAGTGTTAAGTTTTCCGAGCTTCTATGATAACTAATAATTTCAGAAAAAGTATACAATATGGAATATATGGAGAAAAGTACCATAAAACTACTGTATCCTGGATTTCACTTTCGTAATATATCACTTAATTCGCTAAGCAATAAGTACTAATGTTCTATAGTTTCTTTATTCACTTCTTCGAAACGATGGTAACTTAAATAATAACGGTAATAATCATGATAATAGTAATGATGATAATACTGTTAATAAACGAAGGCGAAACAAAACTTTAAAAAAATATGTGCAAATTGATATTACTAAGGTGTTAGGAAGTCAATGACGAAAATAAACAACGCCAGTAATAGAGTACTAGATAAAAATGGAAAACTGTTTGATGAGGTAGTAAATTTTTATCAACTGAAGTGGTTCAAACATGTGCTACCCATGCCCAACCGCCGCCTAACTCGATGGGCGATGTTGTCTGGTGTAAGAGTAAGTTGCGAAAAAGCTAGGGATGATCAAACCAATAAAGCAAAAGTTTAATCGACTTATTTAACTAAAATGAACAATGGTTACTATTTGTCTTTTCAAATATTTATATGTTTTCGTGTCAATTTTTTTTTTTTTATATTGATAAGTTTCTGTTAATGTTATAAATGATTTGAAAGAATGTGTCAATATTACTTGTATATTCATCTTGATTATTAACGCACTTATATTTTCACATAAATCTCAAGTTCTGAATATTAATTCATATTATTAAAAATCCCCGACCGTTGTTGCTACCTTGACGTGGTGGTCGGGCTTGCCTATCGTGATGAAGCAACCGAGCTATACTGGCTGGAACAACCGTTCCTCAAGGTCCTACCATGTCAGACAGGTCGGTTGAAGAGCGGTAAGACTAAAAGCAACAAACCCAAGGTCCGAAGGCGAAGTCGTACTGCTGACTGTACAGAGGTGTGACAGCAGTAAGGTGTTTCCTTCAGACAACCAGCATGACAGCGATGCTGCCTTCCCACAAGGAGGGGTGGGGTTAGAAAAGGTCGACCCTAAAAATGCACACCTCACCTTACCTCACGGATTTCCGTCTCCGGCGGTAAGGCCCTTTGAAGAACGGAGCTAACACGTCGAAAACCTTCCACGAAAAGGCCGTGCGCGACCGGCCTCAAGCAGTTGTCCATTGGGCTCTGCGGTCACGCTCTCAGGTCACTGAGACCACCTCTAATCCAATTTCCTTTTCAGGTACCTCCAGAAGAACCCTTCCACGGTGTGGGCAACCGGGAAGTGATAACCGCCCTCATACCTCTAACAGCACCCAAGACCACTGTATTCATAATCAACCTTCCTCTTCAATTCCTATTATTCCTCCTACATCGACTTTCAACCCTAAACTTCCTCCTTCGGCTTCCTCCTCAAGTGTCACCATAGCCAACGATTCTAGTGCTCAGAACTCTGTCCCAGGTCTACTGAAACCTCGCTCCAAACTACACATTGGAGCTTTCAACGTACGCACTCTATGTCAAATCGGTCAGCAGGCTTCCTTGGCTAAAACCCTAGAGTCTCTTTCCATTGATGTATGCTGTGTCTCTGAAACACGCATACAGGATCCCAGTGTGGTCATTCACTTGACCTCACCTCGGCAGAACGGAGAGCCAACGAGATACACCCTCCGTGTATCTGGTGACCCGATGGCCAGTTCTCGTGGACTGGCAGGTGTAGGCATAGCACTAAGCATGAGGGCCGAACAAGCACTGCTAGAGTGGATCCCCGTCAACAGTCGTCTATGTGCTGTTCGGCTGAACGGCTACGTAAGAACTCGGAAGGATAGGGACACACGTCGTTGCCTTTTTGTCGTTTCTGTCTACGCTCCCACTGACTGCAGCTCAGATGAAGTGAAAGATGAATTTTACAGAAAGCTTTCTGAACTTCTTCAGAAAGCTAAACGCTCAGACATAGTACTCGTAGCAGGTGATTTTAATGCTCAGATAGGTAGCTTAAACCAAACAGAAAGGCATTTAGGTGGATATTTTAGTATTCCGACACAGCGAACAGATAATGGTGATCGTCTGCTGCAGCTATGCTCAGACAATCGTTTATTTTTAGCAAACACAAATTTTAAGCATAAGGAGAGACATCGTCTAACATGGCGACCCCCTACACCAAACCAACGATGGACTCAAATAGACCATATTGCCATCAGTCATCGTTGGAGAGGGTCGGTAGAAGATTGTTGCTCATTCTGGGGTACCTGCTTGGACTCCGACCATGCCCTAATACGGGCACGCATCTGCTTGCGCCTCACTGGACGCAAAAAAGCCACATTAAAAAGACCCGTTAGAACTGAATTGAGTAACGAGAAAACCAAAAGTAGGTTCCAGGAACAACTGAGGTCACACTTAGGTAGTTGTGAAGACGAGGCTGACCCAGATGTTGCTTGGAAGAGCATACAATCAGCTGTGGAAACAGCAGTGACATCTATTAGTGACTTAAACCACAGAGTTGCAAGGAACCAGTGGATTTCTTCAAGGTCTGTCACACTGATGGATTCTCGCAAGCTCGTCCCATCAGGTTCTGAACATGATGAAGAGCGAAAACAAATCAGATCTAGGTTAAGAAAAAGTCTAAGGAACGACCGTGAGCAGTGGTGGGTAACGAAAGCAAAAGAGATGGAAAAGGCGGCGACTATAGGGAACACAAGACAGCTTTACAGACTAATAAAAGAAACTGGAATTAATAAGTCAAGTGTAAGTGAGATTATTTCGGAAAAAGATGATACTCTCATCTGCTCCCAGTCCAGACGTTTAGAACGATGGGCGGAACATTTTAGAGAACAGTTCAGCTGGCCTTCAGCTACTCTACAACTACCCTCCATTTCCAGACAATGTGAATGGAACATTGAAGTAGGTCCCCCAACTCTTGCTGAAGTTCAAAAGGCTATAGTTAATCTGAAACGAGGAAGGGCAGCTGGTCCAGATGGATTGGCTCCAGAGGTCTTTAAGGATGGTGGTCCAATTTTAGCGATTAGGTTGACTAATATTTTAGCTAAGATCTGGGAATTAGACTTTATCCCATCTGACTGGTCGCAATCACTCATCGTCCCAATATATAAGAAAGGGTCAAAATCATCCTGTGACAACCACAGAGGGATTAGTTTAACAAACATAGTATCTAAAATACTGGCCTCGATAATTATCAGACGCCTAACTAAGACTCGTGAACTACAAACTCGAGAGAACCAAGCTGGCTTTAGACCTGGTCGTGGCTGCATCGACCACATATTCACCATTCGTCAGGTTCTAGAACACAGGCATACCTATCGGCGTCCGACGATGGTGGTCTTTCTTGACTTAAAAGCAGCGTTTGACTCTGTAGACCGCGAGACTCTGTGGCAGTGTCTGTCATTGAAAGGCGTACCTCAGAAGTACATAAACCTTGTGAAGGCTCTTTACTCGAACACTACTAGTCGAGTCAGGGCTTATGGCGAACTGTCATCTACTTTTGCAACTTCAAGTGGTGTCCGTCAAGGCTGTCCACTTTCTCCATTTTTGTTTAACTTCATCATAGACCTATTGATGGAAATAACACTCTCGTCGACTGAATTCTCGGGTATTGATCTCCTTCCAGGAGGTCCACTTATCGACTTAGAATACGCAGATGATATAGTCCTGTTTGGTGAAGACGCTGACAAAATGCAGAGTCTTCTAGTAGCACTAAGCAACAATGCCAGAATGTTTGGGATGCGCTTCTCTCCCTCTAAATGCAAGTTGTTGCTTCAGGACTGGTGTGCGTCAACACCTGAACTAAGGATAGGGAGTGAAGTAGTCGAACGCGTTGACAACTTCACTTATCTTGGAAGTCTGATCAGCCCTAATGGGTTGGTGTCTGACGAAATCTCAGCACGGATTCGAAAAGCTCGTTTGGCTTTTGCCAACTTACGTCACCTTTGGCGGAGGCGAGATATCCGTCTATCAATAAAAGGACGAGTATACTGCGCGGCAGTCCGTTCTGTCTTACTTTACGGCAGCGAAACATGGCCATTAAGAGTAGAAGACACCCGTAAGCTACAAGTATTTGACCACAGATGCCTTAGAAATATTGCTGGTATCTGCTGGGATCACCGGGTAAGTAATAGTGAGGTTAGACGCAGGGTATTAGGGAATGATGGTAAATCAGTTGATGAGGTTATGAATCTTCATCGACTGAGATGGTTGGGCCACGTGTTACGTATGCCTGAACACCGATTACCACGACGCGCAATGCTAACCGGTGTAGGGGTTGGTTGGAAGAAAGTTAGGGGCGGCCAAACCAAAACGTGGCATCAGTGCTTGAAGTCACTAACTTCTAGTCTGAGCCATGTTGGTAGATGCAGACTACTTGGTTGGGATCCACGTGACTATCGTAACCAATGGTTGGAGACTCTTGGTGACATGGCTCAGAATCGATCACAATGGCGTCGGTGTATACACTCCCTGTCTTCCCTTAAACTAAGAGATTAAATCACTTCATATCTTTCTTTCTACGAACTAATTCTTCCTTCCTATACTATATCCTTATTGCAACCTTTGACCTAACCACTCTTATGAATCCGGTGTTCATCTTGTTGTGCTAATGAGGTATGGCAACCTGGACCGATGCACATATGTGCCTGGTCCTACGTTGTAGCTGACTGACTGACTGATTATTAAAAATCCCTTGACCGAGTACGCATATAAAGCCAATCACAATTCACTTACCAAAAATAATTTCAATGGTTGAGATCATGAGTTAATTGAAGTAAGACCACCGTGGTAAACCTGGAAGCACTGAACGGCAGTTTCGTCCTATTGTGGGACTCCTCAGCAGTGCGCATCCACGGCCTCTCACCCTGCGAGATTCGAACCCAAGACATATTGGTTTTGCGTGCGAGCACTTAACCACTAGACCACTGAGCCGGCATCCAACGGTGTTAATGTCTAACTTCAACCAAACCACCAAATTGAGCGACACATCCACCATTGTCTTCAGTGAGTTACTATCTCATAACAGATCTGGCTGAAATCCACTGGTCACTGCTTCTCACTAGAACTCCAGGATATATCTCTTGAAGCCAGTCACTGGTGAGCATATGTTGATTAATATCAAATGGGTTTTGTGGATATATATATATGTAAAAAATGCCCATGATATTTTTCTTAATAATGCATCAGATCTTTTGTACCAACATTAATGTATACAATAAACAATACATTATGAAACATTGAATACCATTAAAAATTTTTTAACAACATTAATTCATTAACGAAGCTTCGGTTTAGGCACTCGGACAGTGTCACAGCCCACACACATAAATCAAATGACGTGTGTAGCGCATATGTATTCGGTGCCCCTTTGTACCAATATTTGTGTTCAAATAAATAAGTAAATAAATAACGAAGCATTTCTCAAAGCTGTGAAAACAATTTTTTTGTTTGAGTAACTACTTAGATGACTAATCTTTAATCCAGGAAAGTAATGTACAAGCTAATATTAACTGGATAGACACTGGGAATCATCTGTTGTATTGTACTTTAAACATTAATAATGGTGTTAACTCACAATTTCACATATCAATGAACTAAGGATATTCAAGTCAGATAAAGAAAAATGATGGATTTAGAATAATGAATTACAATTCAATCATCTACATTTCTAAATTTAATCGAGTTGACATACATATCAGTATGATTATACAGCGCTATTGGTAATACTTATCTATCTTTCTTAACACAAGGATTAAGTCTACCAATCACACGATTCTTTCAGGACTTAAAGAATATATTTTAAAGCCAAACACATTAGCGAGTATGCGATTATTGTTCAACTGGATAATTTATAGATATTTTATAGAATTTTAAGATTGAGAATTGGTTGTTAAACGATTAGATAAACAATACTCGAAATCATGAATCAATTGAAGCTAGATCACTATGGGAAACCTGGAAGCACTGGACGGCCGTTTTGTCTTAGTATGGGACTCCTCAGCAGTGCGCATCCACGATTACGCCCCTTGAGAGATTCAAAACCAGCACCTATCAGTCACGCGCGCGAGCGCTTAACCATTAGACCACTGAGATGGCCGGCATCCAATTAAATAAACAATTAAGTGTTAAGTATGGTTTGATAGACAGAATAAGAACAACATATTCCTAGAAAGTGATACAGTTACAATTACTGCCAACAGTTTTCATTTAAATGTGATCAGAAAATACACTCTGATGAATATTGCTTTTTGTCCCTCACAGCTGATTTCACTTTTAAATTATTCGCCTGATTTGATTACGTGTACAAATTACATGTAGTTCTATCAAACCAGTTTTGATTGATAAATGAAACATGTCGTTAATAATATAAATTGAAAAATTAGTTTACAGAATGACATACAAAATTCTAGATTCAATAATTACCAAATAATCCAAAAAACTCAAAAATATAGATATAGAATAAATGATTTATTTGAAAAGATATTTTATACAGAGATGTGATGAATTTCATTTGATTAAAAGTTAATCCTTTGGTTTCCGCATCACAACAGATTATTTCATCATATATCCAACTAACTATTTACCTAAAATTAGTTTCTGCAATACATGCAAATTTCGTTGAACTCAGTAATCGAAGAACGTTGGATCACCACTTCATTCTAGTAGAAGCCTCCTCAGAAGTAAGCATCCACAATCGCATACGCAAGAATGAATCCCAAGACCTACGGCGTTGCACGCGAACGCTTAACCTCTAGACCACTGAACCAGTATCCAATGATGTTAATGTCTAACTTCAATCAATTCTACGACATTGCGCAAATATCTGCCATTGTCTTCAGTGGGTAAATGCCTCATGACTGACACGGTTTACCTCCAGTGGTCACAAGTATTCACTAGAACTCAAAAAATTTCCTCTCGAAACTAGTGAGCACATGATAACTGTCAGTATGGAGTTTTGGAGATTGTTGAATTTCATTGAAATTATGAGCCGATTTAAGTCAGACCACCTTTGAAAACATGCAAATCTAATCAATGAAATCTTTACGTACCACTATTCTAACATAAATATATTTATGACTAATATACAAAACATTCCGCTAACGACACCCGAATATTGCTTGTCGTACAATACAAGATTGAAAATTAGAACAATAACAGTGACAATGATGACAGTAAGGCAAGCACAAATGATTTAGTAGTCGATGTTTGTAAACACAATAATAAAAAGCAACAATCATATGATGCACTGAAATAATTTAGTTGGAGTTTTGTTTTCTGAGCTAAATGGTTCGATCATGGAGCTTTCGTCGTTCTTCTGGACAACATCAGCACAAACTTCAGGTAGAAAGCTCCACGACCAAATCGCCCAGCTCAGAGAATAAAACTACACCTGAACAACAAATTTTCTCCGACAATGAAATAACAAATAAACAATACCTACCCACTGTTTGATCACTAAGTTATAGTAATCTATATTATATTTATTTAGCCCGATCTAGATAACTGAGTCTAATTGTCCTATCATATTGTTTAAATGAAATAGAAATAAAAATACAAACTATTTTAAAAATCGACACTGGAAAATAAAGTTCCTGATTACCTCCCCCCCCCCAACATCTTTGTGATCCGAATACGTCGATAAAACAAAATATCAAATAATAACGGGATAAATACAAGCTTTTTTAGTACTCAACTACATATTCAAACGTAAAAAATAGCTTCAAACGTTTATTTTACTGCGACATTCTATTTAAAAAGTTGGAAATATGCCCAGCTCCCGAAAGAAGGATAAGACTGGTCGAGGCACGAGTATAAATATATATACAATTACGTTGATTAAAGTGAAAATTTTGACATCAAGCAAAGCTATTATTGAGTGTAACAACATATTATGAAGATGGAAATAAACTAAACAAGTATTAGTTCTCTTAATAAAACAGTATTTGTAGGAAATAAAAGTTATTTCACTTTTATCAGTATAGGGTTGTGTAGATTGTTGAGTATAGACTGATATCATGAATGTCCTGGGTTCGAGTCTCATTTGCAGGATGGTGGATGCGAAATGCTCACTATTTCCATACTAGAACAAAACGGCTGTCCAGTGCTTCCAGGTTTTCAATAGTGGTCTAACATTGACCCATTCGTGATGTCAATCTATTTCATTTTTATTCAAATACGTCTTGTCAGTTGCATAAGATTGATAAAAGAGTATAAATTGTATACATAACATTCAGGTTGCGTCTACTTTCCATAGGATAAACAAAATACATATATTCATAAATTACTGAATACGAATTAATGACAAAACTGTCATCATCATCACCATCGTTCAACAAAAAACAACTATAAATAATGATAACATAGATTACGCGATATTGTCCGAAACGGATATGAACTTGAGAAGTACGATAATTTTGAAATTCTAGATCAAAGTAACTTAAGCACCAATGTATTTAAGTTGTCGTTATTGTGGTGCGCGCTACTGGTTGTCACAGATATACGTCGTATGTATCACCAGTCGAAAGTGGAATGCATGGAAGCAGAAGGTTAAGATAAAATAAAAGAGAAAGAGGACAGAGAGTGATTGGTGTGGAAGCAAAGGAACAGCCAAGTCTGAGACAATTGGTTGACATGTTGCAAATAAAATATTTCCTGTATGGTTCTTGGATTTCACTAAAAGATTCTGTAATTTTGTATTCAACTACGTTTCATTGTACACACTGTTGTTCTCGTTCACTGCACTGTCAACAAATTTGTCAGCATCAACCTAATCTATCAACATCATCGGACACGATATCAATCAATAATACGGTAAAAACTTAAACTGATAAAAGTCAACGAAAATGCAATGATACATGAATAGCAACAACAGATTAATTAACACTTGTAAGATGCTATTTAAATATTGGCTTTTGTTCAAAATAAACTCTGATAATGAAATTCACAATAAAAATGAGCATTTCGCAATAAAACTATTATTATACTACTTTTAAATAATTATGTAACATCTCTTAACATTGAAATTTATTACAAAAATAAGTGGACGTACATCAAATCCTTCTTTATTACGTAGAATACGACGATGAAGATCTGCTAGTTCTACTTTAAAAGGTCTTATTTTAAACCACCATTTTACTAATAAATATATAGGACCTGGCAGTTTAGCTTCCAGTTCTTCCACATATCGTACATTCATTAAACGACTAAATAAACGACGAGATCTAGTAGTATATAATGCATTTGACTGTGTATGTAGAGAAACACCATGTCTGGCTGTTAAGGAAATTGGAAGAATAGTCAATCGCGTAGTTAACAAATTTTTCATTTTGTAAAATAACAGTAATACCTAAAAGAAATAAAGTAGTCAAGGTCATAATGAATAACTTCTAAATGAGGAAAGACTTCATTTCCTTAAAATAGTGAAATTGCCCGAAGTAAAATATATAACAATTGAACAGGGAAAGATAAGTTTATTATAACATCAGTGTACTGTATTATATGAGAAAAAGATTACGAATAACACACACTTTAGTATGTAAAGAGACTGTTAACAGAACAATTAGGTGTTGGATTGAATAAGTCATTATATAATAGGACAATAAAACAAATAGTAGCAAAAAATATGAACAAAGCTATTTGGGTCTATTAAGTTGTATAGTGAAAATATGAAAAGTATAAAATGTGAATATTTACAAACGCATTACTCTATGAATAACTCAGTTACATCAACGGATCTAAGGATTTTGTACACCGAATGAACCAATCTATATTTTCTACGATTTCTAACGGCCAGTGTAATGAGTAGACGTAATGAAAGTCATGAAAACAGAGCGAATTCATAATCTCAACAGCAGTGCTCCGTAATTTCATATTATTTATTGTGATAAAACCATATACGAGCAATGATAAAATCCAGAGCCTGAATAAGATATTAAGCGATCGAAATAATGTTAATGTCGACTTTATATACACCAGCTCTGTTCTTTAGTATTTCATCATCTTTTTTTATAAAGTCACCCACCAAATAACTAGCACTATTCAAGTCAATACTTATCAATTTGATAGACCAATGGCATAGTGTGGTGTATACATTTTGTGGATTACACTACTTTGCTTTGATTTCAGTCAATAATTGTCAAAAGAAACAATAGCATGTTATGTACAAAATACCTCAGCTTATGATGTTGATCTAGATACCTATCTACCTAAACTAAATTCATCATATAAAAAAAGATTCTAAACACCATAGATAACATTTTAAAAAATCATGAAAAACCCAATCTATATTCATAATTAGAAAGTAATACTGAAGTTCTTGGATCAAAATAAATAAAACTTTTCGAGTGCACCAAGAACTGAAGTTGATAGTTTAGCTTGTGTTAATACACCTTTATTGTGATGAATATAAGAGTACGGTACTATTGGCTTTATCCATATCTATTTTGTCTGAGTCAACTTTCACGATATTATATTAAATCGATCCATTTAACTCCATATATGTTATCCTTTGTCTTAATGTCATTTTTCTAATTATTCATTAATGTGGGGAATTATAAATGTAAAGTCATTACAAAGTTGCATGTCATGGTTAGCATTTTTGCAAAGATCCGTATAAACCAACATCGTATTATATCCTTACAATGTAAGTAGTTATCCCAATTCTAATGAAAAACAGAAAAACTAAATAAAACTTCTTCTATTAGCTTTTAGAAATTGATCAGACTTTTATTATAACAGTTAAGCAACTTAACAGACTGGATGAGAACTGAATTTTTCCAACAGCTTGCTTTTTCTATTATTATTGTGAATCATAATAATGATTTTATACTTTCGTGATATTTTCACATTACGATCAACATGGATAAAGATTCTCAAGATGTAAACTCAATTTTTTTAACTGTCCTTCATATCTCATAACTAATTTTCTTAGAATAGTTGATGGAGATAAATGAAGTATAGTTTGTTTGTAACACAGTTGGAAAGTATCGGACATACAGTAATCAGTTTAAGCATAGTTTCTCACAAGTCTGTTTTATTAGTCCGATCAAAACATTTGAAATATCACGTTTTAATGGTGAGAAAATCTCTTTCATAGGAAAGTTGACAAATTCAGTATGCACCTGACGCCTTATGTATAACTTATGGTCAACTTATCATGATAATCGCTTTGTGAAATGCCTTCAGTGCACAGCTATCCAACCTGAAAAAATTAGGTTGCCGTTCAGATACATGTTGGAAACTGTAAATATTGATGCACATGCTCTACTATGTTAGATTGAATATTTTAACACCCCAACGTTACCTACATACAGAAAAAGACAATTGTGACCCGTCAAAAAACTACGCGGAGGAAAGCTTAGAATTCATGAATATTTAGGACTGTCCATAAAGACAACATTGTGCCCGCCAAGTGGATAACGCAGTTCGGGGAGGGCTATGACAACTACGAGAATCATGCAATACCAAGACAACTATCGACATCCTTTGTTTGCAAAACACGAATGGAATGCTGTCTTCCATGCGTTTCGGATCATTACTGATGAAACAAATCTTGGAAAAGTCTATCCAGACTGTACTAATAGAATATTTAAAGTTCAGGAATGATGAGATCCCCAAAAAGTGTAACTTCCGAGGAGTAACAGAGATTTTTCGAACAATGGGAATTTAAATGAGATAAGTGTATTATTACAAAAAGGAATTATTGAGAAAGAGATAAGATTGCCACACCATAATTTTTTTTTAAATTAATTGTACGACAGTCTACTACAGTCCTTAGTTGATTAATTGTATGTGAATCAAACTAGGTTTGTTTGCTTAGATCCTATCAAATAATTTGTAGTACCCAATCAATGTAGTTTGATTTTTTACATAAAAGGAATTGTTCAGTACAAAACTATGTATTGACATGTATACGTCAGTTGCTATGAAGACTTTAAATTACCTAATTTTTCATTAATAAACTATAGCTCCTACAGATAAAAGCAATTATGATAACATTTTTCCATTCGATATTTTCGCGAACACCTTTGTTGTTATTTGATATGTTGTTCTCGATAAATCTTCTGACTGAATGTTTGAATCGGTTTTCCAAGCTCTTCTAATAATTCCAGGCTAACTCCACACTACAACTTGAACACGGGAGAAAAGGCGCGTAATACGGGAAGAACGCTTTACTCCAAGGTTAGCTTATGTACAGAAAATCGAGTGTATTTATAACATATCAGATTGTCTTGGGCTTCTGGAAAGTTCTAGAACCCTACTAAACATAGTAGCAGGGTAAACAATAATCTAATCAGAAATGTAACAAGCGACTCATAATTTTCTAGATGTTTCTGAGAAGCTTCTAATAAATGCTGATTGAATAAAATGTTTCCCAGCGTTTTCAAGACACATGTGGGCTATTTTCGAGGAATTTTCTGGGTCTCCTCAACAGTTCTTGTGTTTAGCCTGTTAATTTTACTATGCTCCAAAATCATTGCAAATTATTCGATATGCTGACTAATTCCATTAGAAACTTGATTTCTTGAACAACAAGCTTCTTCTTTGTCTGCCTAACTTCCCTCTGTTTTCTATTGCATTGAGGATTATTGTTGAAGAGTTGTGCATGTTAGTTATCTAATCTATCAAGTTTACATAAATTCAGTGTATTATATTAGGAAAATATCTTAATCGTTAATAATCAGGAATTAGAGTAGGTGATCGTAAAGCATAACATTAACTCGCATTTAACAATCGAATGAAAAAAATAAAAGCGGTAGCAACCAAACACATTATGAAATTATTGATTATCAGAAATGAACTAACAATCGCATTATTTTATTTGTTAATCACCAACACGAGAAAGAAAAAAACACGGATTTTAATAATACAAGATGCTAATCACTAGCATTTATAGTTTTATTAACACTTCATCTTGATTGTCAGCGAGAAATATTCTTTGTAAAAATATATGAATCGAAAAGATAAGAGCAGAAGAGAGACAGAAAGAATAGCAATGGTAAAAACCTCGAATAGAAAAAAGCAGATAAGTGCACTGAATCGTATCAACAACCACATACACGTAAGAACATAAAATATACGAGAAAGAAAAGCCAAAAAGAAAAAGTTAATGTGACTGATTACCACACAGAAACAAATAATAGACTTGACAATATAAGTTATTAGCACCAGCATTTAAAATAACACAAACAACTCTGTTAAAAGAGAACTACAAGACAACAATAACAAGATTTAAAAAACAACTTCAAGTATAGTAAGTGAATAAATAAAACAGTTAATATCAAACTGATGAACACTTTTCCCTTTGAAGATCTCTAATTTACGAAAATCAAGGAAAACTCCGAAAAAAAGATAATTTTGTACAGAAAATATGATAACAACAATAACTAATTATATGCAATTCAAAATTATCCTCAGCTTAGAGTACACATTCATGAAGATAGTTTCTCCGCTCAACAAACGAAAAAACCAAAACATTCAATACGAATCTACGATGACACTGATGTTGTTACTTCAAAATGGTCAATTATTAGAGAAGACAAAACCGAAACAAGAGAGAAATAAAATGAAGTTGAGTGTTTCATTTTTTTCGAAAAAAAACAGGAAAGAAGAAGCTACACACCTATACATGAATGAACGAAGAGTTAGTTATAATGACACTTTTCGAAAATCTACAAGAATCATCATGTCAAATGAAAAATGAGAAAACAGAAGTTATCCATAAACAAATAAAAATAATCAATTGCATTTTTGAAGTTTAAAAAAATTTGATAGCAGAAGTACAATGAAACCCGTGCACACACATTAAAACATTATTAAAGTTTATATATACGCCATACATAAGTAGATATACACAAACAGATACTAATAATGGGAAGAAGTAAACAAGAAAAAAAGAACAATGAGCACTAATTACCTATTTTCTTGTTTAATCAATTAATTTTGGCATGAAATTTTGCAGTGTCATTTTGAGTAATTTCCGAAAATAAACAAACTGAATTTGAATAGTCGCACTACAAGGAGAGAGAGGGAGAAGGTAATATAGGATTCTATAAAAGAAATTATACAAATACTATGATTAAAGCTTTATGTATACACATACACAAATACACAAACGAAGTCTAATTAGCGACCATCCAGTCATGAAGAAAGTGTATTCGACGATATATGAAAACTGAATAGTGGAATTCCGCAATAATCTTGATATGATACTAAAAAATTTAAAGAAAAAAATCAGTAGGCATTATTCAGATTAGAAACAAAGAAAAATTTAAAATGTATAACAAATTATTTATTGAAAAAAAGAATTATCATTACACTAACACGAACTTCATAAGTATAACAACAAGGGATTGATTCCTAGTTAAGTCATGGATGCACAGTGCTAAGAAATCTCATACCAGGACAAAACGGCTCATCAATACTTCCTGGTTTATAATTCGACAGAGAGAAAAAACAAACCACCGAATTAGTTAAATTGACCACTACTAAGCTCACAGGACAGACCTCAAAACCCAAGCAAATAAATAGATTATTAAAAACAGAACCACTGGTCGAGCGAGGTTTTGAATACAACAAACAATAAATTAGGGTTATAATTTATAAATAAACTATTTAACCAAAATAGTATAACCATGAGTTACTTGTAACGCGACAAACTTTTAATTAATGATAAATTATTATATGTAGTTATGCACAACGGATGATTACCAAAAGCTTCTGTGTATATCATTGTAAATAATGCACACAGGATGCAGTATTCTGTTCTACTTGAAGTAAAGAAATCGAGCATTTAGTCCAAGATAGCAAGATAATACACAGTATATAAAAAAATTAGAAAACATCATTAAACATGTACATATATGACTCAGATAAGTCTACTTTACAAATACTGATAACTACAACACTCCAAAAGGATTTAGTTAAATTGAAAATTTTTAGGAAGCTGGACATGAATCCAGCTAATCACGGTCACTCTTATATCAACTAAAATTTTCAAATATCAGTAGGGACCATTAATAGAGACATCCTACTATGAAAGCGGATATTTCACTACACTGTTCATAATTACTAATTTCACAAGATGATAGTATAGCATAGGTTAAATAATTACAATGTTTGCTAACAGATACCACATCATGACGAGAGAATTCGATCGTAACCTGTGGTGCATGCTACTTATGTTAAAAGATATCAGTAGTATGCAACACCAATCAGAAGTGGAATTCCTGATAGCAGAAGAATGAAAAGATCGAATTGAAGTCAACAGGAATGTAAATAGAGAAAAATCGTAATGAAAACAGGAATTAAGGAATGATGAAATTTGTAGGATACAAGTGATGCAAGATGTGCAAATAATGTATTTAATACATGGTTTTCATATTTTACAAAGACACTGTAATTTGCATTAAACAATAAATTGGTTATCCCCACCAAGTTTGCGTTCACCACAATCCAACACCAAATTCATGATTATGATGAACAAGTATTATTTGTTTCTCTACTGTAATGATGAACACGGAGTGAAATGGATCTACAGACCAAGTTTACAGTTAAAGCATATGTTATTCCATACATACAATTACGATTCATAGAAAAATGAAGCTCTATGCGTGTATGTGACATTTTAATGAAGTGAAACCAAATACTGCTGCCACCATATATATAATTATGAACAATACTACAATAGACGGAAACTTTCTGCAAAATTCTTCTAATAAAAAAAGATATAACTGACTACTGAGTGAAAAAAATTAATCAGTAGTAAATAGGTTTGTACTATAAGGCTACCACAGCATTCCTATGTACATAACCAGACAAACAAACACACAAATACATAAGAGAAAACGAGAGACGGTTTTAAAAAAATAATGATCGAAATGGAAATCACAACTATTGAGTTTTTATAAATAGCGTTTTGGTGTGAATGGTTATACAAAATACTAGAACATTGACAGACGGCGGTAAAAAGACACTCGATTGTTAATAACAAACACTAATTTAACGCTTAGAAATCATATTTAAATAATTAGCATGGGCAATTAGCTTGTAAACTAATTTCGGACACATGCAAACAGCAAGTCAATATATATATATATATATATATATATATATATATATATATATATATATATATATATATATATATAAAGTCATGAACAACCTATGTTAATTTAATCAGACAACACACATACATGTTACTTTCACATGTATGTATGATAAGCAAACGAGGAAAATGTAGTACGTCGAATAAAAAAAACGTCGGTAGGTTCACACTACCACATTTGTTACAACATAGCACAGCGCCATACATGACACTATCTCCTCAACGTAACATTTATATACATTTATGGAACTATTTTTTTTAATTTTTAACTCAGTTATATTCACCTGACAACGAACAATAAAGAAAAACCATGAAATTTATTATTAATTTTCATTGAAAATTCTCTTTTTTAAGTGCATATATACAGTCCCTGAAGTGGGGTCAAGACATTTTGGTTTAGAGAAGTAATTTACATACTAACAGATAGGAGATCTAATAAATTCACTGACAAAAAATCGATGAAAGTTTACCAGCTACGAAGTCGATGAATACGAATTTATGCTAAAAGTAACTAATGCAACATAGTACAGAACAAACTGAATAAAAAAAACAGTAGTTCAAACACTAAAATATACCAAAGCTCAGCTTTATTCAGTCCAGTATTTAATAGGATGAAGCGGAAGATGTTAGAATTACACGAAAGCGGCAACATATAATATAAAGAAATGGTAGATGCATCGATTACACTTCCTTGGAATTCTCAAGTAATTTATCGTTTATCGGCATACAAAAATTTTTTTGTCATCAGTAATGTTATTTTCATAGTGAACTATTTTATTGGATTTAGTTTTTCCCCTAAATTTAGCGCAAAATACATTCGACATATATATTTAAACGATTATTTTTGTAGCATTAGTATACCAAATATGCATCTATACTAAAAGACAGTTTGAATACAAAAAATAACATTAAAACTTTCTTATCTAGTGAAAGCATATATTCATCAATGAGAAACCTCTTTACATTAGACAATACAAACCGAAAAACCTGATTCAACTGAATCCTACTCTACATTATATGATTCCTGTTGGTCTTTGGAGGTCAATACACATTAACGATATATACTATCTAGCATAAAGTTAACTTTTATTTGTCGCTTTTCCAAATGACTATCAAAGAAGTCAATCAAAAAGTATAATTTCATGCAGTCGTCGTTGAGCTTAAATTTTTTGTATATAGACTAATGATACTACTGGACTGTTCGTGCTGAACAGGAAAGTTAGCGAATGCAAGTACTAATACTGATTCACAATTTAAAAAAGTGAATTTAGTCCAGAGTAAGGTTATAAACAATGAACAAAGGAAATGATTAAAAAGGAACTGAAACTACTAAGCAAATTGAGTTTATATAAAAGTAAGTAAAAATATTGCCAAGAATGTAAGTTATAATCTAAATTTAGTACTAGAATTAAGGTCCTTCGCATTATTATTGATGAATGCCTTGTTTTCTATACAGGTTCTAGTGTAGGCTTATAAAAACCTGCAATATTAATTAGTGGTATTGTAGTGCATGCCACTTATGTTAAAAGATATCAGTAGTATGCAACACCAATCAGAAGTGGAATTCCTGATAGCAGAAGAATGAAAAGACCGAATTGAAGTCAACAGGAATGTAAATAGAGAAAAATCGTAATGAAAACAGGAATTAAGGAATGATGAAATTTGTAGGATACAAGTGATGCAAGATGTGCAAATAATGTATTTAATACATGGTTTTCATATTTTACAAAGACACTGTAATTTGCATTAAACAATAAATTGGTTTTCCCCACTAGACTCCTCCGTTCACAACAGTATGATTACAAGTCTTCGTAGATATATACTCACAATATCCCAATTGAATAACATGAAAACATAACACTATCTTTTGTCATGGCAAACCTATAATTCAGTGTTTTAGATTTCAGCATTCATATTACTAGTACTACTACAAACAAATAAGTTAAATATGATTTCCCTATCATACTTAGACCTAGTAATAAAAAAATCTTGTCAACAAGAAACAACCATGTTTACGCATACATATATATATATAGAGAGAGAGAGTTAATAAACATACTAGCGTTGGAAACAAGGAAACTTCCGAATTATGTGAATAACATCGAACAATATTCAAAACGATTTTGATATGTGGTCGACAGTCACTAGAATACGTAGAAAAATGATAACTAAGTTTAATAGTGATAATAATAAACATGAAAAAATAAACCCATCTACATATAGAAATACCCCTTACTTTAAACGAATAAAAATAGGAAGAATGAGACGGATAAACAGACAAACCGTCATCACATAAACAGCATCAAACAAAAACAAGCTACGTAACTAATAAGAGGAGAGAAGTCAAATAAGCCAAACATAATCATGTATGAATACAAAACAGGATACAGTAAAAACAAAAAAACAGATATGTTCTTATTGTCAAATCGGTAAAAGTATAACATTGACGATATTGGGTGACTTGTCAGCCACTCAGAGAACGCTGCCTAGTTATAAAAGAAGTAACGATACAAAGAAATGAAATAACAGTGGGATTAGGGTGTATACTAATTACGCTGACAGATATATGTAGTATATAGCGGCAATCGGATGTGGAATGCCTGGTAGCAGAAAAGTGGATTGAAGAGAACAGAAAGGGAAACAGAATAATTGTCATGAGAACAGAATTGAAAGAATCATGGAGCATGTAAAAGATAACTGTAGGAAGATGTGAAAATAATGCATATTTTTCATATTTTACTAAAACTGTGTAATTTTGCATTAAACGATAAATCAGTTATCCCCACCAAGTCTTCGTGCACCACAGAATAACTGCTTTGATGGAATAATTAACCCTCATATGTCAAATTATCCCATGTAGTAAAGAAAAAGTCATGCTTGCAAATCTACATGCATATTGGGAGTTGTGCTAGTGTTGTCACCTTATGGAGTTTTCGTCACCAACTGACACCAGTTATGACGCAAAAGGGTTAGGGTTAGGTACTAAAAGTCAAACTGAAGTTTCGAGTCAGGCTTAAAAATAAGGGTCGGGGTTTTCAACACGAACTGACATCAGCTATAATAAAAAGCTTTGCCATCTTTCTATTTACAAACTTAAGAAACTTTGGGTTGGGATTCGGAGTGAGAGTAAAAAAAAGGAGAATATTATCTAGCTTTATTCAACACTCTTGGTTACGCAATAAACGAAATCAAGTACTTTACCATACAATCTGCCTTAGTACAGGGTATGTTATGTAATTTAGTTCGAGCACCACCATTTCTAGTTGCATAATAGATATTTTTATAGATTTCAGGCATTTTAAGAATCAAATACTGTCAAATTTCACCTAGTTAATAATAAGATATAAGTTATTCATCGCTGCACTGTACATTTCCCTCAAAATATATGAGCCGTTATCCTTATTCTGATTGCTTAAACCAATTAGTATATTACGATTTTACCGTCAAATCTTTAAGCTATATTCTTTTCCATTTAAAAAAAGAATGAGGAATATGATTCAATACTTATCGTCCATACATTATGCAATATCGACTGATGAACATTAATAATAAAAAAGAATATAGGGAAAATGAAAAATATATACTAGAAAACAAAAAGGATATGACGTAGCTAAGAGAAGAAAGAGGTCGACATCTCTAATATTTATGTATATAATCATACATATATTTCTTAAATAGATTAAAAAATCGAAATTAATTCAGAGACAATTTGAATTATTTCTTGATACGACGAGTACAAAGAGGGGGTCTTAATTGATTAGAAATTGAGGGACTTAAAAACTAATTTTTTCCCAGGTCATTTTATCATGTTGATTTCGTGTTAATGTTTTGTATGTCATTTTACCACCTAAAAATAAACCTATTCTTTTTGCTAGTGGTTTTATATTTGATTTTAATCCAATCGGGGACTTACGTTAAAAATTCGTTCTCGTGAGCAACCAACACTATCACATAGCATTATTGAGTTTATTTATGAACACATGTTTTTCTTCATATTAACGGTCGGAAAGACTCGCTCACCAAATAATGAAAGCGTTCTCACCATAACTTATATGGTTTGAACTATTTGGTCAACAAAATTGACGTATATCAACAAAATAGTTCCAACCTTATTAATAATAATTTCTAGGAACAAGTTAAACTATTTACATACAGCAGGAAAACAACGTATTCAGAATAAAACGTACAATGAAAGATCAATCAAGCAATATAAAAAGCAGCACAAACGTGTATCAGTTCACGTTGCCATATTACAGCAGGAGGAAGATAAAATGTTAGAAAACAAAGTAGACAAAATGATAAAACCAAAAATAGCAGAAAATTGGATGTAAAAATATTTTTTCAAGGAAACAGAATAAAAATAAGTTTCAGAGAAAGATAAAGAATAAATGAATTTTTAACATAAATACCGATTCTTAGCTGCTGAAAAATTCTAGTTAGTTAGTGGATCGGTAAAATGTTCTGAAGCTAGGTTTCTTGTTAAATGTCACTCTTCAACAAACCATACTCACGTATCTTAGCCGAAAAACCAGATCAATATCAAAGAATTACACTACTACTACTAAGTGCTCAGTCAATGTAGAACTATATTTTTTAAAAATCTCTAAGAAATCTGTTAACACAGTATCATTTGATCATTTGATAATTATTATAGAAGATAAAAAAACGGACAGATAAATTTACAATTTGAATAACAGTATTATTATTATCATTACTAAAATACCTACATTAATTGTTCACAAATCTGAACGAGCTTCAGTGAATCGGTTGCGTACTAGAAATCTAGCCAGGCATTCCGCAACCTAAATAAAACAAAAATCATTATGCTGAACTAATTGTTTTAATCGATTAGACAAGATATAAAACAACTAATTATACTGTCAACGAAATACAAAGATATACGAAACTAAAGCATTTCAATATGGTATATATATATATGAAAAATTCGATAGAACAATGCAATGGTTAAGTCTAAATTATTGGAATATATCTCCGACTGTATTTTATTAAAAAGTGAAACATAACGACTCAGACGAGACAAAAAATAAACAATTGGCTCCATTGAGATCATGAGCCGATCAATGTTAGATCACCATTGAAAACCTGGAAGCACTGGACTGCGCAAGATCGTGGATTGGTTGAAGTTAGACATTAACACCATTGACCACGAGTCAGTGATAAAACAAATAAATAACCCAGACAGCTTATTAGTAACGTTTTAGTACAACAGGGAGTGCCAGTTCCTTTATTATTATAGGAACGTTTTGTTAACTAATGCCAGCTAGCACGAAACCTATCTCCAGAATTTCTTGTTCACCACCTCCAACTAACAAACATCAAATCATAGTACATATCATATGGAGTCCCTTAGATTGTTGGTCATATTTTAACTTGATCAATGGAATTCGATCAGTGCTAAAGGATTATACAAACACAATGTTGGCCACTACTCAGTGATAAAACCATCTAACTTAAATATAGAATTCTAAGAACTATGACTATAGTATTCCGACTTATTTGCTCCAAGGAATAAGATGTTCAACACAAATACAAATGATTGGACTATGGTTGCGTATTTCATTTCAGCGTCAAACCAAGACGAAAAACGAATCTAGTTACTCTTTCTATAAAGGCATTTCAACATCTGACATGAACAATGCTCACTAGGATATTCAGTTGCATACTTTTTGTTGTTTTAAGTGTACGTACAATATTTTTTTCGAAAAAAACAACCTTACTCCTATATTTAAACATTTTCAGATACATACTTTTATCTAAGGAAAGGGATACAAAAAACAACACAAATAAACAAAACGATACACATATAAGTGCATAAATATAATCATTAACTAAATGATAAGAAATTAGAATAGAATACAAGAGTGACACTGATATAACATTCATAGATTTGGAAAGCATCTGTCAAAATGACATAATATATTTGGCTATACGAGACAAAAAGTGAACGATAGTGGATTTGTAGTTGAAAACTGAGGTAAGCTAATAAATCGACTTGTTTGGGGTGAGGTGTGATAATCCAGATAAACAGTTCACTTCACTTTCGATTTTAAAAATTAATTTTTTACAAAAAATCTACATAATACGGATCAATGTACCTAGAGTTGTGTTACAGTCAATAATACTTTATGGTTGGTTAAACCCGTGCAACCGCAGTGTAGGTAGAATTTGTGACCATGAAATAGAAAATCAGATGTGTCGACTAGTAGATATACAGACACCTAATGTCACAACACAAATGTCACCGGTCACTAGACAACATACATCATTATGTCAACACAAAAATAGGAAAACAATGAAAAAGCTACACAACAACTGTTATATACTTTCCAATACATCAACAAGCACCTAATGAGGAAGACAGAAAGAAACCATAACTTACTCTATCTGGAGTATCCTCTTGAACGGCATGACCAGCACGAGGGAACAGTTGAACCTGAAATTTACCTAAAAAAACTACATTGTATGAATATAAATTGTATAAAGTATACTTAAGAGATGAACCAAACAGAATTGAGAATTTGACTTAGAGTACAGATCAAACATCACGTATAACGAGTATTAGAAATACATTTCTAGACTCCTCAAAATATTTAAAGTGATAGCCAAAAATAGGTTTATGTCACCACAGGGTAAAAATGATGGCGTTGAATGAATTAAAAATTCAGTTCTTTCTCTGTAAATTGTATGCAACACACAAATCGACACTGTCTCTAAATTCTAACCTTAAACATATAATACAGAAATAAGTCTTGAACTGGTGACACTACATTTCATGGACAAACTAGTCAGACAATACCTTCTCTTATATTTTTGCATGAAATTCATTCACCCATATAACTATAGAACACTTTCGTGTTATGCCTGATGTCAGTTTGTGTTGAAAAACCTAACCCTAAATACTTAATCCTAACCAGGGACGATGTGTAGACTCTTAACAATCTGTTTGGATCTCTATAAGTGTTCGAGAATAAGTATAATCTACATTCGTATGAACGAGCTTTTATGTATTAGTTTTCTTTCGATTTACAGAAAGAGTAACGTACCTGTGGTAGATGTTAATAAATTCAAAAATTATATCAAATTTGTTTGCGCTTAGTTATATTATTGTTTTCTTCTCCACAAACTATCCATTTACAAAACAATTTTCTGAATGGTTGAGAACTGACTGGATTTATTTTTAGCTCGTTCCTATAATATACTGTCTTCATACAAACCAATCAAGAGTACACAAATTGTCTAATTTTTTTGTATTCAATGACTTCAAAATCCTTTCTAGGCACAATCGAATATGTCAAATGTAGAAAAAATAACTAAAAACCTTAATGCAGATAAGAAAAGTACTAAATACACACTGATAAATGATACAATGAAGGAAATACTAGAATAAACAATGCTAGGTTTATATGGTGAAACAGTTATCTTCAAATATAGGCTAGGATAATCACCTGAGTACCAATCAGGTAATAGTCAGTACCTACCTACACGGCTCGTACAACCTGAATACCAATATTGATGACAATAATACATATCAGTAACATTATGAAGTAAATATCAATGTACTTATCAATTCATTATTTATAACTCAACCACTAATAAAAATTAGGTATATGTTCAAGAAATCAAGTAGTATTTTGTCTTTATATCCTTCCGAAAAAGATATACTGCAGCATATACATATAAACTAACAGATATGACTTTAATAAAAATATGTAAACATTTGATTTCAGATATACGTTTTATACAGTGGGATTAATTTATCATACAGGATGCTGGTTATTAGTGTGGTGCTTATTCTTCGATTTGCACTGTTCACCATATCATTATTCATAAAAAAAAGAGATGATTTATGCTTATTTTAGTGTTTCAGTTATAAACTTATCCATAAACTTCAGAGAATAGCTCTTTTCGTTTGAGCATCGTTTTTTAGACGACACAGAAATCTCTCATTCTGGTTTCTTTCAACTAAAATGTCTTAACTCAGAAGAACATAAACTTGTTTATCACTAAAAAATATTAAAACTGGAATATTAATTAGTGCGGTTGATTTTTAGAAAAAAATATTATTCATGATCCTTAGCTTTAGAAATATACAAGATACAGTCAAAAGAAATTCATGACACAAAACATAAATCTTAACATTCCTTAAACAATATGGTTCATGCGTTAACTCATCAACATACACCTAATATTTAATCAACATGAACAGAATAAATGAACGAATCGAGTAAGATGAAATGATACAAAGTGATATTAACGTTAATGTTATTAAGTATATTAATTTTATTACCTGCCCCAGCTAATCCCCAAACCTTAAGCACTAAATATGACTTGAAGCTAGAATAAGAATCTATATATCTTGTTTGTATTTTATTTTTTTTATTTTTTTTATTGAACACATAAATATTGGTACAAAGGGACACCGAATAAATATGCGCTACACAAGTCACTTGATTTGTGTGTGGGGCTGTGATACTGTCTGTACTGTATTTAAATCATAATAATCATAGACATTCACTGGTGTATTTTGCTAAAATAACGACAATAATAAGACAAAAAATTTAATACAAACCTTGCATTTGTCCAATGGTTAAATCTTTATCCAATCGATCAGCATCAGCTAACAGAAGTAATTTTGGTTCAGGTATTGATAAAAATAGTTTAGATAAACCAGAAAACCATCCTTGCCAAAATGGTTGTGTTTTAATTAAATCTATTCGCCAAGTATACTGTGGACGATCCGACTGACATGTTACCAAACCAGAATGTTTTGAAATAGTAGAAGAGTCAGTAAAAGAAGGAAGTGTACTACCACTTATTGAATGAATAGATTCTCCAATAGACTGACTGGAAAATTTAGATGAATCCACCGATACATTTTCTGTACTGTATTGTAAACTGTCAGCATCATTATGACAGCTAGGAAGCTATAAAAGTATGTTTAAGCAAAACACGATCTAAACAGAATGTGACACATAACTTAATGAACAATACGCAAAGATCTGAGAAACGTTTAATAAAATCAATCTCATAGAGTCAAGTCTTTACCAACTAAGAGTAATAATGAAATTTAAAAACCATACCATTTTTACGAACGGAATGGCATCATACCTTCTAGCTTACAAAGAAATCTCTAAAATAAAGAACCATAATTGTGACAAAATTTCGATCAATTCCATGACATGATAGGTAGTGTCTCGGAGACATTTCCAATAAACTAATAACCCATGTAAGACTTTTATTATACGTCTATAATATAATTTAACGTATTAAATCATAGTCCTATTGCACAACAAAGATTAAATTGTACTAAAATACTTAAAATTGATATGCACCTTAGTCTCACCGATTGATCTAGGTAAAAATGTACCTAATGTAGGTAGTTTTCGTGAATATCCCTGTTTCCTGATATCTTAAAAACAATAAGTAAGATAAATAACTTATTTAGTCCAATATATTCACAATAGAATTTTAATGATTCAGACTATTTAAGGTAAATTTGCCAGTACAATATTTTGATATTAACTTGTTGATTCATTGACTTGTTTGTCTGAATTGATGGATATTAAGTACTCCATGAATCACATAAATCACAATATGTTATGTACAAAAAACCTGCTAATTAACTGAATAAAAGTATTACGGCAGAATCCTCCATTGATTATTTTACCTTTGCATTGTGACGGAGTTGAACTATAATAGGGGCGGCCAAACCAAAACATGGCACAAATCCATGAAGTCACTGACAAGTGAACTGAGTCATGTTGGTAGGTGTAGAATACCTGGTTGGGGACCACGAGATGATAGCAACCGATGGTTAGAGACCCTGAATGACATCGCTCAAAATCGTTTGCAATGGCGCAGGTGCATCCACTCTCTGTGTTCTCCCAAATTCTAATCTTCTGAATTCTTCATGTCCCTTTTTTCCTCTTTCCAAATTTATTTCACTGGATTATACTCTTTAAATAACATCTCCAAACCCTAATCTTCCCGATTACTGCTTATACTCTTATTACCTCTACCACTACGGGATTTGAATCGACAACTGCATCTCTGTGCTAATGTGGTGTGGCAACTCGAACTGATGTACGTACGTACGAAGTTCTACGTTGTTACTGACTGACTGATCGATGGTATATATAAGATTATTTCTCATCAGTTTTGAAATGGTGCTTTTCCTATAACTATAAGCATAAAGGTAACCTAGACCCATCCTTCATAAAGCTATTCAATCGTTACTAAGCCTAATCTCAAGCCACTGAAGGCTTCTAAACAGGAAAACCACGGATTATTTGTTCCCTATAGTATCTATTGACGAGACAATCAATTGCAGCTGTTAGAAAGATGTGAGTAGCAATGAAATAAGTTTTAACCAATTATCGAACTCGTTATATCCAACAACGAATGAACTATTCCAACACAAATGATGGCAAAGAAACTCGGAATTTCAACACAAATTTTCCATTGACAACGAATAGAAGCCAAAAGTTTCTCAAGATGTACTATTTTTTCTTGTCTTGCATATAATCTGTACAACAAGGGCCAGATGCTCCTGATAATTATAAGGTAAACTCCATCTTATGTATCAACTTAATTTTAACCATTGAAATCTCTATCATTTGTTCTTGTTGACACAACCCTGTTAGGAGGATAGTTCCTTTGATTAGTGAATGCTTGCGTCGATATCAGGTAGGGGCACGTTGATCGGCACATTTTCAATCAATCAGCTCTAGCGAGTGCATTGAGAAAACAATAAATTCCAGTGTTAATTCTACATAAATGCTAATGTTCGTACTACATTATTTTTTTAGATCCGATAGAACCCCCCTTTCTATAGTAAAACAGTATTCGGAAACAGAAGTCTAATTCGAAATTTCTTATTCTAGCCCTACGAAATATTAAATCAGGAAGTAAGTGTTTATTTTGACCGAAGACGTAACTTCAAACATGATTTCGATAATCCTCACCTCAATGTGCGAGTAACAAACAAAAGCGAGAGTGATTAATGACGTCGATATCCCCATGAAAACCCCAGAATCAAGGTAAGTGTTGAGAATTCTGTCAATATTAATACAGTTATACTGATCACTTATCTTCTTCGGGGTACGAAATTCAATGTAAGATTTCGTACTTTTCATTCTTCGAACACATTCGATTCTTTTTATACGTTATACTTTTTATTGCATTCCTAATTATTTTCCCACCCTTATTTTATTTATTTCATCATCCACTCACTGTGTAAACGTGGAATGTAACGGCATGAACTGATACATATTCATGTCAAGTCGCACACGACGTCGATGACTGACTGACACAAAATAAGTTTGTAATTAACAAAATAAGCAACAAAACAGAATACAATTTTGTACAACTTTAGCCAGGGATGGATGTGAATTATCAAAAGGGGGAAATACACATAAATTGCTGGACAACGTTTTTTACTAACTAAAATCAACCAGTTGATGAGTAAAAGAACGGAAGCATTTAAGATGAAAACAAAAAAATTAATTACCAATAAGAGAGCTATACACAATGAGCAAAAAACGACAACCGAAGTCAACTCAACACGCCCACAACCACAATAGCACCAAATTTATTCTCACTGAAAATACAAAAGACGATTGAACGTATACTTTACCAATAAATATCTATTAGGAACGAAAACATTTCTAGTTATATAAATCGATAAATGAAATGGTGACGTACATAAAAATAAGAAATAAATATAACTCACACTTGTTGAATTTTGATCAACTTCTAAATTATTTTCAGAATTGATTTCTGAACTTCTAGAGTTATCTATTTCTGAATCTTCAACCAATGGCTGACTTGATAATCGACTTACAGAAGAGACTCTACCATCTAGCGTTGAAGTTACAGAAGGAATAGACGGAACAGTTTTAGAAAGAACTGCGATCCCTGAATCTAGTTCGCTTGTTGCAGTCTGACCACTTGTGATACGCTTTAACTGACCAGGGAAAGACACGCGAGCTGAATTTACATTACGTATTTGCGAACTGCGAACGCTTGAAAATAAATGAAAAATAATTACATAATTAATGTCAGCAGCTTTATACTGGTGGAGATTATCCAATCGATGACATAATCACCTGGAGGTTTACTTTAAAACGACAACTAACTTAACAAGATGAGATTAGATAAAACTCAGCAAGCATTTGAAGATATGTCACCGAAAAAAAAAACAATTGGTTGAAATACCGTATTAATGAACACGTAACTTCAACTATCATATTTTAAAACTGTACAGTGATAAGACTGTATAAACACCGAATAAACACTTTCGGTGATAATTGGAGAAGCACATAGTTAGTTGATATCATCCGCCTCGATTTGATTTATTTTGGAGAGCATAGTGATCAAGTTGACATAACAACGAATCATATGCAGACCAGCAAGTCTTATAGCATTGACAAGTGACCGAATAATACAAGTACATCAGACGGAAATCTCTCCATATGGTATGAATAAAAACACTTTCGATTCCAATTTAACTGTACGTAAAAAAATTCTAGCCGATAATATTTGTTCAGCTTATACCTTTCTTTGAAATATTTTATTCCTGGAGTTAGTTAAATTTTGCTTTCTTATATTAGTGTAACAACCGGTAGAAGAGCACTGCTATATCACATTTCAATCAGTCATTTATATTGTAGACAAAAATAAAATTTACGAAAACTGTGTTAAAGGTTAGTCTGTAGCAAAGAAGGTCTCCGAAGGTTAATTAAAACTTATGAACGAAATTTAGAAGAAAATTATAATTATTCCAGAAAATAGATCTTTGAAAAAGAGAAAATAACATAGACGAATTTAAAATAACTGTGATGAGTTTCCAGTCAGTTCTCAACCATTCAGAAAATTCATTATATGTGAAAATTATATTTGAAATATTCTCAGCGATTGAAATATAACTAATTCCAACGTTTCGTCCAGCTAACTTGTCTGGACTTCTTCAGGGTAATAATCAAAATCAAAATTATCAAAGAAATATATAGCTTTTAACAATCAGGATTATACTGTGTTAAACCAATCATATTTGGGTGTTGATTTTTTGTAAAATAGGATAAAATGAGTCAGTTGACTACAAATCATGTGATGAATTCAACTACATGGAAATACTTAACTGAGTAACAAATCGTATGTGTGTGAGTGTGTATGTATGTATGTATGTGTGAGAGATTGATATGAAGGAATAAATAAAGTTCAAGTTCAAGGATGAAAAACTTGATAATGAAAGATCGATGTTTTGTAAATGGATAGTTTGTGGAGAAGAAAACAATAATATAACTAAGCGCAAACAAATTTGATATGATTTTTGAATTTATTAACATCTACCACAGGTACGTTACTCTTTCTGTAAATCGAAAGAAAACTAATACATAAAAGCTCGTTCATACGAATGTAGATTATACTTATTCTCGAACACTTATAGAGATCCAAACAGATTGTTAAGAGTCTACACATCGTCCCTGGTTAGGATTAAGTATTTAGGGTTAGGTTTTTCAAGGTACTGTCTGACTAGTTTGTCCATGAAATGTAGTGTCACCAGTTCAAGACTTATTTCTGTATTGGATGTTTAAGGTTAGAATTTAGAGACAGTGTCGATTTGTGTGTTGCATACAATTTACAGAGAAAGAACTGAATTTTTAATTCACTCAACGCCATCATTTTTACCCTGTGGTGACAAAAACCTATTTTTGGCTATCACTAGAAATGTATTTCCACTGCTCGCGGAATTCTCGATCCTGATTAGCTTATTTTTTTACTATACTTTTACCGACTTTTATTCGCAACAAACAGATATAACTTTTCCTGTAGTGGCGATGGCAAGCAGTAAGAATAAATGTTCAAATACTGAACAGGAGGCAACATGTATATGCAATATGATTAAAATCAAGAATATTACTAACTCATTTAAAATAACTCCTTTGAAATTCATGAAAACAAAGGTTATGAACAAAATGTAATAACGTCAATATAGAATTTGATTTTATACAATTTAACACCGCATATAATTGATATAGTGTGAAAGTAGATTATGTGCTTTATTGAAATTTTGATATAAGGTTGACTCAATTGTTCTAAAAACAACAAATGCTAAACATAAGCAATAATAGTGATGTATCCCTTAGCAAAATAATATACGTTCAATAAGTGTTCCAAATGAATTTATATAATCGTTACAATTTAGTAACTAAGGCAAAGGAGTAAATAATTTACAACAACATTTGCAACAAAAATGTTAAAAGTTCTAGATCCTTAATCTGATGTACGCAAATCCCCATATAAAGTGATTATCATACTGAATTAAAATAATATATCTGAGCGAAAATTGTTTATACTCTCACCAATAATAATAGCTACCGAACAGTATATCAGAAATCACCACAAATAAAAGGCTGAAGTAACTTAAAATATATCAACAAAAACTAGTAAACAAAGAAAAGACTATATTTAACACTGGCCCCCAAATGCCCTGGTACGGCCGAGAGTGGGGAGAGTCCGCTCTCCCTCTCCAAATGCTCTCACATGGCCACGCGTATATAGCCTCTGCCAGGGAAGTCCTACTCACTGCCTTCTCGTGGCGGGGTTGTTGTTTAAGAAAATGAGAGGACGAAAAGCGAATGTCCGGCGCTTTAACCGGATTCCAAATCAATGGTGCACATGGGCTCCAGTATCCTGCGGGAGTAAATGGCGTATGAACCAATTGTTGGTCACCGGCTCCCATGGGACTGCATCTCCTCACGATGCTCCACTGCCATGTGGGTTAGACCTTTAGATCAAAGGCTCGGGGAGTGGCCCCCTAAGAAAACCACCTGCTTCGGTTTGGGTACCCGGGTAGTACCACAGCCCTCACACATGTCGAATGAGATTTGTGTGGCGCATATGTATTTGGTGCCTCCTTGTACCAATATCTATGTGTTAAAATAAAAATAATAATAATAATAATGAACTCCATTCAGAAAGTCACTATTAAGGGGTGGAAAACTGTGCAGATGACATAATTGCGAAATATGTTACTTAACAATGAATAAGTAATTAACTAGGGACTAAAGTTTCAACAACAGTTCAATGTGAACATCTAGCTTTCGAGCTACAAAAATCCAATTACTAAGTTCACAATAACATTACTACTTCAGCTGAACGTTTGTTGAAAACTTGTGAATGTGGAACTCAATCAATCACCTCATTATCAAAGCAATTTTGCAACAGTAAAGAGCAGGAACTTAAAAAAAACGATTAGAAGTACACGTTTATGTCACTTGATCACATGAATATACCAACTGATAGTGTATGCAATCAATCGGATATTTAAAGCTTAAAAGTACGCCCTTACAAGGCGATGTACTTTATGCTATGAAGAAAAATCCTTTTTAAAGCAAAAATGTATCACCTTTACAAATTATAAAAATAAAAACATAAATAAATATAAGTATATTATGAACACAATTTTGTAGAACTTTACCACCAGTATTCTTTCCTATAACAATGTTCAACTAACCTCCACTCAATTGCTTGAGGTAAAGAAAGAAAACTTTGAGGACGACCACGTAAGAAAGCTGTCATGCCACGTAATGAGCTCAAAGCAGATCCTAAAAACATTTTAAGAAATTGATTCTCATGATCGAAACCAATATATGTACTAAGGATACATGTGACTCGTATGCATTAGTTGTAAAACTGATGTTAAATACATTTAAGTGAATGCTATGTTTACTGTTACGTGGTATATAACCAGAAAGAAATCAGATCAACCGACAGTTTCGAAATTCTTAAGATTGATAACAATACAGCAAATAATTGAAGCACAGCAACAGAGAACTAAAGATAACTACTTGCGCTAAATAAATGATGGTACAAGTACCATTTATCTATCCCTTGCACCAGAATTTGAATGTACGCACACTTGCTAGTACTCCATAATAATTATGGTTTTTGACCTGAAGACGATATTTCGACTACCTCTCTCCCCAATTATCCTTTTACAACTTGTTTCGCTTGTTAAACCTAATTATGTAAATAACACTAAGGCGAATAATAATATCATCGAGTTTAGATATGCTAGAATTGTTGATGAGATCAAGTCATTTTTAAACAACAAATTAGACTTTGTTGTTAGCTACATATCTCTGTCATGTAGTAAAAGCACACATAATTTAGTAATTTTAAAGGTTTATAAATGGACACGAGCTTTAAAAACTATTGTTCATTAGCAAAATATAGTTATCTTAAGCTTAACTAACTTCCTGATTAGTTCAGTTGGATTTACCCAGCATTAGACATCCTGATCCTGCCCCGGAGTCAAGGCATGGATGTCAACATGGCATTGAGTTCTTAAGAGTTGACAACTAACTTATAAAACCTATATAACACAGTCCTTGTAGGCGAGAAGAGTAAATCCCCTGTTGTTTGAAAATGTGTGTTACATTTGTGATTAAACAGTCCCACATGTTTAGTCAATCAGACTCAAAGTAAAAGTAAAGAAATAATTGTACAATAACCGTACATTAATGGAAATTTTCTATTACCTTCAACCACATCAATAACAACAAGACCAGCCAAAGAAGGGATAGTTCGCTTGCATGCCACATGTACTGCTACAGCTCCACCCATACTAAAATAAGAAAAAACAATCTGATTTTTTCAGCTCAGTAACTAATACCACCGAAGATCTGAAAAATATATACCGACCGTAAGCTATGTACATCAAAAGCTATTTACTTTTGTAGAAATATTGATGTCTGCTTCGACTACCATGCAGTAAACAATAAAACTTGGTCAAATAGGTAACAAAACTCAAAATTAAAAAACGGAGTTTGAATACATAGACCATTTTATAATTGTTTGGGAAACGATCTATGTAAGACAGATCCACCAGAAAATTTCCAGTGTTTGATGACCAGAAGATGTGGCTTAATGATTCAGACGTTCGAATTTTGGCCACTAAGTCTCTGGTCCGAACACAGCTCCACTTACTACTGTTTGTGTAACTTTGTAGCATCCTTAGCCCCTATCTGATGAATGAGTTAATTATTTAGTCAAAAACAAGAGTGATTTGTGAATATCTAAAGACTGATAGGGTGAAACTAGGAGCAATCCTAACCCTTACACGCTGAGGTGATATATATTACAAGGACTTATAATACTTTACCAGTATTTTTACAACTATATGTACTGAGCAAATCATAAAAAAACAAATTAAAAGTGATTAACGCTGAAAATGTTTGCAACAAAGCACCAACGTGCTTTTAGGCAATAAAGTTCAATGTAACATACAAATCTGTTGTACTGTAAACAAAGAACCGATTCAGAAGACGGAATTCTGAGTTACAACTACACGTCACGGAAACTATATTATAAGTTACTGAGCATTGCTTCCGTAAAGAAATGTAGAATTACTTTAATGTGAGTAACTGAATGAGAAAGATTAACCCGAGTGTGATCCTACAGGTTTCTAAAGACAAAACACTGGGGCATGAAAAAATATATCGCATCCCTTCACATTACGTTAATGAGATGTACAATATACACTATATTTCTAAACTTCAACAAACTTGAAAGCCAGAAAACCTGACGAGTCCCATATACTGAAGGGTATACTGAACTAACGTATTACGCTACTTGAAGTCTCTACTTACACCTAAACAGTTGGTCATGTAATTTTTGTTGCAGACTTAAGTAAAAAAACACTCACACGACATGTCGATGGAGTGGGATACTCCCCTTCAGACTGCAAAAGACTATAACATCTATAAATTAAGAAATTCTCCATTATTAATCAAATGAAAGTTAAGTTAAGTTTCAGCAGTCTATTCCACTTAGATACATGATGAACCCATACTACTTTAGCTAATATTGTTCGCAACTTCCTTGGTTCTATAAAGACACGAGGACAGTTGCATTGTTTTATATTGTTATTTACGTCACAGAAACTGGAGTGACCACTCAAAATACAGCCTAAAGATAAAATACGAGGAGCAAGTAGGATTAAGACGATGAACCAAAGTGTAAAAAGCCTGAAAAACTCCCGACTACATGAGGTTACACAGATGACGTGAACGGAATGCACTAAAATACAAATAAATTATTCCCAAATATTAAAATACTATCCAACACCAGGACCATAAGCTATCGTTTTGAACAAAAAAAGTACCCTCTACATCGCTAAACAAAATACCAAAAATCTACGCCGTCACATTCCTTACTGGCAACCACAATATTTTAAGTTAATAGCCCACAAACATTTTATTAAGCTTATTAGTTGAAAATGTTAAAACCCTATAAGTACAACTAATTTTCCACCTTATACTGGTTGAATGATTTCTAGAATGGCATGATTATAGCAGCTCAGAGATATTAAAAAACCATACGGAAGACGGGTTTGGCATGAAAAGAACCGAAAGCAACACAAATCTTTTCCCGTAATTTTACATAAAAATTATTCAATAGCTAAACTAACAGACATATGTGATACAGACCACGATTAAAACGCCTTTATTGTTGGAAGTGGTGTAGACCAGTTATTATGGGAAATTTTTTAATTGATTTCGATTTAAATGGCCTGCTAAATAAACAGTAAAACCGGAAGCAGGTAGTATAAAGAATTTTATGGCTGACACATCGCACAAATGGCCATAATTAAAGGAAATCGCACTTCTAAACAAAAGCTACTAAGTATTATGTGAATGAACATGCATTAGTCTTTTATCTAAGGATAGCTTAAAAATATTAATTAGGTGGAAGAGAACAAAACAATACGGTTCATCCTTAAATAACAAAGTTTACGTAGAATCAGTAGTGATTGATTAGCATTGTATTCATAAACATTGTAAATTATGTCTAAGGAAATTTACCGGAATACCTTGAGAATGTGCTAAATATGGTGCACAGCACATATATACTACCATACCCCATAAATAAACTGGATTACTAGCGATAACAATACAACGTTGGCAACAAATCTTTAGCCTCTAAAAATGGTGCACACAACTCATAAGTGACTAAGGGCACATGGTTATAATCTTCAGTTATATAAAAAATGTGTTAACAAACAACTACAACAGGTAAGGCTAATATACAGTGACAAAAACTAATCCGAAAAATCAAAGAAATTTGCAAATCTCAAACATCAACACGTTTTTGAGTCGCTCACCTGTGGCCCACAAGGATAATTGGCGGAGCCTCCATTGGATACATAGCAAATATTATTTTTATTATATCCCTTAAATAAAATATAATTCTAGAAACGAGCGTACTTTGAGAGAGTGTCGATAGATAGGTCATCATCATTGAGGCACTTTGTATCACCGTGGCCCCTCATATCCACTGCCAAACATTGACACTTAACTTGATCAGTAATAAGAGTCTAAGCAAGTAACGTAGTAGCAAGAATACATACACTTAGGACCGCCCATGTTAAAGCTGAGAAACCACCACCATGTAAGAAGAAGAGGAGAGGCCCTTCGACACCTCGACGATAGATTCTAAATGTCTAGAAGGACGAAAATTATAATGCATATCCTTACACCCCCTTCGAGTTCTATATCATCCCGTATGTTAAAATATTCACTCCACCTCACAGGATCATAGCTTCCGCCATTTTGTTCACTACAATAGAAAAATAGTGGTTACATTTGCACTTATGTTATTTATAAAGAATAATGTCAAGCAGGAATCACCTATTACATCGCTCTTTACATTTCCCATCAGAAAGGAGGACAGTAGGACCAGCTGACATTTTGTATCTCCCACAACTCTATCATACACCACAAAGCATCTCCAAACCTGTTCGCCCTCGTTTCAGATGCTTTTTCAAAAGTGTCACCAAAAATGACGCTTTTTATTGTTCTAATTTGTTTTGTTTAAATCGTTTAGCCAACACTTAAAATCAGTTGTCGTACTTGTTATCGCGCAAAGAGTTTTTACAATGTATGTTACAATTCGTAGTGTGTAGATTGCTTGCTCAAACTCTCCAATGATTAATCATATTTTTAATGTTTTCTATCTTGTGTATATTAACTTAAAAATACTTGACATTCACGTACAACTAATTAGGTCTGATGGTTCGTTAACGAGCTTTAATAGCATTTACATGCTTCAGCGACATAGACTTGTTTAAACATCAAACTCTAGCAAACGTAAGCTGTAAATAACGTAAATATACATTGCTAACGATGCAACCAAGGACTAATGGTCACATGTATTATCGTAATGTTATATTGATTAGTTTTCATAACATACTAGCTCAATTGATAGTAAAAACTGGTCGTCTATATTAACTAACTAACATTACCGACGTACACCTTTTTTAAATTTATTCGGGATGAAACTGCATCATACTGCTTAATTTTAGTAAGGATTGTATTAAACGTAGGGCTTACAGCACCAATTTTTCGTAACAAGGATAGCCTTTGATGGAAAAAAGATTTTTATGTGAATGTAACTGAATCTGAATCTGAATGTAACTTTTCAAACGGCTCAAGTTGTTCTGGACAGAATAGAAGAACCTTTCGTTTAACGGCCTTTAGTATCTAGTAGCCTGAGAATGAGAATCTAATCTCATCGAATATTATTGTGAGCAAGTTGCTGGAGTCAAACGACTCTGACCCCAAAATTAGACACGCGCATAACTTATAGAAGCTGGGAGAACATATATTCGTTGTATCTTATTATATAACTCTAAAGGAGTTCAGGTCAAAAAGCTGGTCAGAATAGGTAAGAGAACCGAGGACACCGTTGAACCCCGACCATGCAGACTCCTTAAGATAATCCTAGGATCCGAGAAGCAATGTGATCTCCTGTTAAGTAGCGCTCGTAGTCATGACAATTTCGACATCCGAGTTATATCTGATATGTCTCTTGAAGATGTAATAAAAAGGAAGAAAGCACTAGCTAAACTAGAAACCTGTCGACAAAACGGTGAGGAGAATTTCAATTTGGTGGGTTTTCGGATAGTCAGGTCTTTGAAGCGAACGCTACCAAGGCCTGTGTGGATAGGACGTTCTACCTAGGAGTTTTATATGCTAACGCTCGTAGTCTAAGAAATTAGCTCTATGAACTAGAAGCATTAATGGACAAATTAAGGCCACTCATTGAGCAATGACAGAAACTTGGTTAGTCCATGACTTAGACATTACTACAGAATTATCTGGATACCAATACCTAAGGAGTGACAGACACCGATGTAGAAAAGGAGGTGGTGCCTTTTGTATATAGCCAATAATATAAATATCAAATTCTCTGCTAGGGAATCCCATGATAGCGGTAATTGTGAAGTCATTAGCTGTGAATTGGCTATCGGATGTGGTACATTTATGCTCGGTGTCATCTGCCGCAGTCCAATCTGCTTAGCTGATGACTTTATTTTAGAGCATATTCAACTATGAAGCGCAAATAACAGATGCTTGATAATAAGAAACTTTAATGCACCTGATATTAGTTGGACTGAGGTGACCACAGAAAAAACTATAAAATCCTTTGATAGCAGTTTCCTGATAACAACAATGAAGCATGCATTAGTGCATCATGTATCCAAACCCACACGTTTCGGTGCTAACCAAGGTTCTACTCTGTTGGACCTGGTAGTCAGTCATGAGACTGAGGATACTGACGACCTAAATATTCTTCCACCGTTAGTGAACAGAGATCACGCTGTTTTGTCATTCATGTTTAGAACTAGGGACATGATATACGGTCAGGTTACACCCCACCCAAATGTGTGGAAAGCTAACATATCAGTCATTCACAAATGCTCCGCCAAGACAGATTGGTTTGTAGACACTAGCTTATCAGTTTAAGAAGCATTGTCTGTATTTAAAGGTGAGTTTAGTTTAGTTACGTCCTCGTTCATACCATACCTGGTACCGCGAAGACCGAATAACAGTCTACCATAGATTACCAAACCAGTTCAGGAAACTTCTTAGAAGAAGGAAGAAGCACTGGAATACGTCCATCCCTACTGGCTTAGAACAATACAGGTCCAGATATTGTAAGATTAGGAATCCCTGTAAAGCGTTAATAAGTAAGACTAGAAGATCATATGTAAAACAATTGGTTAGGGATTCTAGAAATAGTCCGAAACGGTTATTCTCGTATTTAAAAAGGTGAATTCAGAAAAACGATGGAATTCCATCACTTCCGATATAAGATTGTCCGTTAATCTTGGTAAGAAATGATACCAAAAAAAGTTGAAGTTTTATCGGAATATTTCAGTGAAGTGTTTTACATCAGTAATGAGGAACGACCAACGATTCATTGTGATTGTGGTGGCTCACTGATGGACCCTGTAGTTATTGTGAAAGGTACTGCCTTAAGACTACTTCGGCATCTCAAACCTGATAAGTCCTGATAATATTCATCCTAGGATTATGAAAGCCATATCAGATGTAATTGCTGAACCATTAGCGATACTATTTGACATGTCCCTGAGGCAGTCCAGACTGCCCAGAGACTGGAAAGACGCGATAATACGTCCAGTGTATAGGGCTGAGAGTAGGGATTTAGTTAGTAACTATAGACCCGTTAGCTTAACTAGTGCGTTTGTAAAACCAATTGAAAAACTCATTCGGATATCTGTTATAAACTATGTTGAAGGGCATGGTTTTCGGGGAGGCTTGTCATGCTTGAAAAATCTCATTGCAATAAAAGATTGGGCTGCGGCAAAAGATCGGAATATTCCTGTAGATGTGATCTTCATAAATCTAAGTAAGGCCTCCGATAAAGTCTCCCATTCTGCTCTTAAATTCAAACTGGAACGTTTTGAAATCCATTACACAGTCGTAGATTGGATCAGTAACTTTATCCATGAGAGGAGACAAAGAGTAAGGGTTAGTGAAGCTCTTTCCTTGTGGGTACCTTTAAAAAGTGGAGTTCTCCGATACAATACTCGGTCCTCTTCTCTTTCTACTTTATGTAAATGAGTTAACAACTGTAACAAAATCATCCGTTCTACTCTTCGCTGATGACATAAAAATTTGGCGATCCATACACTGTGTGTCAGATAGAATAGTATTACAGGATGATCTTAGCTGATTGGTGGCATGGTTGGACAGGTGGTTACCAGAGGTAAACCCTAATAAGAGTGTGGTGATGCAATTAAATAACTATGGTGATTCGTATCACTACACAATATGTGTATTCTTGCTACCCAAAGTAAGAAACTATAAAGATTTAGGAGGCATATTAAGCAGTGATCTTAAAACCACTAGTCACTGTAAGGCTGCTGCTGCAAAAGACTATAGGGTGTTATGGTCTATTCGTAGGTCTTCCCAGTATTTAGATAATGAAATGTTTGAATTATTATACCCGATTTACGTGCGATCACATTTAGAATATGGGATTCAAGCAGCGAGTCCTTGTTTCAAGTATGAAGCAGATATGCTGGAAAGAGTCCAACGACGAGGTAGTAAGGTGGTAAAAGGTCTATCTGGCCTATCTTATGAAGACAGACTGAGACACTTTAACTTATTTCGGTCATCCTACCGTAGAATACCGAGTGATCTAATATTGGCTTATCGTATACTGAACGATGACCTTGGTATTAACAGGTATTATCTTTTACTTCTCTCTAGGACTGATCGTGTGAGAGGACATTCGAAGAAAGTCCAAAAACCGAAATCAAATCGTTCACGTCTGGAGTCTCGTTTCTCGCGCCGAGTAGTAAATTACTGGAATTTTCTACCGGAACACGTAATATCAGTACCTTTTGTTGATATATTCAGAACGAGATTGGACCTTTACAGTATTGCAAACTGAAAGGATTAATATAGGTCGATAGACCACCTATCCTTATTACTGAAGACTGAAGACAGAAGACTGAGTGTTACTCCTGGAGTTTGTGTACAGACTGAACTTGACTGGGTATTTAAAACGATCCTCAGGAGCAGTTAGGATACTATAAGTCATTATAAGGTCACTTCTGAGACACCCATACTACTCCCTATATGTTTTAAATTTGAGTCCCCAAGCTGATTTCATGACTCGCCTTTAGATATATCCCAATATATTCTTACCCTTTTGGAGTGAGGGGAGAAACACTATGTTTCTATACTCTAGGAGGTAATGAGTGAAACTTCTAAATTGAATAAGATATTCCGTCGCTAAACTGGCTAAAAGTACTCTTCGAAAATGCTAGTGGAAGGTTTTCTCAAAAAGCATTTTTGTCGCAGTTAGCGTAAGACCTTAGATCATAAGCTACCAAGACGCACAGATCTTTCGCAACCAGAGATATCTCTAAAGCGGAGTGACCTGGACCGTATACGTGGCCTGCAGCATTTTCTAAATGGACTGCTTAACGCTATGAAATGTCGAAACAAGTCCGGTAAAACACACTCCATCCGAGTAGAAATGAAGTCCCAACCCCCGTTCCACCAGACCAGTCCACGAGCCAGTGAATTATAGAAGCATGTCCTAAACACATCAAAGAGGACTCCACTCATAAACTTACGTTTTTTATGAGTATACGTTTTCACTTACTCGCGTAGAGTGGAAACTTTGGAAGAATTTGTAGTCCACTGACGCTATGGAATGTCCAACCAACCCTAAAACGCACGCAGGGCCCTAACTTGGAGTTCATGGTGCAGTGGCTGGTATTATGTCAAGCCCAAATAGGCTATTATAACTCCTGGACGGACTAATTTCTTCCCGAGCCATATTTGGACTTTTTCACTTATTCGCTTAAAGTCGTATGTGTGTTAATTACTTACCCAAATCACCGTGTGTCTGTAGCTTACTTTTAGTTGACCATAAATATCGATTCACGCCTGACCAAATGAAGTTAGCTCACATGCCTTCTCCGATTCGTTTCGCTTCGCTCTTTCTTTTTCGCTTCGTTTCTCTGATCGTCTTTATGGATAAACGTTTGTTTGAAATATATGTTTTTAAAATTCATTTTCATATTTGACTAATTTTATTCTGTTATTCACTAGCGCAACTTAAGTCGATGGAAATATACGAAGGTTGGGAGCCTGTATATTTCAATAATAATCCCTCATTCTATCACAATGGAGTCAGGTACCGAGCCATAAAAGTGATGAGCCCATCGATAGCATCATCATACGACCCAGCTGGAGCCAGATAATGGACCACTCAAACGGTGCCGTTGCACCCCCTCTCTCTAAAGGAGATATAAATCTCTTAGACCAAGTACAGAGACGAACAATCAGGTGGATAGTTGGGCTAAAACGCAAAGCTCACGAGGATAAACTCCAACACCTGAGATTATTGTCGTTGAGCTGTATGAGAATAAAAGGTGATCTAATAATAGCATACAATGTATTCAGTACGCCAAGCCAACCCAACACGAACATATTACGAGAACCTCATCACCATGCTCCTCGAGGTAATCCACGGAAGGTTGTACATCAAAGAGCAAACAGCCAGGTACGCCCTCACTTTTCATCATTAAGAGTTGTCTCCAATTGTAATCGTCATCCAGTAAAATTAACCATAGCCCCGTCAGTGGATAGAGGATAAGTGACAAACACGTATCCACCCATGGATTACCATCTCCCTCTTTTCCTAGCTTTGTCTGATGCATATCTCATAGGTTATCACGGTTACAACTACCGCATATTAATAACTGCTTTCTATATCTCTTATTACAATCCGCGTTTTCCGTATTATTCTTTCGGTTGCGTCTTCTTAGACATTACTAATCAAGTAACTCATTTATTAGTTTATCACTTCATTATTTTCCCATTGCAACAAGCCAACCTCCTGCCTAGTGATGTGGTAGCTTCTGACATCTAGAATCCCTACTAGCCTGAGACACACGCACTCCCTCAAACTATAAGATATCCAAATCCACAAATAGCTACTAAACTAAATAGAATTATTGCAATCGAGTGGCTAAACTGCCACCCATTTGACATTATCACATACCTTTAACCGTACCAAAACAACAAGAAGTGAACTCAAAGAAATCAGTCGGTTTATACAAGCTTATGACAAAGATAATGAATACGCAATATCATAACCCTTTCAGATATTTTTGTGGCGAACGTGTGTAAACCGACTGATTTCTTTGCGGTAAATTATTAAGGCTACGATGCAGTTCCATGAAAATCGCAAGTTTCTGGTTTTGTTCAGTGTGATGAGTCTAGCCACTTGCCTGCAACTATTCTAGCGCTTTATCAGTTAATTGGTGGTTAATATGTCCTGAGTTTAAACGAATACGTTTATTATTGGGCAGCAGAGGTGCTAGGAACGACAGTTATCACATCTTCGGGCTAGACTTTGGTTTGTCGCAATATGCAGAATCATAATTTAAAATGTAGAGGAATAAAGAGAAGATAACAGCCAGAATTAGCGAAGGAAAAGTTTACGCAAATAATGTCAATGGGCAAATGTCTAACAGTAACAAATAGATGTAAGTAATAAGAGTTGGGGTGAGCAGAGATGGGCTAGTAATAGTCCAAAGGAATAGTATTGGTAGTAACAAACATTCTTAACTGCTTGTTAGCATAGTAGTTGTTATGTCATACCAATGAAAATGATATTCTCTGCGTTTACAAAACTCTACATCTTGTACTAATGTCAAATACTGTTGAACAATTCTCAGTACATGCTCTCACACAAAGAGATTCACGACACCCACCTCTCTCAAGATTTCCCGATTACGCACGTGTACATAATAAGATTCCGTATTTATAAGAAAGCTGTTTATCTGATTTAACGATTTTACTTAAATTAATGACTCTGGAACTTAATCGACTAATACTAATTTGTTTAAAAGTTAAAATTATTCGCAGAATCCTTCACTGAAATTACCAACACTTCGGCTTATATTTCAAATAAATGTAATCAGCTAACAGAAAATGATGTTTCATTAAAATACTTTTTCTACTATGCTTATCCAAATCGTTTTATTACCCTGTTAGAATAAGGTAAACTGAATTTAGTCGGTTTTAACTCTGTTACCAACCATGTCCATCAGCTTTAATTGCCTTCCTTGTAACAAACAAATTATTATACATTAATCTCTGTAGATTTTTATTCACTACATCAACAGATAATTTTTCCTATCTTCTAACATTCATTCAAGTAAGGCCTTTTATTATCTTGACAGGGTGATTGAATTATTCCATATTTCTGACCAATTATAAGTTGATTATCATATCGTAACATAGTTATTCCAGATCAACTGGTAAACATTCGATTAACGTTCATTTCTTCATTTAATTATCTCATGCTATAATCCTACTTAGACGTAAGCATCTTTACTATTGCAGTTTTATAAATGACGTTACTTATTTTGTTGATTTGTTGCTACAAGTGTATCTTAAGTTATCTATGGTGTTCGTCAAAACAAGAACTAGAAGATTTAGAAAACAAAAAGGATCTATTATATTTAGATGTTTCACTCCAGCTACAAAACTACCAAAAGTAATAATTATCAATATTATTAACCCCGTCTGACGTACCTTAATCAATAAAGTTGCTCTCAAAACGGGAAACAACCTTATGAAAACAGGCGATGTAAATATTTAAAATAATGATAAAGACTAAAAAGTATTTATACGTTGAAAATGTATTAGATCCACACCCCAAAGCCCGAATAGCTATCCCTTTCAAATACGACATATATCAGCTTTGATGGTCAACCAGTATTGTGATACCCATACAAACGATTAGTATTACAAAGATGATGCTAAAGAGTATGATGCATCCTACTTACACAACCATCACAAATAATGAACGCTACAAGTAATATTTTGTTAAATTGTTTTTGCCATCACTGTAAAGGTGTGACTCATTTTTGATTCTCTGTTGTATCGAATAGTTTTGCAGGATAATAATAAGCTTGATATTTAAATAATTCGCGAATATTTAAGTAGATTCCTTGTATTTTCGTTGACTTGAATTTATTGGTGAATGAATGATATTTGTCCCCATGAATCTTGACGCTTAATAAGTCAGGAAAGAAGCATATTATTTAATTTTGTCAATAAATAATTTGGGAAACGTCTTTAAATAATCTATTCCGAAAAAGAAAGCATATTTTTAGCACAATAAAATGACTGTATACACTGAATCTAAGTTTACTTAGTGATCAACGGTTATTAAATTCAGGATTTATGGCTCATTTTATTTGAAACAGATTAGATTGCTGTTCTCACTGAAACTTAAACTGTTTAAACACCTACAGTTTAAGTCACTTATCCATCTGAGAAATAACAAGAATTCGAACGTCAAGGTTGACCTAAGGATTCAGCTCGTTCAAATCAAAACTGGATATCCGGTTTTAGAATTTCATATAAAGACCAAACACCAAAATAACATCGTAAAAATACATTTTTCAAATGTTTTGTACATTCCATTAATAATAATAATAATGAATACAAAGAAAACAAGAAAAACATTGTACATTATTCATTTTGAATTTGCTATAAAATTTTCTTCTTTTCTATTCAAAAACTGATTAATTTATTATGTATACAAAATAGCTATTTGTATTTAAGTGTTTGAAGAAGTGACTGGTAGACTATAATGCAACTGTAGTTGTTCGTTTCCTAGATCTCTTATAAATTCTCTCGAGTCCCAGCAAAAATCAAAAATCAATAAATATCCTGAAGCATTTAAAATAACATCTCTTTTAAATTTCTATTGAAAATATCCACAATGAAGAAGATGCGAATAAACAAATTAACAGTAAACTCTTCACTTGTTTCACACTATCTTTCTACTCTCTTCAATTATTTTTCTCTAATCTTTCATAATTTTTTTTTTATTCTGGCTAATTTAGAAATGATTATGAAATAAGTGAAAAGATTTTAAACATTACAAAATATCACAAAACATAGAGTAGAAAAGAAACGGAAAGATAGTAATATAGAAGAAAAATAAACCGTATTTATAGTTAGTTAATACATTAATTAGTTCATTGTAATGGTCATTAAATTTCAGTATAAGTAAATCAACATTGACTTATGTATATATCGTGATTTTTGTACCTTTAACAGTGATACTTATTAGAATTATTATTATTATTAATAGGAATAATAATAATGATAATAATAATATTTATTCTGTTCCAGTAGCTAAATTCCAATTAACTGGTGAGACAATTACATCAACTTCAATGAGAATAGCAATTGTTACAAATACTAAATAGATCATTATTAAAACAATACCATAATAACGATAAAATTGAAATCTTCCTATTAAAGCTGTTAATATATTTAATGTGAGTACTGCTAGCAGAGAGGAGAATAATAAAGCTTGAGTAAGTGTAAATGACAACTGTAGCATATTTGACAATATTTTTTCAAATGTTTCCAAAGTTAATTGTTTTCGTTTATACCCATACAAGAAGGTAAAAGAAAAAAAGTGCAAAAATTATTAAGTTTCTCAATTAATACATCTATTTGGAATTTATTTTAAATATGAAAGTTTATTGTACCAAGATATATGACAGGATAGTATTCATTTTCGAGATAGCGTAACTAATTTAAATCACCTATAGACTTATTGAAAGTTATTCAATTCTACAAGGTTATTTATAAGGATAAACTTTATCAGGATGAATATCAGCCAGAGGATGAATAAAAATCAGTAGGAATTGTTTAGTTGTTCCAAATTATTCATGAACTCCATACTGCCTTATCCACTACGGTACATAGAATCAGGTTAAATGGTCACTTCGGTCAATTTTGTTAAACATTTTGGTTTGAATTTTATGTAACACTTGTTCATGATAAAAACCATTTTCGTGTATTAATAGATTTCCCAAAATATTTATTATTTCTAATTTATGAAATATTTGATTAATGTAATACAAAATATACTGACTGTAAATCCCGTCAAAACTTTGAAAATTAATATTAGTTTATTTTTTTCAGTTCATTTAACATATAACTCTGCAATTAGTTCCAGTATGTGTGTACATTGCCTGAAAAGTCACAAAATTCATCTCTTTCTCATTGTATTCAATTATAACTTGGATAGTATTTAGTTGTGGAATGCAAGACCTACACCTTATCCTATTTGATACATGTCAGCTGGATAGGTCGTATGTCAGTGATACCGAAGCCCTATCCCCATCGTTTTAAGAGACGAAATGCTAGCCACTAGGTCACTGAGAAATAATGGTTACCACCTTGCTCAAAAGATATGATATTATTAACCAGAAGAGTTTGTACTTTTATTTAATTGATATTCACGGTAATGCTCAGATACTTGAAACCATAGCTACTAAATTCAAGTCACAGGTTTGATAGTAGTCCGAGAATCCATGTATATTTAACCGACAGGCCTTGGAAAAGAACACAAGCGGTAAAGTGGAGTTAGCTGATGGTCATTATTCAAATACCAACCTGAAAAAATACATAAAATAGATGCATTCTTTCAGTTAACCTGTAAATCAATATAGACTGAATATTAACCACTGGAAAATGCAAACCCATACAATCACTTCACTACATTAAAGACATGAGAAACGCTGTAGGTCAGCTATTACATCTAGGAATAATCCACTCATTTAAAAATATCACGAAGTACAAGATGTCTTTCTGCTGCTTGTAAATGACTAACATCAAGTGAAATCTATTGTTCTGTCATAATACTCAATTTAACTATCTGATTCCATTTTCTAATTGAGATTTTTCTATAAAAACTATAAACTAGGGTATTATATAATTTGACTGCTTTTTAAAAGATATATACTACCACTTTGACAAAAATAAACACTTATCTTAATTATTTACCGATATAAAGTATTTACCATATTACTACTACTTACATATGCATATCCAACTTCTGCTCTGCTAATTTTGACAGTATATGAAAGACCAGCACCAAGTAGTAAATTAAACAATGGTGAACCTAGACAAGCTGCATATGCGATTCTAGGGTAGCCATTTCGAGCCAACAAACAATTCGACATTATGTCTAATTTGTCATTATTCCAATAATAAGAATAAAATAATAATTTAAAAATCTTGAGTAATTAGTGTAAATATGCACAAAATTTAGTATTACCAAACTACAACATACTATAGCTCATCTATCTCATGACAGTCAAGTTAACAAGTTTTCACTACCGTTATGGCACATGACAAAACTATTACTCGGAATATCGATTTCTATGACTTAGTCCCTGAGCCAACCAGTAACACGCCTGCCAGCACTAGTAGTCTTGATTCACTGCTAAGCCCTTATTGATCTTCGATACAGTAGCTTCTCACCCCGCCTATCGAGTTCAGAAGATAATAATCAGCATCCAATATACGAATATTATATTCTAGACATTGGTAGTTTACATCCAGATACACCGAACCACATTGCTCCATAAAATGAAAAATATCAATTATACATCATCAAGCCAAAAAGTGGCTGTGAGTAATGATAGACTGGCAACAGATTAAGAATAGTAAATCATATAACAGTTAGTGAATCAAATGGAAGCGCATGGTTAATATATGTAATCTAGTTACTTAGTGATTATACAATAGGAATATGTACAATAATAGTCCATAAACGAATCCTGGCAGTTACCATTCTTCTCGTATTCGTCGGATATAACGACTACACTTTTTCAGTTATCAGTTTCAGCTCATAACAACTTTCATATAGTTCATTCATAATGACATTATTAGGACTTTGAAAGTTTATTTATCACCTTTCAAGAGAAACCCCCATTAATTGAAAAGCAGTGGTAAACCAGGGAGTAGTTATGAACAAAAACAGTAATTCCTGGTCTGAATCTGTTTAATATGGAGCACTGCCAATATCATACAACTGCAAAAGATTTAGCTTTACTCTTGGAACTCCTTAAGACATTTTTAATCGTTTAGGAAATACTTCTATATCTATTTAACGTTTATTTTTGAAAACAAACATTCTTCCATGTATATTTTCTTTTGACATAGATTAATCTGTACACAAAAGTTCTTTATTACGAAGAATGTCTTTCAGAGATTTTCATGCTTACGGTGAGCATACGTAGTTTTCCTGTAACAAGAGACTGGTGACAATAGAAACCTCAAATATGGCTACATGACAACTATAAACTAAAAACATTATTATTAACAGAATAATTTGAATTGAGTAAATCATACTGTTTTCAAGATTCTTGTTCAAGATACGAATCTAATAAGTAATTCGAGGTTGAATGAAAAATTCTATACTGTTTATGTTACCACATCAAAAGTTTAGACAACAATATGTCAAGGACGCTAACATAATGTTATAGTTAAAGAGAATTCTAAATAATTGATAGCATTCACTAACAAAAGAGAAATATCTGTTTTTAAAATTCAGAGCTTCGACTTGTACATCCTAAAGCTGATTATGAATACTTTCAGACCTTCCAAAGTACTAATCACAATTAAGTGGTTTGAATGCTTAACATACCTGACTTAAATCATTCTTAAATACAAGTTTGATGAGCTTCATATCAAATCGGCTGAAAGCCTATCATTTGTAAAAGGTGATTAACTGAGATAAATTTTCTCGAATTTATCAATCAAAATGACCCATCAGGATTTTATGGACATTCAAAACTATAGATCATTAAACACAGCAACATCCACGGAAGGTATCATTTAATCTCATACAAGAAAAAAAACTATTATCTCATTATATCCATCAACTTAAAATGAAATTATATAACTGACCTCCAATTGAACTAGCCAATGCCATAACACTAAGTCCCAGAATAGCTTCACTGATTTCCCATACTATACCTAAAGTTTCTAATGAATTCACTAATTCATGAGCTAATGCATATATCCATATAATTGATGTAATAAAGCCAAGTGTAGCAAAAAATGGTCTATGATAATGCCGAGGTGGTTGATTCCATTTTGAGGTGAAAAACACCGTCAGTGCAATAACGAATCCACTAGCTAGAAATGGACAAAATATTGGTATTGGAGTTTTTCCAATAGGTGATAATCCAATGCATTTGCCATTAGCTGGATATGTTTTTTTTAAAAAGTAAAAGAATAAGTGGATTACAGTGAGAAACGGAATAAAAAAATGAAATTAGAAATCTGAGAAAATCATAGTTAACAGACCACACACATATGTTTAAATAAAATAATTTAGTTGGATAGATAGGCTTATAAAAATCAGATATTCACGTGTAAATTATCCATCTGTTGATTGAAATAAATAATTTTAAAACAAATCGAACTGAATTCACGGTCTCGTTTCGTTTGTCTACTCTTCTAATACAGTCAGTAAGGTATTATGACAGTCACTCTCAGGACAGCTGGCATTCAGACAGTTTGTTGACTGTACTCACTAGTATCATGAAGATGAGTCGAAACAAAAAAATCAATGAAGCAATCGTGAAGCTCAGTCACTCTATGAACTATGTGGTCAATTTTAACAATCATGCTAAGCTAACCAAAGTACGGGATATTTACAGTACTATAAATGATGTATTCTAGGCGTTAGTGGTGACAAATTATAAAGAGTAACAAAGGCATTTCGTGTTTACCAATTCTACTACTCATTAGAAGAAAGTCACACTGGTCAACGTTCATGGACAGCTAAGATGTAGTTTACCATCAGTTAAGGTAAAAACAAAAGAATTATTTATTATTAAGCTATAAGAGGATTCGGATGTACTGACCAAAAACTATTTATTCGAAGTAAAGTTTACTGAATGACAGAAAAATTGACAAAACCATAATCGTTGAATTAAATTGATCAGGGTGGTGTAATAAATTAGGCGTAAAGTAACTAACTCTAAGTTTATCCATTCTTTATCGAGTTTGAAATCTGCTAACATCATTTTAGATTATCTGCTTATTTCAGTTAGTTATTGTTATGACAAAGATCTAGATTCTTTATTGTACTTTACCTGTCAATAACATAGGCCATAAAGCTGGTACTAATAGACATTGAAAAACATTTAATGGTTTACACCATCCATGCATTAACTCTAAATTCACTGCAACAGGTTCATGATCAGTATTTTCTGGAACAAAGTCATTACTATTATTCAATTCAGGTTGGCTGGAATTCAGAGTAAATTTATTCTCTTCCGGAATGGTACTTATTTCTCGAGATGGTTCATTAATTTTCTGTTCAATATTTGATTGTTGAGTAGGACCCTTCGTTTCTGTATCGTCTGCCAGTTCTTCTATTACAGTTGGTATTGTTAATCGAAAGACCAGAAAAATTGGTGTTTGTAAAATCTGTAAGAATCGACTAAATACTGATTGTTGAGGCCATGATTCTACATCAATTGGTATCATATAATAAGCAAAATGATGCCATACGCCTTTCATAGCCCATTTTTCTAACCAAGATATTTCCTCTTCCTCTATCTCTTCATCTTCTTCATTGCTCTCCCCAACTCCTCTTCTGACTGTCGTCTCTTTTTCATCATCATATTCTTTGAGACTTCCTTCTTGATGACTGAACTTTGGTAGGGTACTCGAAAATTTGATGTCATTTTCACCAACACCTGACATTTGTTGTTTACCTGTTTCCAAGTCAGATGGTAGAACATTTAATTTTATCTTTCTTAGGGAAAGAGATGATTTAGGCGGTGTATCCTCTTCAAGTGAATAGGCAGATAATGTCGGTGATTGCATATAATTTGGTGTATTTGTTAGATTCAGTGTGTGGTGTGATCCTTTCCGGCCAAATAAATCTTAAAAAAGAGTAGGAGAGAATTGGAACAGACAATAGTAAGTTATTAAGAAGACCCTAAAAATGTTACTTTTGCACAACTACAAAAAACCTAGATCAGTCTCCTGTTGATTAATTCATTTTATCAACGTGAAATTCAAAAAATGTCAGAGGCTCAAGTTAACATGATCAAGGACCATTTTATCTCACACAACAGAGAAAGGATGATGAAGGATAATTAATTTTCAAATTGCCCCTTCTCTACAAATAAGCTTATTCATGTGCACTCAAACAAAAGGGAAAAGAATCAAAATATATAATACAGTAATTTTGTTATATTGGTTAGTTAAAACAGTTAATCTACTGATACAGATTATATACATACATTGAACTATTGATTAATTACAGTTAACTATTATCAGTTCAATATATCCAAATTTACCTATTAAACAGATATTTAAAACGATATATATTTCATTGTACATTTTGATATCGTATTGTTCAGTCATGGTTCAGTGTTTGAATCCGTTTTTTTGGTCTATCAATAAATCTTCATCTACAGCAGCGGATTCTTCTTTGCATCGAGCTATATAGATCTTATTCCGCTGAAGAAGTAGAAATTTATTCTTCAGTCACAAAAAAGAACATTAATCAGGTTTTTTGTTAAGACATGACATAAATCATCTAAAGATTTCTAATATTTAATAGATTATCTATTTATTTCAAATTTCAAACTCATGAACAAAATCTGTGAAATGGAGAGCTACATTTTAAATCTGTTCAAAGTACTAAAAATACTGTTCCTTAAAAAACTAACCTAATAAATAAAAAATTCAGTTTAGTCAAAGTAAGATTTATTTTCAGAAGGGGTTTGTGGAGGTTTTAGAAATTTCACAGATTGAAATCATGAATCAATTGAAGCTAGAACACCATGAAAAACCTGGAAGCACTGGACGACCGTTTCGCCCTGGTATGAGACTCCTCAGCAGTGCGTATTCCAACCCATGACCTATCGGTTTCGCGCCAGGCGCTTAACCAACTAGACCACTGAGTCGGCATCCAATGGTGTTAATGTCTAACTTCAATCAATCCACGAAGTTACGCCACCGTACACCATTGTCTTCAGTGAGTGGATATCTCACAACAGACCTGGTTAAACTCCACTGATAACGGCTTCTTACTAGAACTCCAGGAAATGACTGGTAGGTCACGGGTTCGAATCTCGCGCTGGGCGGGATCGTGAATGAGCACTGCTGAGGAATCCCATACTAAGACAAAACGGCCGTCCAGTGCTTCCAGGTTTTCCATAGTGGTCTAACTTCAATTGACTCATGATTTCAACCTGTAAGATTTATTTATTGACTGCACACTAAATAAAACTTGAAACACACATTTGTTCAATATTTTTATAATGCTATATATAATACTCACAAGTAGTTCATGAATTTATTTACTTGGGTTATGGTAATTCATTCAATTTTCAGGATAACTTTCCACACAAACTGACATCTACTGAAGACTTTTCAAACCTAGGTAGCATTGAATAACTATTTATTTTCGGTTGAAATCCTTTTAGAATGACACATTCACTAACATATATTACCAGAGGATCTATAGGTTTAGGCTGTTTTCAATATTATTGTATTGTACAAAATATGGAATAGAGGTGTATTTATTTATCATGAACCAGTTAAATGAACAGTAAAAAGGTTCCAATAATAAGTCTATATATATTCATATAATTAACTAACTATTCCCAGAAGTTACATTCTCATTAGTTTGTTCTTCAGGATCATATTGTGAAGATTTCTGTGATCTCCGTGTTTCTCCATCTCCTAGAATACAGAGAAAATTTATTTGTTTATAATCTGTTAAATTAATATTGATAATAAATCTGAGGACTGAAATAGTCAGACCTAACATATTCTTTGAAAATGATACTATACCTTAGACACGTATGATTACAGATAGATCACAAAATTTTGTATCATGTTGAATTATTCAAATGATTTCTGAAACTCTTTGCTTTCGCTTAAACTCCTCTGTGTTAGTTTAGCTCTTAAGAATACACTATTTCTTTCTGTACTGAAGCATATTCATTAAGGATAAATAAAGTAATAAACCATTGGATGACGGCTCAGTGGTCTAGTTGGTTAAGCGCCGAGTGCAAGACTGGTAGGTCCTGGGTTTGAATCCCGCGAGGCGGGGTTGTTGGATGCGCACTGCTGAGGAGTCCCACAATAGGGCGAAACGGCTGTCCAGTGCTTTCAGATTTTCCATGGTGGTCTAGCTTCACTTGACTCATCATCTCAACTATTGAAATTATTACAATCTCCACTAAACCCTTTCTGATAAGAAAAATTACTAATTAGTCTATTTGTAGTCATTTTTTGTCAATTAGACAGAGTACTGTATCTAATTCGGGTTCTTTAACCTAACAGAAATATAAGTCACTATTCATTTCAATTTTATCATAATTCACAAATACTTCCAATGATAATACAATTCTAATTTATGTAAAAATAGAATAAGTAAGAGAATTTATAATGTAATCAGCCGCATGAAATATGTAGTAACTGTTGTAAACATGGTAAGTAATACTGTTTTTTCTCAAAGATTATATTAAATTAATCCGTAATTAAATATGTTTGCCCATTACTGTTGTCACTGTGCGATCTATCACCGTTATTCTTAAATTCTTTCAAATACTTTATTGTTACATTTGTTGATTATTTGTATAATTCACTTATTCTTTATTCACCTTTCTGTGTTTTGCCAAATTTTAGCCAATTTCACGTTCTGTGATAACTTTTTCACCCTGATTCAACGAATGTATCAGATAGCTTTTACGTTAATATTCTAGTATATCAGTTTAATTTTAAGTACCTATGGTTATTTCTCTCACCCTTTAAATCATTTAAGTTATCTGCTTAGGCTATTTTTTGAAATCTTGTTTATTTTTAATTATTTGTCAATTCTAAAACGTTTCCTCAAGGAACGTTTCCGAAATTCTGAATAATACGAAGTATAATTAATTGATCACTAAGTAGTGACTAATGTCATGCTTGTCTAGTACTTTTAATGCCGATTGAACTCGATCGATCAAGTTGCAATCTGACCATTACGTTGGATAATTCGAAATCGCGTGCTCTATGTTGAGATGTTAGATAGTTACAGATAGTCGATAGGAGACTGTGAGACTAAGTTTAGCACCATTTACACTCGTCAGTAAGGTGTGCTGCACGGCAACCTGATCAACAGAATTCGATAAGTACCAAAAGGAATAGATAAACATGATACTAGTCACAACTCACAGACTAATCAACCGTAAATACCTGAGTTGCAGAGGAGGTTAGTAGCTGCTTGAGTAGCTCAATAGCACTGTTTCAAATTGTGAGACTGGGTGATCCATGTACGATCTTACAGCTAGTATCAGTTCCCCTTCCCTTACAGGTACGCCTTGTAGACGGATTCCTACTAGCACAAAACTTAGATCCAATGTTTTTTGAAGACCACCTCCAACCACCCAACAAATATCAAGTAATTTGTATTTATTACTTCCCGTTGCTCAAGTTCAATAGTGTTGTGTACTTCCAAATAAACATCTTACGATTTTGATGTTTTTTAGTATCCGTTAATTCATCATTAGGTTAATATTCTTGATGGACTGTTTATACTTTATGAATAAAAAACATATTACATGTTGATAAATAAAAATCTTAGTAATACAACTTACGTGAACCCATAGATTTCTCCTTTAATTCCCGATTTGCTACAAAGAAAATTGAACAATTGAAAAGAAATTTAAAAAGATGTTCAGCTAGAAAATTAGATATTCCACATACCATTGAATGTTGAACAAGTTTTCTTGATAAAAATATGTCATGAATATACGCACAGCTATTTAGGAAACAAAACGTGGCTCAAATTTTATGCAACTGTCAGGCGATAGTCAAGAATTCGTCAACCGAGGTTTTCTTCGTTATCGCCTTCGAGATAGCTATATTTAGTCTTAATAATTCCACAAAAGTTGGTAAAACCATACTTCGGCGACGAACAAATCAGTTTCGAGATAATGACTTCATATTCATAGTACACTTATGGTTCTCAAGTATGATGAATGAAGAGATGTGTAAGAAATGCTTTTCATCGAACTAATAGGTTTTTAGTATATGGGGCAGACGTCTGCAAAATAATATTACCAACACATTTCCACTCTAACGTCTTCTATATTAATCCTTATTAGTGTTAACAAGCGTAATTTTGTTAACTCTCTAACGAATGCACACACCAACAATATAGAGGCTCTACAGTAATGATCAAAAGCTACCTTCTTCTGTTTTAAATTACCCATTAAATTCACTCGAATCCTGATTGATAAATAAGAGGGGTAGTAAAATTTTCCACGACCATTATTACAGCCATTCAGGTTTATTTTTGAACTATGGTTTTATTAGAAAAAGTTCTGAACTATTATTACTTCTATCAGTTCAGAGAATTATAAAGTTAGAACTTCATCATTTTTTACTTCACTGTTAAATGGATTTTTTTAGTAAATTCTCACAAATATTAGCGCCTTTTTATTTAAACTAATTATAGATAAATCTCTGTATAAGATTTTATGTAACATCTGACGATCTAACTACACGTTATATTTTTGTAGTTACTAATGTCCTAAGTTTTTTATTTCTGAGATGATAAGAACATGTAAGAGAGATTTCTTGTGAAATTTCTTATAAAATATGACTAAGTATTAAAGTGTGTATATGTATCAAGCTCGTGAAAATCTATTTAATTTAAGAAACAATTTCTATCACAGAATAACATTCTTTGAAGAATCATAGAAAAGAGTTCTCTCATATTCTAATATGCATTTATTATCAAAGAAATAAGTTATGCTAGAAGTTGGTCAAACATTCACAAGTGATGCTGAATGGGTACAGCTGTATATTATCAACAGATCTAAATTAAAAATGCGAACCGATTGTATTTTGCTCAGTTCGCTACCTAAAGGCTATGGATTTGATCCTATATAGATTAGTGGCTATAAATTGTTGAGGAGTTCCAAATACAGATTAGATGTCTTTAAGTTCTGCTTCATTCACAATTATTATCTGTTATAAAAAGTATATTGTTTTTCACAAGTTTCTTTGAATAATACACTTTTTGTTATTGTGCTAGAGAAAATAATAAAAAAGCGAGTAACAAATCAATCAGATGATAGAAAAGTAGTGACGAAAAATAATCCAGTTATATTACCTGCACCAGATTTTGTACATAGTGACGATAACCCTAAATATATATTAAATGAATTCATTCCGTGTTATGAACTTATAAAGTTAGTTTTTCTGCAGACAGCCTATCGATACAAGTTTAATCTAAACGTAACACTTTATGCTTTTAGGCAAAATGTATACAAAATAGTCATTCAACGAGATCACTAGTTTTGTGAATAGATTTTATCGGTGACATCTTATTTCTTACTATATAGTATTAACCTATGAAAATATCAATTCCAAGGACAATTCAAATTTCGGTGTTGTACAAGATTACGGGAAAACGTAGTTTACACTTTTTCGTACAAACAAAAACTAACGGACTACAACTTGTTTCATACAAATCATTGGAAAAAAACTAACATCAATTTACCTATAATCCATCGTACCATATAAGATAACTCATACCCTGTTGTACTCATTCTAGAACTAGGTCTTCGTCTAAATACTGATTGTGCTCTACGACAGCGTCCACGACTTAAACCAGAATTTTCAGTTGATAAACGTCTATCGCTTGACATTGGTTCAGTTGAAATTAATGAAGATGCTCGTTTTTTAGCACCATCAGGTGGATTTAAATAATTTTTAAAATCGTGTGAATCAGATGACAAACGTGGACTTTCATCTCCATGTAGATATGATGAATGATCCAAATGTGAATTGAGATCGTCGATATCTTGTGGTGAAGTGATTTCAATTTTCGGTGCATTTATTTGTTGACTATTTATTCGTTTATCACTGACGTGAATATTAGGAATTGTAACTTTTTCTCGATCTACATTTTTTGTAGTCAACAAAAAACATTGTTGGTATAATAAATTTAATGGCGTTTTATGAGAAAAACGTACTTTTTTATTCTTTCAATGTGGTTTTCATCACGACTACAAGTCAAGTGGTAAATCTATGAAAACCTAAAAATACGAGCTCTTCATGAGTGCTTACCCAAAACCTCATAAGGAAGAAAACTTAAGTCTATCGAATCTTGCAATGTGTACGTTAGTTTCAGGTCACTAATTACAAATCTGAATGATTCAGATTTTTAATATCAATCGGTTAACTATAATGAGTGACCCATATTTAATATAACAGAGAAATTATTATCTTACACCCAACCTGCTTCATTCGATAGGTTATAGTCTCCAACTAAATGCTTAATGATTGCACTATTAAACTGGTCATTAGTGAACATACAACTATCCAACTCAAATATAAATGAAGAGAAATAAAACAAACATCATTACCAAGGTTTGACTTGATAATTCCAAATAAATTGAGCATCGCGTAGATCGTTATAAATAAAAATAATATCTTTGTAATATCTTAATGAGTAGAAAAACTAGATCTTCTGACGTTTCGTGACTCAGTGTAGATCGCTTCTTCAGGAAATAAGTAGTCTAACTAAACTTGGGTTAATTTTGATTTGATTATTTATTCTCTAAAGAAGTGGCTTACACTGAGTCACGAAACGTCAGGAAATCTAATTTTTCTGTTCATTGGAATATCTCAAATGTATTATTTTTACTTGTGAAATAAAACAGTTTGCAAATTTATTATCATAAAGATTTAGTTAGATAATTTATCTTTCCAGTTCAGGTTTATCGACTCAAATTAAAGCTTCACCGTCTTATACAGATGTTGGTGGTACTATCCGGCTTTCTAGACAGAAGTATATGGAGCAGGGTTCTAACATGTGACCCATTAGCCGAAATCTGAGCGTTTTACAATATCTGGATCACCTGTACATATTATTTTATGGCATAAAATAATAGTTCTATTGTCCAATTACAAATATAAAACTTTTTAAACTTACTTATGACTTTTAAGTCGCATTATGTAAAGCATTAAAGGATGAGTCAAGTGATATCGTGAAATATTCGAAAAAAAAGTGTTTTTTATTGAGACGTGGCTTAATTAGAAGTTATCAGAAGCAATCAACATTGAAGAAAGTAGTGAAAATCATTCCTGAGCGCCAATTAAAAAAACAACCCAAGCTACTGCATAACAACTTTCATGAAAGCCTTTGTAAGATTTTTATGTTATGATTCTCTAAGATAATTCAAAATTACCGAATCTGGTATGTTTTATGTACATCTCTCCATAATATCGAATACTCTATGGAATCCATTTCCAGAAATAGTCTAGTTACCTCTAGTATGGTCTATAAAACTAATCAGCCTCTAGCTATCAAGTTGAACAGTGGTTATCCATTCATAAAACTGGACACCGTGCTAACTATATATATTGCAAATCACCTGAAAGTCAAAGCCCGAATAGCTTGTAATCTAAGTTCACGTTTCCTGTCATGCATCACCAATCAACTAAGAGACATCCTTTTTTCTCTTTGTAATTTGAGTTAGCAATGATGTCTAGAAATATAATGACAGCTTTATTTTCAAATTACTAAGCTCAAAGAATTCAACACTTTCAACATATTTTTTATACAAACAAAATAATTTTCTGTGTTATCCACATATGCACTCGACAATGTAAATAACTTTGGCGTTAGAAATGAAGCAACCACCATAAAAAAAGATTGAACTATCATCCTAAACATGGATTAATTGTTATCATGTTTTTTTAATAGTACAGTAATCAACTACATAACATACTAACTCCCCAAAATCCGGTCACCATTACAGTACCTGACTGCTGAGAGAAACGTTATATTCATGAGTAATTTGCATAACGTCATGAATCCATGTCACTTTCATGTGAAACCTTACCTGTTTGACATGATACAAATCATTAGAAACAAAAAGCTTTTCACTTAAAATCCATCTGATGACAAAAGTTTTAATCGCTAATTGACTTATCTCAATAAATTATATCATGGTTCCATTGTTACAACAATACAAAGTACTTTTTTTCACTTACCTCTCAATTCAACATTCCCATTTAATTTAGCATTTGCTGATAAAACTGTCTTTTCAGGTAAAACTTTCTCGGAAACAACATTTGAATACAGATTTTTCATTCCATCTTCAATAATTACATGATTTTGCAATGATTTAGATTTCTTAAACTGATAAAAATTGATTTTCTTTCGAATTCTTTTCAAAAACATAAATTGAGGACAAATGCGTTGACATGTTTGTAATAAATTTTGTCGTTTACGACTTAACGTGTTTAACGGTTTTGAAAGAATATTTTGTAAAAACAATGGAATGATACTATGTGTTCCATTTTTTCTTTGACGATGCATATAAGTACTACTAACCCATGTAGTTAATACATAGATTAAGTAGAATACTAAAAACCCTACACGGAAAAAATTAATTATTTTTCAACGAATTAAATATTAAGATCGGAAATGTTAATTCTAAAGAAAATAATAACAATTATTAATCATTAACATTGAATGAGAGCAATTAAATGAATTATTCTAAATCAGTGGCACAAAAGGTATTATGTTCCTCTGTAGATTTTGTAGTCATACATTTGACCCCTAGTGGGGTTCTGAATATGCACCATATGGATTGCTTAGAATAGGACAAAACAGTTGTTTGATAATTCCTAGTTTTCAATACCACTACACTTGTTGTCTGTTCGTGATATAAAAAAGAATAGTTATTATGTCATTTATCGATCAGATAAGAAACATATGATTGAAAACTAATTTTTATGTTTATAATATAGTTTAAGATTTATATGTTATTAAAGTCACTGTATACTACTAACTTATGCATTTAGTATCGAGTAAGCAGCCAAAAATTTAGAAGTCAACTTCTCAATTGTTGTTATATATTTAAAACCTTATTCTATGTATGATTTTTAATTTTCATAGCCAAATTGTCTTGAATTAACGCTCTTATTTGCTTCTACTTGTTCCTTATAATTATCTGATCGAAAAAACTAGAATGTTAAATGATTTATGCAAGGAAATATCTGATAAGACTACATTTTATTCTTAACCATTTTTTACAAAAAAGTAAACCGATTCTACAATCTCGTAACTGACGTTAATGAGCAATGCTATTGAAAATGTATCGAATACATTATTCATTTTTAGCGATATCAATGACAAACTATTGAATTTAATGTACTTCATATCACTAAGTTATACAGTACCACATTTTTTACATTAACATTAGGAAATTTCAGACTATTTATGATCGATATTAGTATTTGTGAACAAATTACATTTGTCTAGATCTTCAATTTACAGACATGCTTTACATATATGTATATTGATGATAAAATATCTTTATTCTTTTTCATCAATCAAGAGAATTAAAACATAATTTGTTAAAAAAACTTATTCATCTTATTTGGCTAGAGAAATTTTGAAACTAGTGTTTTTATTATTTTCAAATAAAGATGAATAAGCATAATCAACTGACCAATAGCGTCTGCGAAATAAATTTTCCGACGGATCAAAATTGATGCAGCCCAACTGACAGCAATCATATAAAATATGGTATCTTTTAAAAATGGTCTACGACTGAGTTTAAATGGCTTTAAAAAGATAACCAATCCAGCTGTAACCGTATTTACCAGAAGACCAGATCCTAAATTAAAATAAATAAATAGATAAAATCAATATCCATGATGATGATGATGACGATGTCTACTTTACATTACTAGTATAAATAGGCAACAGTCTTTATTATTCTTAATATCATTTTTTGAATTTAATTTCACTTGTTATGATCTTCATTTTCAGTTCATGTACCAACTTTAACTTGACTAAATAAAATATGCCCAGCATTTGTTTTTAAATCAAATTACTGTTTGTAGCTTTAGACCATTTGCAGCTAATATGAAACTTCGATATGGAATTCATTCATTTTATCCTGTAAATGTTATTATTATCAAGGAATCAAGTTGTATGACACCTTGATATTCAAATGAATGTTTTGACAAAGTTTTAAATACCATGAAATAACTCCATTCTAAAAGAATATGCATAATTGGACGGTTAATAATAACCGTTCATATAAACTTTAATGTTATTTCAGTGACTAGTTCTTTGAACTTCATATATTGAATACATTTGAAAATCAAGTTGACTTTCTATATATGAAGTAATTAATTTGAGTATTAATTTTAAACATTTATGAACCATGTTATAACCCAGTGAAGATTAAGTTACAGGTAACTTCCGAGGACTGTTAATAGACTAGTATTCTATGAATATTCTTATTGTATAATTATTCAATAATTACATTAAAAATTCAATTCATATTTACAACTCATACGATTAAACTTAAATTAACTTTTGAACTTCACTAATTTATATTTCAAATTAAAGATTATACAACAGTTTAAAAATCGCCATAGAATATTCAAAAATGAAGAATATCTGAGCAAACAACTGTTTTCAATGACTTCATCATCATGCTCTACAGTTATAAGTCCATAATTGTGATATTTCACAAAGGCTAAAATAAGGCATGTATTAATGAATTTGACAATGTTGTCTGTTAAAAATGATGAACGTTTGCATCTGTTACGATATATATACTTCGAAATTGTATTATTTGCAAATTAGAAAGATCATTCAATGAAGGTCAGGATGATTTGGAGTAAAGTGTTGTAAAATATTATAATTATGAACTTATAACTGTAGAGCCTGATGATGAAGTTATTGAAAACAATTGTTTGCTCAAATATTTTTCATTTTTGATTATACAATAGTTTGTTTGATTTGAATTTTCAATAATTCATTCGAATAAATTGATTAGCACTTTTTGGATTCAAATATGAAATTTACTGGAAATATGACAGATGATGTTACTATTTCAATAAACAACTCAACTCTAAATTTAATTTGTCATTTCAATCATTCTAACTTATCTTTAAGTTTTAGTTGAATATGAAAACTTGTGTGTATAGTATTGAGTACTTAGTAAAATATTTGTAGAAGATGTTGAATGGAATCTGTTATATCCGAGCGAAGATTAAATCACTAGTAACTTCTGAGACATATTAATTGACTAATATTATCTATACATTCTTATGGTATAACTATTCAATAATTAGATTATGTATATTTATATTCCTTTTATTATAAGCTTTACTTTGACCTATAATTTATTATTGTACGATTTACTGTTCTTAAGCTATGTTCAATTTATTGATTACTGCCTCCTACGTTCACAGCCACTTTTTGGCTTTATTGTGTACAAATATTATTTCCTATCTTATGGTGCGTTGCGGTCTGTTTGTTCGATATATAAAAACATTATGTTTGAAACATAAGATTCGATTCGATTGATTCACATAGTGGAAGCTGGTATTGGTGTTCTGGACTCAAATGGACGGGTTAGGCGGACATAGGACCAATAAGGACGCTAGGCTGTTCATACCGGTCGAAAGTCATTGGTTTGGCACAGTGCTAAGATTGTATAAGTCGTATTTTGATTGGTGGATAGATCACGTGATAAAAAGCCGGATATAAAATCACAACAGAATCATTCCAAGAGATTGATTTTATTCATTGTTTCCAATAGAAATATTTTAAAGGTTTAATAGTAGATGTTTTGTAATTTGAATCGTAAAATGAGAATCATAACGTGACGAACATCATATAACGTAAAATGAAATTGTATGTTTTCGACAAATTTAAAAAGCTAATTACGATAAAAAGTAATCCTTGTAACAGTAATAAATATTTATGTTTCATGTATTTATGAAAATGTACCTACCTAATAAAAACCCTAATCCAAGTCCTTCATCTGGTGCGTCAGGATCTCCAGTCGTAATAGCTGTGACTGCACTAAAAACATCTGGAGCCCCGTTGCCAAATGCTAAAAGTGTAACTCCCTAAAATTTCATTAAAGAAATTAGTTTTAAAAGTATATTTCAATAATTTTTCACAAATAGTCTAAAATAAGTAATACATAAATCGATCATTTCTGACATAATCAACTGGCATAAATTATATGACCTTAAAAGTGAAAAGAAAATTTATTTTTGAATATAATTAACAGTGGAATTCAGGAAACGCATTTCATCACATCTAGGACTCATCTTCTGGATATATATGTATTCATGAATACATTCTTACTAAATAATTATTTTCTAATCATATCCCGGTAAGCTGTTATATTTTTCTCGACAGTTCTTGAAATAAAACTAATTATGTACAGAGTTATTTGAATTCCAATAGTTCAATAATTTCAGTCACTCACTACCTTCATTAATCTCAATGTCAATAAAACACAAATACGAAAGTTGCGATCGTTGTAGACCCAAGTCAATAGTTAGTATGAATACTACCATCTATAATCAACTAGTTTAGAAATTCAGATCTTCCAATATTTTCCTTTGTTATCAAAATTATTTTAAAATCTAAACACAACCCATAATTTTTGAATGGATGGAAATCATATGATCTTATAATCGATTGATACTATGCTTTATTCCTCTAACTTGCTTAAGCTCATATAAATGTCCATAAACAGTTTGTATTTTTACTGATTAAAACTGTGTACAAAATAATGAAACATTAATATCAATTCAACTTTGTGTTTAAGAGCCATTAGTTATATTTCTTTTCAAACGTTTTATTTATTCTACAATGCATACAGTATTCAATAGTTGAAAATAGTAAGCAGGAAGCCCTAGACCAAGATTTCGTGCTATTTAACATCCATCAGTAAGGTAGATCTGCAATCTTGATTAAGCTGATCCTCATACGTCATTCAGTATCATATTTAAAAACGTTACAATTGTACTATTCAGTGTACTTCTGATCATTTGTAGAACTGAGATTTTTATACTAAGAGATAACCAATTGGTAAATAACATCATTATTGACTAAACATTATTGTTGATCGAATTCCATCACCGATAGAATACACTAGAATACATTTTTTACTCAAATATCAAGAAGCAATAATTTTAGACCTAATGTTTTTTTATTAAATATTCACTAATGAAATATCTACACTCGTTATGAAATTCAAGTACTATGTGAGGGATGGTCACATTCCGATGAATAAATTTGATTCACCACTGAAAAAACTACAATGAGTTACTTTCATCCCAGTTGCATATATTAAAACATACGATTTTTAATCTACATTTCTATAATATGTTTTAAACTATGTATTAAACAAAATTGACGCTCTAAAAAGGCCTATGAATATAAATTGAAATTTCTATTTTTTACAGTTTTATGGAAGTTGATTTTTCTAAACTTTATGTACATTTCAATGTACTGTCTGAACAGATCGCTTTGAGATAGTTCTTGTATTCAATAACTGAGATACAATGAATGCACTGAATGAATTGAAACTGAATTCGTTTCCTAAAAGTCCTATTAATCTCTCCTTATACAATCAATTTATGTGAACAGTCATTCAAGCTTACATTTCATTCATATGAAATTATCCGAATGAATCTTAGTCAATGGCTCTAATGCAACCAAACCAAATAAAATATGATGGGCTGGTAAGAGATCGTTTTCTGTTATCAGTTCATTGTTATCCTATCGATCTATGAATGGGCACACATTTGTGAGCTATATAATTGGCTAATAATATTTCTATTTTACAACAATTGCTTTCATACCTTCTTTGTAACTTGATGATTGAGTAAAATTCAATCGAATTCATTCCTACAGTATGTTCTCTTCATTCTTATTCATTAGGTTCAATCAAGCTCTAGAAAATGAATCATGTGATAACTCTTATCGAATCCACCTCTATCTTCTGACTTGTCAAGTACATACAATGACAATAGTTAAGCATATTCAGCTTAGATAATTATTTAAACTAGATAGAACATATTTAAACTAGAATATAAAAATTTGCACAATTTAGTTGTTTGTAACTATTTACATTTAAAGTTTTTCTTACTTAAAATACAAGGAATCAAAGCATTAAACTTACCGCTAAATTTTGACTCATCCGTAAACTTCGAGCCAAAGCAATAAGAGAGGTACTAAAGCTATGAGAATGTATTATTATGAGAGAAAAGAAAGACTATACTAAATATGATCTATTAAAACCTATTAATATATAATGAAATGAATGATAAATAGGAAATATTTATCTCGTCTTATATAGTGTATGTACAAGCTATCATATGTAAATTTCACTAATGAAATTTAGTTGCAAAGTATTTAAAATTAAATAATCAGTTCTTCTCATCAATGAACATTGTTTCTATTAGTTACATACTACTTAGAAGTAGCTTCATTTGTTTTCCAAAATATTGTTGTTCCTAGATCGTGTTTCATGGAATATTAGGCTGATATGAAAGGATATTTAGATGGTACAAAAACAATCACCGTTCTTATATACCACGCGACTTGTTTAAGTTTCAGTATGAAATTCTTCAATTTATTCAACACATATGAGATTTTACAAAATGTGAAATTTGCACACTTTAAGAATGTATCCAATTAAATATTTTCTTAAAAACATTAAATGAAGAAAAACGGTTGCTTACAATGAGTCAGATATTGTTGCAAATGCCCCCAATAATAAAATAAGCCAAAATATCTGTAAAAATAAATAAGTAAGTCAAACTGTTACTAATTTATAACTCAAAATTAACAGATATAATGTGTACATTATAAGCAAATAGTGACCAAACGAATACAGGAGAATATATTTATGTATACATATAACAAGGTAATTTTTCTAATAAACAGATATCAGCAGAACAGTTGATGAGAAAATATCAAGAAGTACTAAAAGACTGTGTTTGCATAGTTTAGAATTCCTCGACCAGTATATTGTAGATGTTGTCACTCATGACCGTCAGATAATCTTTCGGGAATTTTTTTTCCAGAATATATCAAGTTTAAAATCAAATCCAATTGTATCAGAAATATTTGAAAGTTTTAAATGTTGGTATAGTTAGACGTTGTATGTAACATCATGTATTTGATCAAATATTATGATCAAAATTAAAATATACGTCTTAATAAAATCAACTGCAGCAATCTATAATATACACGTTTCACTTAAATTATTTATCATAGTACTCAGAAACCGTTTAATAACAAAACAGTTGATCTAGTGTTGTACCACCTGAAACATTATGAACTCATATTTTCACAGTTAAAATCACGAGTCGATCTAGGCTAAACCACCGTTAAAAATATAAACACAAGATCATGGATTAATTGAAGTTAGATATTAACTTCTTTGGATTTCATTTTAGTGGTCTAGATGTTAAGAATACACGCGCTAGACTAAAGGCCCTAGGTTTGAGTCCCGCGTGCTAGATTGTGCATGCACACTGGTGAGAAGTTCCAAACTAGGATGAAACAGACTTCCAGTGCTTCCATGTTTACAATAGTGATTCCAATTTTGAAAATACTACAATCTCTACAGATCCCCAATATAGATCTTATACTTATCAATATAGTGAAGTGTTTTTCTTAAGATATATCGGTTAAACTAGAATATATAGGGTTTTTAAAAAAGATATTGTATTCTATTCTGGAATATTTCTGTCGTTGACAGTATCAATAGATAAAATGATTTGTTTGTTTATGTGTTTGTTACTGATTATCAAACTAGGCATAAATCACTATTCGATATATTTAAACTCTATAATATTTGATAATTGTTTTAGTAATTAGTAATTATTTATGGAGCTAATTAAATATTATCTTAGAATAAATACTTGTTAACGGTAATAAAACTTAGTTGTTCTACATTATAAACTAGAAATACTTTAAAATCATTGTTCTATCAATTCATTCACATCCTTGACAAAAGCTTAGAGTCCTAACTCATCTTATACTATATTTAAAAACCATTTATTTTGACGTGATAAATGAACTTTTCAGAGCTTAATATAATAATAAAAATCTATAAGGAGGTTCACTATCTCAACTGAGTTACAGAGTGTATGGTGGATAACTTTGTTGAAATCAAAAAGATGATCAGGTGATTCAATTTTCAACTGATATTGAATAAATTAAAAGAATAAAAATCTATTATACAAACTTCACTGAAATTCACAGTAATCCATGCAAATAAGCTCAAGGATTATTCACATGAGATATATTTTGGAGAAGTATTGCTAAGAAGTTTCAAACTTTGAAAAGTAAACAATTATCCATGACTTTTGGATTTTTATAGTTTACTTCACAAACTGACTCTATTTAGATAACCATAACTTCCATAGGTCTTCTCACATGCTGTTAATTACCCTGTGTTTATTAGTGATTAATCTCCAAGATTAATCCTAAGGGTTCTATTGAGAAGCCCTTACTAATAAAGCTCGACCATGTCGATGAGAGGTCGTTGCACACCAACGGTTTAGGAAGATAGTTATGCAATATCAGGAAATGATTGAAGTTAGAAATACAAACCAATGAACTCCGTCTCAGTTGTTTTTCACGAGACACGAAGGTCCTGCATTTGACCCCTTGTGTGACCACTGATGTGAGTAGTCCGATACTAGGACAAGCAGCTATTCAGTGATTTCTGGCTTTGACTGGTTGCCCAATTAAGGTCATTTCGTAATATTATCCATAAAACTTGACAATTTTCACCAAATTCCATCTCTTCTGTTTGTCCAACGAAAGTTTAATTGTAGTGAAAACTATCGTTATAAATTCCCTAAGTATATCTAAAATATCAATGTACCCAGCGTTTGCAGTATGAAGGTAATTAAAAAGTAATTAACACATAACTATTTAGAGAGATACAGTAACAAAGAGAACAAAAGTCTCATTTCGTCTACAGTTCATAAATTGATGTAAAATATGATGCCTTCATCATCACTGGTCACAAGTTGTTTGTTTTTTTTAATTAATTTATGAATATTTATCAGTTTCTGCATAATCAACACACCTATTTACAAATTCTTTATTTGTATGTATAATACAAAATGAATTTGAACAAAAACACAACTAACACATATTTGATAAGATAACTATACTTTGTTAACACATTCTATACAATCTAGTTCAGTTCAGTTCTTGTCTTTCATATTACCGTCTGCTTTTTTTTTCTGCCTGATAGGCCTATTTAGATACTTTTTTTATCAAGTCTCATTACAAATGCACACACTAGCATTTTTTCTTTAAAATAATAGTCAGATGTAAACAAATGATAAACTTCATTTTCACTTTGTTTACTAACTTAATTTCGTACTTGTTTATTTGGTTGTTTGCCTGTCTTTGGCTACTTTAGTCAAGAATAACCCTTGGATATATTATGCAATAAATTATCAGTTACTTGTGCCAATTTTCACTTTACCACTTACTGTTCAACATACACAAATACATATATTATATTTATTTAATTATCAATCTCAAGTTTTATGAATTTTAGTTTAGATACAGTTTTGATATGAAATACACATTTAGAAATTTATACATAGAAATAATTTCTGTATAAAACATAAAGATCTATCGTCGCTCAACACTTTTTTTAGAGAATGTCATATTAAATTGAATCCCGCGAGCGGGATCGTGGATGTGCACTTCTGAGGAGGCCCATAATAGGACGAAACGGTCGTCCAGTGCTTCCAGGTTTTCAATGGTGGTCTAACATCAATCGGTTCATGATCTCAATCAAAAATATTCTTTTTAATTGCCATTAAAATAATAAGCATTTTCACTGAATTAAAACACTAATTTAACAAATCTCATAGTTCTAGAAAATATTGTGATAGTACTAAGATTACTCACCATTGTTCAGTTTTATAGGGTATATATATTTATATGTTGTCATACAATTTATTCGAAGTTATTAACTATTTCAATTTGGCAAAAATGAATATACAATATGGGTAGTTATCAAGTATACATAATAATTAGTAATAATTATTAATCAGATAGATGTATCCTAACCAAAACTATTCAGCTTAATTGCTTAGATTGAGTTCTTTAGCTGTATACCCGCGTCCTGGATTCCTGTACTAGCCACCATCCGTCTCTGCTTATAATGCCAGTGGCTTAAGGCAACATTGAGGCAATCCTCACAGGATGCACATAAATACTGTTTACGTTTAATTTTATCATTATATTTCTTCATATTACTTCCATTGGGAGTCATAAAACTTTAATTTGTTTTGAAACTATAAACTATAGCATTTTAACTTAATAGACAAATGATTTATTTTAGTCTAAGCATACGGTTAATTTTTAATGTTAGTCAGTAATATGTGTTATTTCATATCAAAACCGCTTTTATTACATAGTAATGAAATCTATTCTAAAATCTTTTTTGGAATCCTAAACCATTCTCTACCAAATGAGCGATGAAACTAAATTCATGGATAGATATAGATATCACTTTATGAGCTAAGTGTTATGTTCAGCTGTTTCACGAATCGAAAAGTACAGCATGTTCTACATATTACTAAATCTTCAGTCAAATTAAATTGTCTTCATTTTATACTTAATTAAGATACCGTAGATACCATCAATCACTGATTGGCAATGAATTGAACATTCTGAGATGAAAATTACGCTTTTTACATTATATAACAATTAATTAAGTTAATGTACATAGATTAAATTCACCAAATGCTTGGTTTCAACACACTTTTATTTTTTTTAACTTATGAAGAAGTAATTTATAAACTAATCGTAAACCATTTATTCTGAAGTAGCTCATATTGGGAATTCCAGTTATTCCTAGAGTTTATCAACATAATAATTCAATCAACTAACTTGCATCCACGCATATGTTATAACTTAGTGCAAGACCAGTGAAAATAATCGAAAGCACCCCTAGGCTCAAACAAGTCATATCAGTTTCAGACAGCTTATATATCACTTGCGTTTGCAATGAATATAATTTAAACTAAAAATTGATGACACAATAGTCTTATCTACTTAGATATTTTTATTCGAATGTCACTATGATAAATACAGTGGCCGTGAACGTTGAACGTCAGAAATAAAAGTTCCTATGTATGAACGTCACCTCGTTTAGTTCATCAATTAAACTCAATAGATTCATTTTTTATTTAGATGACCATATAAACGTTTTGATTTCTCTTAAAGCAAATTTTACCACAAACAACAATCAACTAGAAAGTCATTGAAAATCAAAACTCACCGAACATATGTACAACTTTAGTCTATAACTCTGTAGTGATGTCTACAAATGATCCTCTACACGGTTAAACCCATGACCTTCTAGTCTTTAGGCAAGTACGATAACATTAGGTGCTTATGTTGGATCCCAGTTGTTTAAAATATTCAAAGTATTTAGCCTTATTTCATGTAAATGGTATATTAATATCTCATCTATCTGGTTGACTCCATGAGTAAAATTTTCACTTTACAAGTTGAATAAATCTAGTAACATGAATCATCGAATTCCGACCCAACAGCTTAAAATTTAGAACCTCTGGAGAAACTTTGAGGCCCTGGGCTTGATTCACTATGGATTCGTTGGTCTGTGCCACTGATATACTATCAGTTAGGACCAAATCGATGTTCAATGTACTGCAGTTCTTAGTAGTTTCCCAAATGATATATATGTTTGAAATTAAAATCAAATCATTTGCATTGTTAAAAAGT